TTGCCGCGAGGGAGTTCTCGACAGTCAGTTTCGATAGACAATAAGAAGTTCGCCATGCTCGGCCCACGCAATTAGATGGAGAGGTCGTGTATCGAGTTAATTAACGTGCTAGATATGCATTCCTCAGTTAGTTCTCTGGCAATCGGATTCTCGGAGAAACGATTTGTCTGGCATTGGAGCATGAGTCACGAGTCCAATCGAACTTCAAAGCGAGGCAAGAGCTAAGCATTGTGAGTGACGCTTAGACCTTCGAAACGCGATCTAGTAGGGTGTCAACGGCTCGAATTTTCAGGACACCCGAACCGAAACGAACCGAACCGTTTGGGAGTGAATTAGCTTTGAACCGAACCGTATATAACCCGAATCCAATTTGGATTTCAAGTTAATCCTCGTGGAGCTCGGGATCCCAATAATGGGCTGGACCTTCGGAACGTTGTGCGTCCAATTCGGACTGGGCTCATCCCAGCATTCGGTCCCGACATTTTGTGGCATTACAGAACATGTCACCGAAGTTCTGGATTTGACAGGCCCGTGTAGGAGAGCCAGGCTCTTCTGTCTCCTTCCAAAATCCAAAAGACGACGCCTGATACTTCGAGTCCGGGATCTTCGTTTTCTTCCCGCAAGAGGAGGAGGAGGAGGAGGATCTTCTTCGATGGATCTCTCTCTCTCTCTCTCGTTCGTATTTAGTTCCGTTCGTTTTCAAATTCGAAAGGCGAGGAATTAATGGATTTCCTTCTTTTTTTCTTCGTTTGATTAAGGTGAATTTCGATTATGCTCGTCCACGATTGTATACGAGCATAATTTTGTCAGGACGTAGGGGCGAGCTTTGTATTGAGATATTTTGAAAAAGATTAGACACTTTAAAGAGTATGGAAGTGACTATGCACGCATGTAGCGTGTGCTCGAGAACTAGTTTAAGGAAATATAAAATGTTTCTCTCGTTTCCTTTTCGTGAATTAGGAATAAGGAGTTTACTTTTAGTTATTGATAAAATAGCCAAATATCCAATAAATATTTGCTTTCGATAAAAAGAAACCGTCAAGTATCTTACTATTCCACCTAAGTAAAGCTATTATTTTTATTGCGTTGAATAATAAATGGAAACTAATGGGGCACTTATGTAATCCACGTGGGAAAACGAGAAGTCCATTGGTTCTAATTATTATCCAACCCAAACTAACTAATTTCCATGTAATACAAATACAGCAATACAATATCTTATCCGATTTTTTTTTGTCTATGATACTCTAATTATTATCTCACTCTCTGACTTTTGCTCTACCTCTTTGTAGAGCATGGGAGTCGAACCCCACGCCTAAAACTGAACGCCCTTACCCCTGGTCCCTTGAGAATATGGAGAATCGAACTCCTTACCTCCCTTTTCTCAAGCGAAAGAGGGTGGTCACTGGGGTAGCCCCCAGTGGTTTCTAACCCGATTTATATTGCTAAAAAACACATCCAATATGAAAATTAATAAATAAACCGAGGCGAGAGCATAGAATGAACGAGCGACATCGAGTGAGGCGAGAGAAGAGCGAAGACGGTCATAGAAGTAGGTCATTTGTGACCTGTTTATTATACATAACTAACTCACATAACAACCTAATTTATTGAGTATGGGTTAAGAGATGGGTGTTCGACTTATTTTGACAAGTCCACGTTCACTCGCCCTACCTAATAATTTATCGTTTGGAGGGGCGGCTCATCTTTTTTCAATTTTTTTTTTTCTTGTCCCACGAAGTTTCGGGTACAAATAAAGTATTTATCTTAATCACTTCCGCCAACAGACACCGATTGAAACTTTTCGCGGGAAATAGGAAAGGCATTAGGATTGATAAAATAAAAAAAGAAAAAAAAGAAAAAGGGGGTCGGAATCGGTCTTCGGAATAGAAATTTCGGATTCCCCGCCCCGTTGCAAATTTTTTTTACATCGGCTGCTTCGGATCACATTTATTACCTCGCGGGCCCCACGCGCCTCTTCCGATAATGACCCTCGCTCGCCTTTTTCACCCTGCCTTTTCTTTTTTCCCGTTTTTTTTTTCCTTCTTTTTTTTTAATTATTACTTCCAGGCGAAAATTGCGTGGGCGTCGTCGCGGTCGCTCCCGCGAGCCTCGGAAATTACCATTTGCTCCCCCCGGGGCACCATCGAGTTGTTTTCGCAAAAATAAACACGGATTTTTAGGATTGTTGAATTAAAAAACGTATAAGCCACATTTTATACCCTTTTTCTTTTGAATTAAAGTATTTTAGGATATGGGAATCTTATTGTGAGACCTCCGTGGTCGATCAAAACATCATCCCGGATTAGATATCTTATGGTAGAGATTGAAAATCTCTGCAATGGATATGTTATGGCGCAGATGAAAATCTCCGCAATGGATATCTTTTTCTCGTTTCTTAAATAACCCAAATTTCGAAATGGGCCGAATGAGATTACAATCGCTCGGTTTGAATTCGACACGCGATCAACACTACTGGGCTCTGCACTCTGCAGTGCTCTCGCTCGATGTGGGTGACACGATTCTTGAATGTGAAATAAGAGCACGACTCAAATATGACTTGCTCAAAATCATCATGAGTTGGCACGTGAATTCCTAATAAAAAATCAATTTTCCAGTTACAAGTCGAATCTCTTTTGTGGTAACTAAATTAAGAAAATGACACCGATGGTCCTTAAATCATGACCCAATATGCAACGTGATCATTAAATTTCAAATTTGTTCAATGCGGTTCTCGAACTTTATCCCAACGTGTAATGCTGTCCCTGGACTTTTAATTCGTTTGATGTGGTCCGTGAATTTTTTGTACATATTCAGAGTAGTTATTAGATTATATAAAAATGTTCAATTTTGTCTATGAATTTAAATTAACGTCGGCTATTTTCAAATAATTTAGGGATTAGGTGAACAATCGCTATAAACAAGGTGACAAAATGAATGGCACGAAACGGGGACAAAACGGGCATAAAGGAGATTCATCGGGGGCCAAACCGGCCATCGGAAAATCGGGGACGTTGCTACGGAGGAGACGACGGTGTGACCGAGGCGCAGTATGACGCTGTCAGTGCGCTTTGAGCGTGCGCTTTGATTCGCGGGGGTGACGTGGGGCGCCCGTTATCGCCTGCGCGCGCGTCCAGATTAAGGCTCTGCGAACCTCGCTACCTGATCGTCCGATGAGTCGCGATGGGCGAACGATTAGGGTCGAAGGCAGGCAAGTGAAATCTCGCCGAGAAAATGGAGACGAGCCAGACGAGTGGGAAAAGGAACGGGATGGAATAGCTACGAGACGAGATTAGCTCGCCGCTTTATCGGAGAGAAAGTTGTGACGAACGCTAGGAAAAGTTAAAGTTGGGCCCTTTGCCTTGAAACCTTCTGAGAATTTGATATTCTTGGGGTCAATGAACTATTTATTTGATTTTAGAAGGTAGGTTTATTCCGATAGCTAACATTAACCGGAGGGTATTATTCTATTATTTTTAAAATTGTACCGGAGGTCGAACCATTTTGGCAAGCGGTATTATGTTCAGCCAGTTCAATCGATTGAGTACCGTTAACGACGGCATTTTCTCGTTATGAATGTTAATTTTATGTTGGATATATAGACAAATACCCAAAAATTAAAAATAAAAACATTCAACGGGACCTTATTCCATTAATGGGCCCTTTGGGACCTTGGGTCATTAAGTAAATGGGTCGATGTAAATTTTCATCCAATTAATTATTCTTTGATATGAATTTTCTTATACTTACATCTAGTTCGATTTTGACTAGAAAGAGTAGGAGTATGAACTGTTCCAAAGGATAGACTAGTTCCTGATTGAATTGGCCGTCTCGGTATTGTTTCAAAATGCCGGATTGCAATAACAAATTGTAGCTCCATTATCTAGCTTGGAATTCAAGGAATATAATAAATTTATATACAAATTTTCAAGTGTGTTGAAAATTAAATGTATCACGAGAGAAAACAGCAATGGCTACATTCAAAACTCAAAAGCAATGGGTTTTCGACTCGAGGGTTTATTCAAAGAAATTGATTTAATTTAAGCTATCGAAATCATGACATGTTGGCTTAGTAAATTGTTAAGACGCATTTGACAAGTCATGATCATAAATCGAAAGAATCAAGTTGGGAGATCTTTATATTTAAGGATCTATCAAACTCTCGAGAATATAAATAAAGTCTCATCAAATTTATCATTAGAGCAATGAAAAATCGTAGCGAGTGCTTAATATGGTAAGAATTCGGAGTATCTAAGTATATTGGTAATATCTATTCTTTCGCAAAACAATTGAGCAAGAATTACGAAAAAAAAGGAACAAATCAAAGCAAAATAACAAGCTAGATACGATTTTCCTTAAATTAGTCAAGTGCCCACTCACGGGGCACCGTCTATTCAAGCAGCAAAACATAGATATTCAAATAACATTTTTCGTTCGGATCAGATTGCACATTCAGGTAGATAAAGTTGCAAATTTTACTGAAAACTTTGATGTAAATTTTAAATTTTCAATTGAATAGAAAAACATTTAACGGCGGATTTAGATTTAACACGAGAAAATAATTTATCAACTTCGAAAAGAAGAACACCGATCGCAAGTTGATTAGGCGCCAAAAAATTTAATACGGATTTTCTTGGGTCATCTCTTTCAATATAAGAGTCAAATTCATGCGCTCACCGTTGGATTATGAACAAAAGCTCAAACACACACGTCACCCAAAACTGACGATGTACGTCCCATCCAGTGCAATCGCATCCCAACCTCGAGAATGTCGCGAGCAGAACAGAGAATAATATATCGCGGTACCTATCCAATCTCGAGCCGAGATCTCGCCGCCACGTGGAAGCTGTACGATCGAGGGCGCACGGGAGTCCCCCGGTACGCCGCGCCCCCACCGCAGCGGGCCTCCGACGGAGGGGACCTTAGGTTTTAACGGAGAGACATAACGTCGTGGGCCGTGTATAAAAAGCCGAGCGCACATCACTGTTTGCCCCCTCCCTCTTCAGAGAGTCGCTTTTGCCCAGTATAGAGAGTAAGCGCGGTCGTCAGTGCGAGCGAGAGGGAAGGTAGCGTTTCGGTACGGTCGACGAATTCGCGTCGACACGAGCTCCAGAAAATCTCTCTCCCCGCGCCTAGGGTTTCTCTCCGCCCTCCGCCTCATCAGGTAGCGCTCTTCTTCGTCTCCGGCCTCGCCGGAGAACGCTCTCGCGTGCTCCGAATCTCGCGGATTCCGTGGAATTTTGTGCCGTTGTCTTTGGTTGAGTGCTGTCGTCGGTGGCTTTTTGGGCGCTTCCGAGGCCTGAAATCTGCAATGCCGCTTCGGTCCGTGGTTGATCCGGGGACGGCTTTCGTGTTTCCTGTTCGTGCTGGCTTTTGCGAAAGTTTTTTATGCTCTGTTCGGTGGCTTTGCTTTTTGTCTTTTGTTTTTTTTGGTTGCCTTTTTGACTTCTTTTGAAGCAATTTTTTAATGATTTACTTCTTCTGTTTACCGGCTTTCGTGTCGCGTACGTCGCGCGAGCGCAGTGCTTCGACTGCGTGTATTGAGCACACTGTGGTTTTCGCCGTTCGAGCCGTCTGCATTCGCCGCCTCTCGAAGGGTGCTTCTTCCTCTTCTGTCCCCTCTGATTCCCCCCGTGTTTTGTGGTGTTCTTGGCTTGTTTTTAGGGCGTGCTGTTCTCGCTTGCTTCGTTCCCCTTGTACGCATGCGATGATTATGGCTCTCTGGTCGGATTAGCGCTTTCCTCGTCCTGTGTTTTTTTGGGTTTATTGCTATTTAATATTGGTTTTGTTTTCCGAGACTCGTCTGTCAGATGCGGTTTTTGGGTGACGTGGGTAACGAAATGTTGTTGTTCAGTATCTGTAATATTCGCCTGCCTGTTGGCTAGCCAGAGTAAATAGCTGCAGAAATTGCCCTGTGCATGTGGGTTTTCCTTGTTCTTGGGTTCCATTAGGCGTGATAATATGTTCGTTGCCTAATGGTTCCTTGTAGTGTTTTGATCCTGTCACATTGCTGACATCATCGGTTCTATTATTTTTGCTAAGTTTTGGTTTGGCCCTTTTGTTCGAGTTTTGAGTTACGATTGAGTAGAAAATTTTGTCAACTTGGGGTTTCACATTGATTACGCAACATTAAGTAGTCCTCTCGAGTCGCATGTGCATCATATGTATGGATTTTCGCTGGGATTTATTTGACAGAGAGATGATTAGACATTTGCGTCGATGTAGTAGTCAGTTGATCATTCTGCACTGCTGACATTACTGTCTGTTCTGGGAAATATGTCCCAGTAAAAGCATTTGGTTGCGTCTATTGCTTGTATAGTGTTTTACCCAGATTCTATGACCTGTGTCCACTGACCAGATATGGACTCGTCTGATGAGCCAAATGGAAATGGGGAGCATAATGATTTGCCGCCACCGCCGCCACCTCCTGCTATTATTCCACCAGATATTGTTCCTGAGCGAGTTGAACCCGAGAATCCACCCGAGAATCCGCCACAACCTGTAAAGAAGAAAGTTTCTCGGGTCCCCATTGCTAGACGGGGCCTTGGTTCTAAAGGCCAGAAGATACCTCTGCTAACTAATCACTTCAAAGTGAATGTTACCAATCTTGACGGTCAATTCTTCCATTATTCGGTATGTACTTTCTATTGCCTCTCCTGTTGATTCTGCCTCTGTTGATTTGCTTTGATAATTGAGTTATAGAGCAGTTTCACTTTTTTGTTCTACTGCATTAGGTATCTCTTTCTTATGAGGATGGCCGCCCTGTTGATGGCAAGGGAATTGGCAGAAAAGTAATCGATAAAGTACAAGGTACCTATAGTGGTGAGTTAGCTGGAAAGGACTTCGCATATGATGGTGAAAAGAGCTTGTTCACTGTTGGTCCCCTCCCTCGGAACAAACTCGAATTCACTGTTGTACTTGAGGATGTTACCTCTAGCAGGTATGCATGTGATTAGTAGGTTCTTTCCCTATATGTCCTCAAGTACTAAACTACGCTCATTATGCATAGAAATAACGGTAATGCTAGTTCCGATGGTCATGGAAGTCCCAATGAGAGTGATAGAAAGAGATTGCGACGCCCCTATCAGTCGAAGACCTTTAAAGTAGAGATTAGCTTTGCTGCGAAGATCCCTATGCAAGCAATTGCACATGCCCTGCGCGGTCAAGAATCAGAGAATTCTCAGGAAGCTCTCAGAGTGCTGGATATTGTATTAAGGCAACATGCGTCTAAGCAGTAAGAATCTCTTTGGCATCGACTCTCTGTTGCTTTGAGCTAGTTGTTATATCAAGACCTAAACTCAATTTGCTGTTTCAGGGGCTGCCTGCTTGTTCGTCAATCTTTCTTTCACAATGACCCGAGAAACTTCACAGATGTGGGCGGAGGTGTCCTTGGTTGCAGAGGATTTCACTCAAGTTTTAGGACGAGCCAGGGAGGATTGTCTCTTAACATTGGTGGGTTTGGTGTATTACCCCATTTTCTTTCTTTTCTTAATGGTATTTTTTAACTGAATGCTTGTTTTGTCAGATGTATCAACCACTATGATAATTCAGCCTGGACCAGTGGTGGAATTTTTGCTTGCGAACCAAAATGTGAACGATCCCTATTCTGTTGATTGGGCTAAGGTAAATAGCGTTTCTACATTAGATCAGAATGCAATACCTGTTCTATATTCTGGATTCTGAACATTTGCCTGCAGGCTAAACGAACCCTTAAAAATTTGAGGATCAAGGCAAGTCCTACCAACATGGAATACAAGATAACTGGCCTTAGTGAGAAGATCTGCAGGGACCAACTGTATGGTCCTCGTTCCTTCACGCCCCCTTCTCCCTATATGCTCTCTTATATTTTAGCGTTTAACATGCACCTTAAGCTATCATTTTGCAGGTTTTCTTTGAAGCAGAAAAGCAGAAAGGATGCTGATGGCGAGGCAGAGACCATAGAAGTGACGGTCTATGATTACTTTGTCAACCACCGCCACATAGAGTTGCGATTTTCTGGAGATTTCCCTTGCATCAATGTTGGCAAACCAAAGCGACCTACTTATATTCCTCTTGAGGTATAGGATAGGCTATATAATATACCAGTGGAAACTACAAAGAGTGTGATATTTTATAACCCTGATTTTGATCTTCTTAGCTATGCACGCTGGTATCCTTGCAACGCTACACCAAAGCTCTGACAAATCTTCAAAGGGCTTCTCTGGTCGAAAAATCACGGCAAAAGCCACAAGAGAGGATGAGAGTTCTGTCAGATGTAAGTGCTTTCCAATTTGATTATTGTTATATTTATGTACATATGTAGCGGATGGTAGTGTATTGTTATATTTCTATGTATTAAGTTTAAGGTTTTCTTGACAGGCTCTGAAATTGAACAAGTACGATGCTGAACCGATGCTGCGTTCATGTGGGGTATCGATCAGTACCCAGTTTACTCAAGTCGAAGGACGTGTTTTACCTGCGCCCAGGGTAGAATTGTCTGTAGTTAAACTTTTACTATCTGTTGGAACACTAGTCATCTTCCTCACTCTGAATACGTGTACCGTCATATCTGTGCAGCTGAAAGTGGGCAATGGGGAAGATTTCTTTCCTCGCAATGGGAGATGGAACTTCAACAATAAGGTTCGTTTGGTTCCTGTGGGCTGATCTCGACTTTGCAGACTGCCCTTTGCTCACGTATGAACTGCTTTTTCAGAAATTGGTTGAGCCAAGTAAGATAGAGAGGTGGGCTGTTGTGAACTTCTCTGCTCGTTGTGATGTTCGTGGCCTCGTCAGTAATCTCATCAAATGTGGCGACATGAAAGGAATTGTAGGTTTTATGTTCTGTCTTATTTTTTGGTCAAAAAGGTTTTATTTTCTGTTAGATTGTCGCATTTTGCATTTGCATTTCTGTTGGAAGTCTCTGCTCTACTTTTATGCTTACAGCAGATGCAAATTGTTTTTAAATCCTGAGTGCACCCTAAAAATATAATAGTAAATATGTCCTATCTGATAGTGATGAATGAATGTTTCTATGGAAATGCCCTACCTATTTTTGTTCCAGCAGCGGATGCAATTTTATAGTTCGTTTTGACACTTTGTATTGTGTTCAAAATACATAATCTGATAGTGCTAGGTGAATTCTTTTTCCTTTATGTAGCATATTGACCAACCATTTGAAGTAATTGAAGAGAGTCACCAGTTTAGGCGAGCTCCACCTGTTGTTAGAGTGGAGAAGATGTTTGAGGAGATACAGTCAAAGCTTCCTGGTGCACCGCAATTTCTTCTTTGCTTGCTTCCTGAGAGAAAGAATTCTGATCTCTATGGTTGGGTGTTCTCTTTCGTTAATCTTGCCAGTTTTATCTATCTGCCCTGATTCTTTGATGTAGAGTCTAATTTAATATCTAGGTCCATGGAAGAAAAAGAATCTTGCTGAATTTGGGATTGTTACTCAGTGCATTGCTCCTGTGAGGATTAATGATCAGTACCTCACTAATGTTCTCCTAAAGATCAATGCAAAGGTGAGAGTCCTCTCTCTACCCCCCTCTCTCACTCCCTCTCTCAACACTCACACACCCACCCACCCACCTTGTCATTTTCACCCTAGCTACTGATTAAATGTCATTGCAGCTTGGGGGCTTGAATTCAGTTCTGGCCGTTGAGCATTCCCCTTCTATACCCTTGGTGTCTAAATTACCCACTATAATCCTTGGAATGGATGTATCACATGGCTCTCCTGGGCAATCTGATATTCCATCAATTGCTGCGGTAACATACTGGCTCATTTTGCACTGTGAATATCTTGGATTGTTCTCAAGGTAACTTGATGTTTCCTGCTCCAGGTTGTTAGCTCCCGCCAATGGCCTTTGATTTCTCGCTATCGGGCTTCAGTGCGGACGCAGTCTCGGAAAGTCGAAATGATTGACAATTTGTTCAAGAAGGTGTCTGATATTGCGGATGAGGGGATAATAAGGTTTGTTCTTAGTTTCTTTAACTCAGTAGTATTTTTTCATTGCTTTCAGTTCCTTTTAAATAGAATTGTTCAATGGATTAGTGGCTATACATTCTTCAACATGCTTGTTATTCCATTTGTCTACAAGCTATATATGGTTTCACCTCTATTCTTTACCTCAGGGAACTTCTCCTCGACTTCTACGTGAGTTCGGGTAAGAGGAAACCCGACCAAATCATCATATTCAGGTATGGAGTTGGATGTCATATTGAATGAAATCGTGTATTGAAACCGTTAAAACTAATGTTCAAAACTTTCTTTATTATTTCTCGACTTTTATGCAAGTAGATTTCCAGGTAGTCTCCTTGATGATTGGGTGTGAGGATTCGACTGCACTCTTAGTTTCTTGCTATGCAGCTCACATCTTTCTCTTATTGTTCTTGCTCCAGGGATGGAGTCAGTGAGTCGCAATTTAATCAGGTTTTAAACATTGAACTGGATCAAATTATTGAGGTTAGCTTCCGAATGACTTAAATGCACAAAGTTTATCTGCAGAAATGGTTTAGTTTATGCTAAGAACTTTTCAGGCCTGCAAGTTTCTTGATGAGAAATGGTCCCCCAAGTTTGTTGTGATTGTTGCTCAGAAAAACCATCATACCAAGTTCTTCCAGTCCGGATCGCCAGATAATGTTCCTCCTGGTAAAAGCTTTTCTGCTACTATCAATAGGAATAAAGTGATTTTAAGACGTACCTAATTTTTGTTTTCCTGCAGGGACCATCATAGACAACAAAGTTTGTCATCCACGCAACCATGACTTCTATCTCTGTGCACATGCGGGAATGATTGTGAGTAAAACCAGAACATATTCATTGCGATAGTTGCTTCTCCTAAGAATCGATTGCCTTTCAATCCTGTAAATTTCGTCTCATCTAGTTGAGCTCTGAATTGGAAAGAATGTTCATGTAATAGCACCAACCTGAAAATGCCAATCTTTGTTTCATGTTATATTTCTTTTGTGTACTTTTAATTCTAAAGTAATTACATTACAGGGGACGACCAGACCCACTCACTACCATGTGTTAATGGATGAGGTTGGTTTTTCAGCGGATGATCTGCAGGAGCTTGTTCATTCACTCTCTTACGTGTAAGTAAAAACTCTGAAAATCTGCTTAGATTGATTTTGAGCTTCTGCTTTTGGCGCATCTGTTGAGAAAATTTTGCTCGTCATATTGCAGGTATCAAAGAAGCACTACTGCTATATCCGTTGGTAAATAAACTCCTTGCAAATATTCTTTTAGGAACTGTTCATGATATTACAATGCCATACTTGCCCCAAAAAAAACGCATTGTTTAATAATTTCATGTTGGTAGTTGTGCCATATATCCTAGGATATTGTCAGTGGCAAATGGAACTCTCTGATTGCTTTACAGTTGTTTGAATCACGATCTTAATTGTCTCTCTGTTTCTCCCCCTAAATCCAGTTGCTCCGATTTGCTATGCTCACTTGGCGGCTTCTCAAATGGGTCAGTTCATGAAATTCGAGGATGCTTCCGAGACTTCATCTAGCCAAGGCGGGCTGACATCCGCAGGACCAGTTGCCGTTCCTCAGCTGCCCAGATTGCAGGAGAAAGTGTGCAACTCCATGTTTTTCTGTTGAAGGCTTTACTTGCCCTTTCCTTCGGACACCTTTCAGGAAAGGTGGCTTTTTTTAACCCGTACAGGCTTTTTTGTACTCCGGGTCTTGAAGACTCCTATCATCTTGTTTTGTGGCGGCTGAGCTCCGGCTTTATCCATCTGGATATTTTCCGAGACTTGGCCAGAGATGGTGGTTTCTTTTTCTGTATATATTATGCGTAGGTACTTTAAATGCGGCCTTCCACTAGGGGAAAGTCCAGCCATGAAAACTATATACGGCGGTAAAAGACTGGCATGAACACTTGGTTATCTTATTATCTGAACTTGTTTCTATCACCTAGTTATCACTTGAAGATTCAACGTTGTGGTATGGCTGTTGTATGTTTGGCAACACTTTGCCTTTTTCCTGAGCGAAGGCTTGACCTGGGTAACAAAAAACACCAGCAGATCGAGAATGTTCGGATTCATTTATATTCACTCGGCTTTCTCCGGCCTCGTCCATTGGTCTTGAGCATAGGAGAACGTGTTGATTTTTCTCATCTCTAGACAGTAACGGCGATCGTGTATGTTTATCAATTTCCAGAAAATTAAGGCGACTGTCATCGATGAGACGTTTAAGTTTCATTTTTGGAAGTCTAGAAATATGCCGTGGATCCAATTTAGAGCAGTCCTTTCTTGAAAGGTGAAATGAGGGGAAGGCATGCAAATCATTAACTCTGAGATAACATTGCATCAAACATAACTGCCAGCTAACCCTGGTTTGTTTCATTTAAACGGGAAGAATGCAGTTTCACCATAGAAGGCGAGATCAGCTGTAGGGGTAATTCGATTACCTGGAAAGTTGACATTAGCTTCCAGTAGGAGGCACTTTCGGGTACAAGGTGCCATCATTTTCTATAATTATGTACTGCCAACGGTCATTAACACGAGCACAATATCTAATCGATTAATTTGTCCTTTCACTATATCCGGTCAGATAGTTATACCTATCTTGTTCAGGGTCACATACAAAGGACTCGACACAATAAACCATATTCCGAGAGGAGCCCCAAAGAAGTCGTCGCTAATTGCGAGACCTCTTGCTTTGTCTGCCCCACAATTGAAAATCAATCAAAGGTCCAGAGCAAGCGGAGGACAAGCAGAGCTTTCGGAATGCAAACTAATCTGACGATTCTGCATATAAACCCAACCTCAAGATCACTGATCACAAATGCGTAAATCACAACAAAAAAGCGTGATTTAGGGAAGACTAACCAAAAGAGAAAGGAGGCTACCAAAAACACCAGCATCGCAATCTCTTATTGTTCCATTCTGGACGAGATTTAAAACAGCCTTATTTTTCTTTTCTTTTTTTTTGGTTCTTTTTCTATTTTTTTTTTTTTTTGGGTTTTGGTTTTCGGTTTTTCCCCTCTATATACAAATTACAACCGAGAGGATATGCACAGAAGGGCACCTCTCTAAGCCTGTGGACATGAATAAAGACACGACGTGAGAGCTGAAAGAACTGTCCAAGGGAAAAAAAATGCCTCGGCGACCAGTGACTGCTCATAGCTCGTAGCGGAGCAAAGGCTGCCCCGAGGACACGATAAAAAAAAACCACAGGAACCACTTCTTTGCATCCAAGCCAAAAACAGGAGCTTCCATTTCTCAAACTCCTCAGTCAAAATTCGTTAGCCATGCTCTTTCAAAATTGGATGTTGCCACGCTGGAACACGAGCAAACTGCTCCCTAATGGCCCTCCTCCTTCGCGGTGTTAGCTCTCTCTTTAGTGCGGAAATCGTCCAAGGTGCGGTATTCCTCTAAGAGCAACCTCTCCAAGTCCTGTTGCTTCTTGATTGGATCTTTCTGGTGGCGATAATGGTGAAATGCCCTGCCACACCAAGTTACTTCCACATTATAATTTAGGAAGAAAAGAATTTCTACACCTATTAATAATGCAACGTACAGAACACAACCTCCTGAATTCAGAAGCATGAAGTCACATCAAGGCATATATCCGTGTATTAATGTAAGATAAACTTAGCAACGATACTTGAATTGCACACCAACTCACTATCATTATAGCAAAGGGGGAGATATTTAAGAATATCAAGGTTCGTGCTTCCAAAACAATCAGAAAGCATGTGATTTTCTCATGTTCGGATGAGGATAATCTGGCAACAAATTTCCAGCTTATGATGTCTTAACAAAACAAACTGAGAAAAATGGCCTTACATTAAAAAGAGAGGGGATAAAGAACTGCAGACTTTCGTCTGAAGCAGCCCTACAAATAGCCACTCCACAATTTATCAATTAGAACTTTAGTAAACAAATGCAGATTCTCTTAGCATTTTCTATCTCAGCTTCATTACCAAGGCTAATGTCTCCTAAAAAGGAAAGGTGCCGAGAATGTACTAAAGGCACTGGGAGAGTGCTCTCTACATGCCTGAAGAACTTGGAAATCTAATTTACCATATTCAAAGCTCTTATTCCCCTTGATGTTATTAATAAAGTTAAAGACCAGAAAGATCATTTAATTTTCCCCTGATGATAATTAGTTCAACAACTCCTTTAACAGGCTAGCTCAAGCTATTCCATGACATCCTTGCATGTTAGAAGTTAACAGACCGCAGCTTCCAGCGTAAAAAGTTTCACATCACATCAAGAAATTTCAACAGGTCAGTTTAACTTAGATAATTCTTAAGCATATCAATAATATCCAAGGGGTTGTCATTCCCACGTCTTCTAAAGAGGAGCGAAGCCACTTTTGAAAAATTGGTGAAGGAGAGTGAAGAAAGTGGAATTGTGAACATGGTGACCAAGGAAAAGAAACAAATGGCAGTAACTTGATATAAATATTTCAGAGTTAATCAAATAAGCAAAATAGAGGAAGAAAACCTGTTTACTTATGCAAATTCTTGACAATGCTGATACACGACAGAAGGTATGAAGGCAGAGAAGAAAGCTTCTAACTAACTTGTGCAGCAGAGAAGAAAGCTTATAACTAACTTACGTATCAATTAAGAAGAAAAAAAAGCCTCTTAATAAACCTATTTATGGTGCAATAACTAAGCTAAATATTAGATCGCTTTATTGGTCAATGCAAAGATCACACAATGAGCCAAATAAAAAGGCACAAATAAAGTTTAATATATCTGAATAAAAAGCTAAAGACTGCTTGGGAAAAAAATTACCAGTATTTCTCAAGGCCATAAAGGTTGCCTTTATGGTAAAAGTCGAGGGTGAGCTTTTCAAAATCCTTATACAGATCCTCCCTGAATTCCTTCTCCAAGCCATAACTACAACGGGCAAAGTTTCATAAGACAAGATCAAAGTACAACGTGATTTTCAATGGCCTATAAAGTATAGGCAAGACATGTTACAAGGATGTGCTAACTACCATAGCGCAGTCTCTAGTACACCAATCAGCTGGTTAGGCCCGCTGGATCTTAAATTTTATCAACTCAATAAATTTCAGTACCATTGTAGTTTAAGCAAAGTGACTATAACATTAGAAAAGGCGACTACCATAGATTTCTAGAGTGAGTAAGTGAATCGACACTACTGTCAATGAGTGTCTAATCAATTCAAAAAAAGACAGGTTGAAGCAAAATATAAACAAGTTGCTTGAAACAATTAAAGAATAGAACAAAAGGATATTTGGCAGTAATACCTATAGAACCTGAAAAGGCACTCCAGTCCATAATTGTAGTTAGCTGCAGCATCTTCAAGTGCAAGTTTGCAGAACTCTTCATACATATAAGGGACGAACATGTCTCTAAGAAAGTATGACCAAAACCGGTACAGTGTGTTCATTTCCTGCACATAAAAGTCAGTTGTCTCCAAGGAAAAGTAGTTGAAAAGGCTGCAGATACCAAACCCCAAATTAATCAACTGCATAAGCTGGCACTAAGAAAGCCAAATGATTCGTTCTTAGAGGAATTAAGCTCATGCAGATTGGCCATCACACTGCAGCAAAAGGGTTCTGCAAGTAAAGCTCCTAGAAGCATGATAAAGCATCGAAATTGGGAAGCCATAAACATTGAGTTCCTAGGAAACCAAAGGCGTTCATATAATAACAGACAGAAGGGAAAGCAGAAAAGGCATGATAAGCTAGCCCTTTGTCTTATCTTCCTACATTGACCCAACGTAATTGTGGGTTTCCTAATGAGTTCTCAAAAATAACCTTCGGAATCAGCAAGAAAACCGTGGCTTCTCTACCAACTAATGGGGAAAAGGCCTACAAAAGACAAGGTCAAAGAGGAAAGGTTGCACCATTCTAATCTCAATGTTAAACAGGATAGATAAAACACTCTTCCAACAAAAACATGAAAGTAGGTATATCATAAGAAAGAAGGATGAGCACACAGTTCCCGAGCCTTCACAAACCTGGTCTCAAACGACAATGACTTCTGCAATCAACATATACAGCTCATATTCACCTCTTAAGATATAAAGAGCAAAAAAGCAGACGGACACACCTCACTGCAACCGATTCCTGACTTCTTTCTGTCATTCAAGCACCGTTTGCGATACTTCAGGTACCTTAAGGGTAGAGCAACTGTGTGAGTCAAACCTCAAATTAAACAAAGCATATTTAACAGGGAGCCCTTACATTTGCTGTTTAAAACCATTTTCCTCCAAAAGACGGTGACTCGGATGCTGAAATGGTGGAAATGACTTTGGCATCGAACCAACGGGTGGACTACAGCCAGAGAGATTTCCATGAGGTGAATTACTCAATTTTGAAGACCTGGGCCTGTATTTGTCACCATTAGGTTTGTGTTACACTTGCAAAAACTAGACAACCAGCGAGACCACCAAAACCTCGAGTCAGATGGCACAACGGAAGAGATAAATTTCCTTCCACAACATGCTGATGGAGAAAGTACTAAGAGACCACAAAGATGGTAGCAAAAATTTCAAACTAACCCATGATTTTCAGGAGGAGTAGACCCAAAGAAATAACCAAAGGAATTGCTTGGCGGACTCTCTGATATCACTCCTATAGTGCTTCGAGCGGTACCATGATTTCTAAAGTTGCTGGAAAAAAAACGCTGTTGAAAGGATGTGTGTTGCTTAGAGGAACTCTTATTTTGCTTTCTGCGGGGATTAGTAATGCCAGATTCACCAGGACTGCTGGACGCAGCAAAATGTTCCCCCGGCTTGAAGTTTGATACTCCAGGGCCACATTTTCCAGACCCATTTTCCGAACAGTTGTTCTTTCGACGATTGGATTGCTTTTTTTCTAGTTCCTGTCAGCAATGAAAAAAACCATTATCCGTGATGTAAACTTCAAGTTAGCGATAAAAGACTAAAATACAAGAATTACTCTCCACCTGCTCATAGTAGTAAAGACCCTCATCAATTGCAGAAGCAAGTTCACTAGAGATTGACTTCGATTCATTGCCTCCAGTTTCATAACATCTGCCAATCCTGCCATTCTGCATTGCACAAAGAAAGGATTCAGCAACTTCCAAATCCAGAGCACTGGTCAGAGTTCTTGAGAGAATCATTATCAGATGGTGAAAGATCAGAGAGAGAAAAAAAGAGTTTCTTTTGAAAGGCCGTTGTTTCTAGTAAAATCGATGAACATTTCTCCCTATATGAGGAAAGAGAGACAATGAAGAAAAAGGTGAGCTTCTGTTTGTCTTTGGATACTCACTGCTTCCTATCATGACTATTTCTCGAAAAGTAACACCCCAGACAAAATGGACAATACTTTAGAGCACCAAACACAATCTCAAACTCCTAATAAACTGCAAACTTTCTAATGCTATTTTCCCTGTTATCAACTGAAACCATAAGAGAGAGAGAGCATATGGACCTAGAATAAAAACAACAGTTATATATTTTATTATCTGAAATAAAAATAACATGTAGTTTAGATACAGATAGAGACTTTATAAATACAAGCTAACCTCTCTCAAATTTTCCTGAATCAGACCTCAGCTAGGTGCTTAAAGAAAAAATGGAAGATAACCAAAGCAGCTTCCCAACCCTAAGCTAACAACGGAGTGGGAGACTAAAAGTCAGTAAGATGGTTTCTTTACAAAAGTATGCACTTCTTGCACAAGCACGTCAAAATTGTGTCCAGCTAATGACATCTGTTTGCGAACTTTAGGCACATTTATGCATGAGAAATCATTAGCAAAGGCAATTAACAGCATTTTAAGTCCAGTACTCCATACTTCCAGACAAAGCATGTTTTAAGCAGAGTACTACCGGAAAAAAAACGCAATTGTCTAAAACCACAGGAAACATAGATAAGTGACTGAGGACACCTTGACTCACAGATTAAACAGCAATGCACGTGTTCTTTTTTTTTTGTTTAAACATTTCTTCTTGCTAAAAAAGTAGCATACCTGTGTTACTATCACTAGTCTCTGAACATCATGATCATAGCCTATGTCATCATCTTCATCATCAACTCTGCGAAAACATAAGCCCAAACCAGAAAAAGAAAGTTAGAACAAGGATCTATTACCCAAGATGAAAAAGTGGTCCAAAAATGCCAAACAAAAGGCCTTAAATTTTATTTATCTGACAAAAGTTGTGCGGTCAGAAATATAAGATCGAACAAAGAGGAATTATCAGAACTCAGCTGGTTTAAAGAAACGTTATCTCGATATGGTTAACAAGTACTGGAACCAACATAGTTATTTCTTGTTTAGCACAGAAATAAGTTTGAAAATGACAATATTCAGATGGTGATAAGACATCGAAAGTTAACCATGCTTAAGTACTAGAGGATCGATTTAAAAAAAAAAAAACAGAAACTTTAATCTCTGCTCTTAAGCAGCAGATCCATAAGTGAGAATTTTATATAAAAATGCCTAAGAAAACACCGTAACAAGGTTATTCTGCAGTCTCCATTTTCCACAAACCAAATGAAGTTTCTAAAGTAAGTCCCTAATAAGTTTCCTGAGTTTTTCTTTCCCAAGTGAAAACTAAGATAAACTCAGCCATGGGTCCAATAAGAGCATACAGATAGGAGGGGGTGAGATAAATTCATTGACTAGCAAAACATCATCAAAAGATACTATCTACCATTTCAAGGTTCCAACTTTCCCTTTATAATTCCCAGTCGCTTGTAGCTATGGATGTTTTACTCACTGCACAACAATATATTACATAGTCCTCTCCCAGGTCAAAAGAATTATCATATTTAATAAGACATAGAAACATTGTTTTTAGTTGTCAAGGATATTGAACAGATCACTAGATATAATCAGAACCCCTTGGTGCTGCATCTTATATTATCCATTTAAAAAGTGCTCAGTTTGACCTACTTTTTCTAAAGACTGATGTCAGTTAGCATTAGTTCCTTTCTCACATCTTTCAAGAAAAATAAACATCTCCCCACATATTTGTGTCCTCATAATTAATGCATAGGTGCTCTTTCCCATGGATATGTATCACATAGTCTACTAATGCTTGAGATCCTTTTTAGTTTCATTAGTAACATTTCCAAAAGCGGAATTTACATGCTAAAATCCCTGATGCCTAAAACCATTTCAGAAGACTGCCAACAATCCCATCTGCCGTAAACACACTTTCTTGGGCAAATAATATTTTTGAACTGCATATGAAAGGAGCAAGAAGAATAAAGCATGTGGCACCTTCTAATTAGAGAAAGATCGTCTCTTTTCACAGTATTTTGCTCTAGCTCCAGCTCTTCATCAAGCATAAATGTGCTAGAGAAGTCATCAGATAAGTCAGAAACATTAATGTTTCTAGATGTAATTGATGGCGCTTGGTTTCTCTGTTTCACATAATTGCCCCATGTTGTTGACTCTGTCTCTTGTATATCATCAGGAAAAGGAGAAGGAGTGCCAGTAGCATGGTTTACGCACTTGACAGTTGATTGAGAAGTTTTCCCATTCGAATTACACTCCGCATCACAAGATGGATGTGCGGCACAGCTTCCCTGTGAGAGACTCTCTGCTTTATCCTCAGTTGCATCGCTATCCTCAAAAGAATCAACACCAAGTTGACTTTTAGGAGTCTCAGCTTTTGATGTAAGTTCATTCCTCTTGTGAATCCACTTTGACCACTCATCTCGCTTTCTTATATTGTCACCCTGCATGTTCAATAATGGAAATTGGCCCATGAATTCTCGAAAAAATGAAAGGGCATTAAGCTCGGACAACATGTCCTTCAGAACAACTGAAGAAGAAAAATCAAATCATGCATAACTGTCGGAAAGCCACTTTGTAAGCATTTGAAGTTTTCCGTCATAGTCCAACCAAAAAGAAAAGGTTATCTAGCAAAAAAACCATTTCATAATCCTGTCAGCATACATTTTTCATCAACTATTGAACACCAAAATCAGACCTTCACTTCAATAGTGCTCGAACTTTGCAAAGCATAGAGGATAAATTGTATGTCGGTGCACATTTTCTGTACCTGCAACCACACATCAAACAAAGAATAGCCTTTTCACTATTAAAGGTGTTTCATCCAACAATATTAAGCAAAAACTAATGTGCATTATTTTGTAACATAAACTTAACTGATGCACATTGCACACGCATTGGATACAGCATTAGTGTACCTTCCAAGCAAAATAAAATAGAATTATTGTATCAAAACATACCCTTCTGAAGTTAGCAATTTTGGATATTGAAACCCATCCTTGTTCATCCATCAACTCAATTAGATAGTTGTCATTCTGCAAATTCTCATCACTGCAAGAAGTAAAAGTCAACAATTACACTAGCAGAAACATGTTCTGCAAGCAAGCAAACAATCATGCAACTGCGATGACCATAAGATATTTTAACAGCATTTTCTGGATCAAGTCTGTCATGTCGTGCACAGCACACGGAGCACACCCTCAAGTACATTTCTAAGGCAAGCACACAAAAAAGCAATGTCAAAGGAGCATTAAGAAGATGAGAGCAAATTCCACGTGCTGCTGATTAAATATTATAGATTTCTATGTACACATACTCTGTCATGTGATAGAAATTTTAGTTTATCGGAGAGCACTACTAACAGCATGAACACTGTTAATGTTTGTGCACCTGATAGCAATGGGATGGATAATGCTCAGATTCTTTGTCATAAGAGGAGGAAATCAATGGTCCATGGACAGTGGTTTAATTTGCAAAAGTAATGAAGGATCAATACCTGAAGTAATACTCAATTTGTTTAATAATGCTTGACTTCAACGCCAGTGTTTCTGGGGGTAGTGTGCTAGCCCCTGGATTTACAGGATGGGAAAAAAGGTGTGGAGGATACGGTCCTCGAGAAGCAAAAGGAACATAGCATATGGATGTAGGTCCTGTAACAGAGACAGACTATTTAATTCGAAGGTAATAAAACACCTGGCAAAAATATAATATCCAAATGACCAAGCAATCTAAGTGACCCAAATGAACAATATAAAGCAGATAACAAATAGCATGGAGATAAGAAAGAAATCATTCCCTACTAGGATTTTTTTTAGCTTCATCTCTCATATACTACAGTAAACATCATTTATAAGTCTAAACAAATAAATCTTTTTGATAATGTCAGAGTTTTCTGTGGACCTCACTGAGTATGAGCACACTTGCACTAACTAGAAGCCATTGTTAGAGAAGAAGCCTTAGCTAGCTAAGATCCATGACACGAAGAAGAGGACATTTTGACTAAGCTAGCCATAAGCTAATGCAGAAATGTCGAACCTAGAGGATAAAATATACATCATATAACGCTCTGAAAATTCACATTCACGAAGATTAGAAGAAAGAGGGCAAGAGTTAGTTTCAACTTTCTAAAAAACTTTATATACATCACTTGTTTGAACAAAATGAAGGGTGGACCTCGCTCTTCTTCAAGCTTACGTTTCTGGATTATACATCTTGTATACTTTGATAATGCACCTATTCGTATCCACTGAATCTGTCATGGCTTTATTAAGAAAATCCAGATTGGAAATACAGGGTAAAAGCCAGGTCTTGAAAGGTTCTTACTATTCCAAGCACCTCATAGAAAACAAGAAAGGATCCAGCAACCTATTCCCTAAAGAGATTCCAATTACGGCTTTGGATGACATCTCAATTTTAGCAATATTTCAATTCTAAGTATCATTCATGAACTTCTTTTCTACCATCATTACAGCAGCTGATTACCTCTCACAACAAGGCTCTCCAGGTGCCAGGTCACTGGCCAGTCAAAAAGTCCAAGATGAACTACATGAACAGATTCAAGAACATCTATTGCCACCATGAAAAGGAACAAGGCGTAAATCCATACCTATTTCAATGAAATAACTAGAATATTGCGGATTGACATATAATATACCTAAACCATGCACCTTGACAAATAACTAAGACAGAAATGGGAATAAAAGCCAAACGTCCTTTCTGGGTTCATTCTCTCAATGCTGAATAGATCATCTGATAATCCTTTGCCTTATGCGAGGACGGACTGAAGGATTGATTAACAAATACAGCGAGTGTCTAGAATGACTTTGACTACTCACTTTTTGCTTTTTTTCAAATCTAGCGCTTACACATTTTGACCTTTAATTAAACCCAGAACTTGAAAATTTCGCACCTTCCAAATCTTGACATGTATATTCAGATATAATCTGTTCATATATCGATTTGAATACTATCATAACTTTTGGTAGGATGACAAAACAAGTTCTATTTATTTCTATGACTAAAAAACAAATGCACCAAGATAAAGCTAAGAAACCATGGTTGTATAATTACCTGGGAAGCCTGGACCAACCATAAATCCAGGAGCTGGACCATAGAATGGAGCCCTAAAATACGTTCTTGGTCCAACAACCTGTTGCATTGGAATGGTCTCTCCAGGGCCAAATGCTCGATGATTCCACGGTTGGGAAGGACCACCAGGCTGCTGCATATTAGGTCTTCTATTCGCAAAATTCACAGCACGAGCATTAGGATCTCCTTGTGGTAAAGGTTGACTTCTACTGGGATTAACGCCACTAGCAGCAGGAATAAAAGGCTGTCCAGGTGTTTCACCTCCTGACTTCACCAAAGGAGTCTCAACGCTTGGAAAAGGTCCAGCACACGGATGGCAAACATATCCCGGGATGCCCATATGGGGGGCAGGAACCATAGTATGATATATGGGGGGAGTAGGAAATTGACCATATGGTAATTGTACAGGGAAAGGAGGCCCACCATTTGGGTTGCGCTTAGAACCTGATTTTTGATGACGTGTTGATGAATGCTTCTGTGAGTTATAGTTTCCAGACCCTTGAGACTTAGGCTGCATGAATGGTGAATGTAAAAGGAACAGAAAATGCAGCGGGTTACGAAATGTAGTTCCACCAAAGCAAAGGAAAAGGAAACACTTAGCAATCACACACAGAACAACAAAGTACAATTTTTTTGAAGTACATTCCAGCATCAAAATCACTACATCCATGAGTTTTCCTGCATATACCGGGTGCATGCACTTCTTTAAAACAATAGTTTTGAAAACTTTGGACTTCTCAAGCAATTAGTGATTAAACATTCACACTTTATCATCAGATCAAATTCAAATGTTCAAACACAAAAGGACAGAAACAATAGAAGAAATATTCTTAATGCAAAACCAACAACAGGTCTGTACTGTCACTGCTTTGAGTGCCAAAAAAGACGTCATTGCATGTATAGTTCAAAGTAGGGAGGTGCGTATTACTGAAACCACTGAGAACTAGCAATTTATCACAAGTGTTAATAACAATCTGCAAACCAAAAGAAATTAACACCTTATTTGTCGATCATTTCGTTTCAGCAATCTTGATAAAATGACACCCATTAAATGAGTTAATTATCTCGAACTTATTCCAAATAGGACAATGTATGATCCATGCATATGAATGGCATGGTATATATGAGCTTATATGTTCATTACCACTTTACACTTGTCTAAATCTGCTTATATCCACTTTGTTAAGTGCCAGCTGCAATTCTTTGACTCTTTCCATCCAAAGTTTCTTCACCAATCGAGGCTACTAAAGTACTCGATCACGCTTTGATATCATGATAGATGCCTCTGCATGTAGCAGGAGAGGAGGCAAACACAAACTCCTATTCTCCAACACACACGGTACTCCAAAACTGCAAGCAGCAGATTTTGATATTGTCTATCTACTTAAGAGAAGTCGGCTAATCATAAAAGGAAAATAGGAGGTCACCAACACTTCTACTATGCCAAACTCACTCCTAAGTCCTAACTCCTAAGCAGCACACTAAAACTTGTATTGGTTATCAAAATTACAATCCCCTTACTAATTCGACGTTCCACTGGGAAAGCATCCTTGATAAACCCATACAAAGAAAAAAAATGGCAAATTGAAGGCTTTCTGAGAACGAAATTAGGTAGCGCATAAAGATATAGCCTAAAACTGGAACATCCAATCAAAATCATCATTGAGAACATCTGTCAAGCCATCCCTCGTTAAGAACTTAAGTTTGAGTGTGGTCCCATGTCTTCGCGTTTTACGGCTAATCTGCTCCTAAAATGGCTTCACTTGTCAGGTACGTTTTAGGCGCTCGTGCAAATCAAGAGTGAATATGCTCCAGAATAAAATCCCAAATGCAACGAGCAACTCATAAAACGCCACGTCCAAATGACGCCACTATTAATACCGATCATCACAGCTCGAAACCGAAACGCCGATCAAGTACAGCCAGCGAGCTTAATCTATACGATCAGACAGAAGCTAAACCTGAGCAGCTGGTGGGGGAGCTCCCCTGTCAGAAGCAACCGATGGCGGAGGCTTCGCCGGAGATTCCGCGCTCTTCGTCCGCGGCGGTGCATCGCCGAGAGCAGGCCAAGACTCCGCGCCCATCACCGGCGCCTCCCCGTCGGCCGCCGCCGCCGCCGCCGCCGCCGCCGCCGCCGCCGCCGCCGGGGTCTTCCACGGCGACTTCGGCCCGCCGAGCTCCCTCTGCTCGTCGACGCTCTCGTTCTCGGCCGTCACCATCGCCTCGATCTCGGCCAGAAGCCGCGCAAGCCCCTCCTCAAATCACCCGACCGCACCGAAAATGCGGGATCAGCGTCGCCCCGTCAGCAAGCAAGGCAACGAGCGGTTCGGAGGGGAAGCGCCTTCACGAGTCTCTGTAAGCGAATCCTCCTCCGACGATCATATCGCGGGCATGCTTCGCCTGGTGATCACTAGCCGGACAGCTTCGCGAGGCTTATGGCTTGCAGCAGCTAGAGAGAGAGAGAGAGAGAGAGAGAGAGACGGTGGATGTGCGTGGGAGCGACGGAGACTAGGGTTGAAGACAGCGAGCAAGAGAGAGAGAGAGAGAGAGTGCGAGGGTTTTCGGGACGAGATTGACAGCAGCAGACGGAGTGTGGAAACTATGGATGGATTCAGAAGAAGCACTTCTTGCTCTCTCGCGAGTGAGGACTGTCGCTCTATGCGCTGCCCCGGCTCATTTTTTGGCTGTCTCCAGATACGGGGGGGCGCGCGATTCTCTGTTGCGTTTGGGACCGTTGGCGAGTGAGGGGACCGGAGAGTCGGGGTTTATCGGAGTGGAAGTAGCCAAAAAGGTGGTGTGCTCTCGAGAAAATCAAAGGGCGAACTTTTCTATCGGTCCCGCGTTCGATGCATAAACCCTAGGGACGAGTGGCAGTTGGGCTTCCGAGATGGGCCCGATGGGCCGAAGGCCCAATGCGTCCGGAGATTTGAAGCACTTAGAAGCGGGGAAGAAAATTTGCATGCATCCGATGCATGTGACCTATTGGGTGAGGCAGGCATCTCCCGGAATAGCTTGGAAGCATGATTTGTCAATTTCATTGTACTTTTTGAGCTCTCTGTCGACGAGTCCTCCCCTCTAGTCTTGGACTAGGGTTACCTTTGGATTGTTGGCTGCGCACCAAGCTCGAGCTTTGCTCACTAACAAAAAATTACGATATAGATTTGTTGGCTCGGCGTTAGGCCTGCCAAGTATGCCTTTAGACCAGACCGATCCTGGGTGGACCCTATATTGGCTTTCGAGTTTCTCCCCCTTAATGATGCAAACATATCTTAAAGGTTTACATTTTGATAAGGGAGTGCGATCACAGCACAAATTATTTTATTTTTTTCTGTTCTGATCTAGTTATTCATGCGAACTAATCGAACTAACGACGCTCCATCATTGCTTCGACAGATGAAGGGCCAATATCGGAAATCTCAATTTTTGTGGATTGGGTAATTTGTGTACCTCGTAACAACAACACGTGGAGAACACAGGCCTATCGACGATGGAAGTTGTTAATATTGAAAAGCAAAGTTAGTTGTCAAGCACGAAAGGGAAAAACAAACAAAAAAAACTAAAGAGCAGAAGGGCCAGGTTGCCTTGGACTAAGCCCAGAACTCTCACAGGTGCAGGCCCAAAACGACACACGATTCGGCCCACGGTTCGAGCATCATCGTCCCGTCGACATCGCTTCACGCTCGATTTTTCCTCCTTAGCTCGTGTCTCGCAGTTCCACTTATGCTCTGGCTGTCCGGAAGCACACGACGAACTCAGTCCGCCATCTCCTCGGCCGGAGCAAAACCCTAAGACCCATCAAGCCGACTCGTCGAATTCCATGGCCAAGAAGAGGAAAACCGTAGAACCCGAGCCCCAGCCACCTCCTCCGAAGGAGGAATCCGAAGAAGAAGAAGAAGAAGAAGAAGAAGAGGACGAGGATGAAGAAGAAGACGAAGAAGGGAGCGAATCGTCATCCGAAGAGCAGGAAGACGAAGAAGCGTCGGAATCAGAATCCTCCGAGGAAGAAGACGAGGCGTCGAAGCGAGAAACCATCAAGCAACTCCTCGAGCCATTCACCAAAGACCAGCTCATCGCCATCCTCAAGGAAGCCTCCGCGAACGACCCTTCTCTGCTCTCCGAGCTCATCAAATCGACCGAGTCGGACCCCGTTCACCGCAAGATCTTCGTCCACGGCCTCGCCTGGGACACCACGGACGAGGCCCTGACCTCCGCCTTCAAGCCGTTCGGCCCGATCGAGGAATGCAAGGCCGTAAATGATAAGGCCACCGGCCGGTGCAAGGGTTACGGCTTCGTCCTCTTCAAGACGCGCGCCGCGACGCGGAAGGCCCTCAAGGAGCCGCATAAGAAGATCGGCAACCGCATGGCCTCATGCCAGCTCGCGGCCGCCGGTCCCCCATCGGCGGCCCCAGTTTCGTCGGACGCGAGCTCGCGGAAGATGTACATTGCAAACGTGGCGCCACAGGTCAGCACGGAGAAGCTGCGGGCCTTCTTCGCGAAGTTCGGGGAGATTGAGGATGGGCCTTCGGGTATGGATAAAGTGACGGGTAAGTTTAGGGGTTTTGCTATAATTGTTTACAAGAGCCTAGAAGGTATTAATAAGGCATTGGAAGAGCCTGTCAAGGATTTTGAAGGCACGAGGTTGGAGTGCTCTCTTTTTGTGGAAGGTAGAAATTCCAAAACCGTCAAGAAGGCTGCGCCCGCTGCAGCAGCCGTGGGGGGCGGTGCAGTAGGTGGTGCGGGCGCTTCAACGGCCCCAAACAATATCGGGTTTCAGAATTTTCCGGCTGGGTTCAATCAGGGATTAGTCGGTCAGAATTATCACCCGGCGGCGGTTCTTTTGGGGCAGAATGCGGGTTTGGGTTTATTGAATCCTTTTTTGGGATTTGGCGGGGGTTCCTTAAACCAGGTGGTCATGAACCCGTCATTCCCAGGTGCAATTTCTGCTCCTTTGAGCAGAAACACCGGCGCATCAATGGGATTGAATTCTGGTTTTGGCCTGCAACAGGATATTAATAGCATAAGCCCGAGTGTGATCAGTGCATATAATACTCAGGCTGCTTTGCAAGGGTTGGGTGCTTATCAAAACTCCCAGTTGGGTCAGACCTCTGCTTTAGGGGCATCATCAGTAGGGAGAGGACAACCTGGTGCCGGATCTGGTGGGTCGAATTTAGGACGCTAGGTAGGTGATTAATTTTGTAATTTGGTTTTGAATGTTGTTTTATTGTCATTCTTTGCGTTTGATTTGCTTTGTAAACTTTGTTCTTAGGATGCTTAGAAGCATTGGATATATTTTATTAGTTTGTCATGGGTGCTTGAGAAGTTGATATATTTATCTACCATTTGTCCTTGTGGGCACCCAGTGCCCAGTGTTCAAGAAATAAGAACGCGGTTGGACTTAACTTGTGGGAAGCACATCTAACTTAAAGTGTCAATTTGTATTTTAGAATCGACCGTCGAATGCACACAGTAGTTTATTTCAGTTCATTGTGAAGTCTGAGAGCATTGCACAAGTAGCCATGCAATGTCGGGGCTACTTCTAATAATCTCACGGACCTTTCAGAATTTGTTATCAAATGACTCTTCTTACAAATGAAAAGTTTGTTTTTTGGTCGGATTACAAATAAAAGTTGATGTAGCACATTCTCTATGTGTCACGCGGCATGTACGCTGGCCTTCCATCAAATTTTTGACAGGTGGTTAATGGATCGTGAGTTTAAGTTATGTAAGAATAACCTGGTTGAAAATTTTCAAAGTAGAGTGACCTTTTCAAAGTAATCATCAAAGGATTGCGAAGCATGTGACTTTAAACATTTGATTGATCCTCGTTGAAGAAAGCATTTATGTCACAATTTTCTATGAGAGTTTCTGGCTGCTCGGTTAGGTCATGAAATGAGGGTTGAGATTGTGAATGATGGTTTGAGATCCAGTAATTTGAGAAAATTCATCATGTTGTCCATGGATGTCATATTCCCGAAAGAAATCTTTCCATACGAAATACTTGTTTTACTATTAGTGAGTTGTAGATTTCGAGTCTTTATTTTTCTGTTTGAATGAGAAGCTTTTGCCAGCAGAGAGATCAGTCACCAATTCTCATAGTGGCAGATATGCTAATGAGATGGAAGTATTAGAGTAACACTGTTGTCCTATTTCCAAGTGGCTTTATATGGCAAAATGGCGTTGGAGACGCTTTTCTTTGTCCATTTTTTTATTCGATAAGTGGCGTTGGAGACTTTTAGCACTGCGAGTTGTGTAAGGGCTAGAAATGTTAAAGCATGATAGGTCCAGGCCCTTGTGCACCCTGGCAAATATCTGGTTGAGAACTGTAATTGAACTGATGATAGTTATATAAAAGTCTAAATGCTGAAGTTACTTGAGAGTAGAAAGTTATATTGAGTTTACAGAGTAGCTTCAAGCAATATCCTCAGAGCTGCATCAGAAATTTTAGTGAGATTGTCCTTTTGCTTCAGGAGAGCAATCATGTATACAATTGCCTTTCTGTTGATTACAAAAATCTAGGTTTTGCACATGGCGAGTAACATGATACCTCTTTCAGGGGTTCGGGGTGGTTATGAGTCTGGAGGTCGTAATTTTAGACCAGGAAAGTCCATTAGGTGCTATTTACATTCTTTTAGCTCTAATGGTTATTATGAATGGTGTCTGACATCTTTTGGACAATACCCTAGATTACATTTTCTCCATGTTTGTCGTGATTCAATTTGGATGCTAAGGCATGTAAATAACAACTAGTGAGCAGCTTGTTCAAAGTTGGTTCTCCCTTTTCTTGCTTTATTCGGGATTTTTAATAACCCTACGGTACTTTCCTAATTCACTTCAACTCAGAACAACTCTGCCTCTGTGATTGCAGTGGTCAAAAGGATTTGTCAGTCAATGGGCCTTCACAGCTGCAATGCTGTCTCAAAAACCAACCGAGGAGGAGTCGTCTCAAGATGTTCACAAAATCGATCTGTACATTGATGCGACGATGCTGTCTCTAGTCTGAGGTGAAGATGCGTCGACGGTTACTTATTTGTGTTGAATTTGAAGTGTAGACCAACAATTGGCGAGCTGTTCATTGTGAGAAAGCTATATGATTCTTGTTAGTTCTCATTGGGACTCTCTCTCTCTCTCTCTCAAAAAAAAAAAAAAGGTGGATCTTGATTGACATGTAAACTTGTGTAAGCGGTGTGCTGTGCCGACTGTGCCATGTCGCGTCCAGCCACCTAATATTTTCTCGTGAGTGGTCTGGGACTATGCTGACGTGGAGGTCTTGGATCACCAAATATTTTCTCGTGAATTGATTTAGCCTTATAATGCATGTCTGAGGAATGAAAGCCGGAAAAAATCAGGCACGAGAGAAGAAAAATCGAGAGAGAGAGAGATCTCGCAAGTCTCCGCTCTCGAATTGAGCTCTTTTGATTCAGCCATGGCGGAGGGAACAACAAGTTTCCCCCACCAAAGTTTTTTTTCGGTCTTTCTTTTTTAGTTTTTCGGGTATCGCTGGTGCGGCTGGGAGGTGGTGGTGGACCGGTGGTGGAGGTGGAGGGGTTACTGATTGATGCTTGAGAGTGAACTTCGGAGAGCGAGAGCGACAGAGAGAGAGAACTACAAAAAGTAAGTAAAAGAAAATTCTAACAAAAAAAAAAGGGGAGGAGATAAAGGGAGAAATGTTTCCGTACCTGCGAGAGCACAGGCACACGTGTGAACCCCCGCTAGTCAATGTTAAGTTCTGACGTGGTGCTGATCCATCGACGCGTCTGGGTATCGGATCGATTTTAGGGCGAATAGGTTTTGAATCTAGAATTTGAAATCTATCTAGGATTGGTTCCCAATTTTGAAACATGAAACCTAATCTTATTTGTCCCGAGATGGACCTTATTTTTTCGATCCAGTTTCGAGGTGTACCGAAGTACTTGTGTTTCTTTTATTTATTTTTTTGATTTCATTTTTTTATAGTAGAATAATACGGGTAATAAAACGGTTTTCAAATTAAAAGACAACGAGGGCCAGTGAGCAAAGGCGAATTGAGAACGAGCCCCATTCTTGCACCTAACATTTTCTCGTGAGTGGTCCGGGACCACGCTTGACGTGGAGGTCCCGGACCACCTAATTTTTTCTCGTGAATTTGAGAATTTAGCCCTTATCTTGCATGTCTGAGGAATGAAAGCCGGAAAAAAAATCAGGCGCGAGAGAAGAAAAATCGAGACGTGCGACGAAAGACCGCCCGCAAGACGCCAAGGAGGTGGGAATCGGGAGTCGGGCGGCGGGTAACGTGGCATATCCCAAGTTTTTGACGGAACAGAACGCGACATGACGATCAGCGAAAAGCTCCGTTCTTTGTAGTTAACTCCCGACTTCGCTCTCCGCCGTTAATGTCCAGCTCGTCTTCCTCTTCGTCTTCGTCTTCGTTCCGGTAGGAGAGAGAGAGAGAGAGAGAGAGAGAGAGATATCGCGAGTCTCCGCTCTCGAATCGAGAGCTCTTTCGATTCGGCCATGGCGGAGGGGCCCGAGAGCAGCGACGCCGTCCCTCTGTTCGAGAAGGCTTATCACGCCAGCTGTCCCGGGTGCGAGGTCGACCGCCTCAAGCGGGAGCGGAGAGGGATCCCTTACAGGGACCTCTCTTTCATTTGGATCGTCTCCCTATGCACCGGTCAGCCCCGCCTGACTCTCTCTCTCCTTCGCTTTGACGAAACCCCGTCTTTCGTTCGAGTTCCCGCGGGAGTTTATGGAACCTTGTGGGTTTCAATGGCAAATTGATGGGTTGAAACTGTCGTGGCGCGCGAAACGGTTGTGCATGCTCTCGTCTTGTGTTGAAGGACAGTAACTTTGAGGGAGGTTCGACGCGAGTTTAGCTGTCGAGTTGAGCTAGTTTGCGATATGGCGCGTGTTGCTTTTTTAGTTAAGCACTGGACAATGAAATAGAGCGTGATCAGTTATACCATTTCACGCCCTCTGATGAATTTGAGTCTAACATGACTGGAATCTGTTGCAGCAGCAGCAGCAGTAAGTTTTAAAAAGTCTGTTGTTTTTAAGTAGTCAATCAACGGATTCGGTCGATTCAAATTTGAACGAGTGTCCATGTTAAACGATGAACGATATGAGAAGGTTTAATGAGGCATTGTATTGTTTGACGAGTATTTGAGTACTATTTTGTTTTCTTTACCTTCAACTTGTTGGTTCTAATGTTGTCACATTCGTCTCTTTTTCCCGAATGTGAGTAAAAGCGCCGGTTTTATTTAATTCCGAATCTGTTATCCGCGTTTAGATTTTGGGGGGGGGGGATCATCCTCTCTCCTGTAGTATGAAATGATATAATCGTGCTCTGATGATTCGTCTTCCCGCTTTTGTTTCAGCTCTGCCGATCTCGTCACTTTTTCCATTTCTGTACTTCATGGTACGCATCTCCATTCCTAATAAGAACTCACTTTAGTCATTGTACGATGAAGTGTGAAGCTTTTTCTTCTGCTGGTTTCTTAATTTTGCATGCATGCACAAAAAGATAGATTAAGTTGTTGTCACAGTCAGGCACTTCCTTCATTTTACGACTCAATTACAATTCCTACCGTAAAGTTTTCTGCACATTATTCTTGATCTCGCGTGTGTCATTCTGTCGGTACCAAATGCTTTGATTGGAGGACCTTGGTTAGGGTTGTCTCCACTCCAATTCGAATCTTGACAAAGGCTGATTAATCATGTCTCTGGAAGCTTTAATTAAAGCCCATATGGTCACTGTGATAGTAACTCCAACATGTAGAATTAGAATGAGTTACCTGTCGAGAGTGATCTGCCTTTTCCCATTTCGAGCTAGATCTCAAAGCTCCTCAGGAGCATAAATTTCTTCAACTCTGCCCTTGTGCTTCCCATTCTATATCTTCCCAGGACAATTAATCATGACTTCTACTGTCAGATCAGAGACTTCCATATTGCGAAGAGAGAGGAAGACATTGGTTTCTATGCTGGATTTGTAGGTAATGCTGAGAAATTAATTTGTTTTCATTTTAAGGGATCTTGTTTCCAGAAAAAAGATAGGTTAACCTATCTTGTTCCCAATATTCACTGAATCTTTATTACAGATTGATGAGGATCTTCTTTTTAGGGTCTTCATTCATGGTGGGAAGAGCTCTGACATCTGTTTTCTGGGGAGTACTAGCAGATAGATATGGTCGAAAACCAGTTATTCTCATCGGCACATTCTCAGTGTTAGCCTTTTTCCTCCTTTGGCAACTGCAATAGCAATGAAACTAGCTCATTCGAAAGCCTGTTAACATTCATTTGCCATCAGGGTTGTCCTCAATACTCTCTTTGGCCTGAGCACCAGCTTCTGGATGGCCCTTTGTACACGTTTTCTTCTGGGATGCTTCAACAGTCTACTCGGTACTATAAGGGTATGGTTTCTTTCTCTATGCTTAGCTTTTATTTGCATTATAGATGCTGTAGTGCAGGGTTATTTGGTTCCTTTTCCGCAAATGCTAATTTGCGGCTGTTCCTTTGGTTTGTTCTGATTTAGGCTTATGCCTCAGAGGTTTCTACAGAAGAACACCATGCTCTCACTCTATCAGTTGTAAGAAGTTTCGCCTGTTCTCTGGGTGATCATGACCCAAAACAGCATCTGATGCAGTAGCAATTTACTCAAGGGCTTTTCATTTCAGGTCAGTACATCAAGAGGCATGGGGCTCATCATAGGCCCTGCTATTGGAGGTTTCTTTGCACAGGTGTGGGCTTTGCTGCTGCTCAAGTTCCCTTGTCGTCATGCATGATGGTTTTACAAGCCCTATACTTTTTGCCTTATATATTTGAATTCATCAATAACACTGTCGTGGGATTGAATTACCCATAACATATTTTGGGAAAAACACTTTGTTGGATAATTCTCAATCTACCGGTTCATAATTTCGGAATCCAATGTTCAAGGAAATAATTTACCAGTAAGATAGAGCTCGAAAGGTGGAAGTTGGTGACCTGTGAAATGTTCTGGCAATTTTCGTACTTTTTCCTTATTGCTAATTTCACAAGCACGTATGATTTTCTGTCAATCTCCTTTTTCCATTGTTTTGCATGGTAAAATTAATCATCCTCCGGTGGTTTCTTTTCATAGAATTAATTATAACAAGGATTATTATTCAACAAACTAGGATTGATGAATCAGTGTCCTTCTATCATGCCAGGGCTAGAGCTTCAATTTTATGGAAGGCATCTCTGAATTTTCTCAATCTCATTCTTATCCCCCTTTAGCTGTCTGGAAGTCTTTTTGGACTTATTTCTTACAGTTTATCTTTGGGTGCATCAGCCTGCAGAAAAATATCCGGGTTTGTTCTCTCAGAGCTCTATCTTTGGAAGGTATATGACTATCATCTTGATCAGGATTCCATGGAGAACCTTTCTATCCATCTTTACATGCTGGTAATATAACCTCTCATGCATATATGCATCTTTGCAGATATCCCTACTTCTTGCCGTGCCTCCTAATATCGATTTATGCGGCAGGAGTATTCATTTCTTGCTGGTGGCTACCTGTAAGTTTCAAATAAAATTCTAGTAATCTTATTCATTCAGGAAATGGCAGTTTTCGGTCTTGTAAAGCTGAATCCATCGATTCAATGTCATATTTCAAAAGTCCAGCATGTTTTTGTCCCTTTGAAATTTGAGCAAAAACGAGCAGCATATAGGATTTTTTCCGATATGAAACCAAGAGGTTCATAGACTGGAGTAAAATCATAACTGTTGCGCATATGCATATGCTTTATGCGCACTGTTACTTTGTCCAAGTTGGTCGGTAAAATAATTCCTTTTGTAACTCAAGGACTTGATTTTTCTTTTATTGAATCATTGGAAGTCTGGATCAGCCCATCTGCTGAAGTAGAGTCATCAATAACTTCATTTGTGAGAAAAGTTGAAAGTAGGGGAAATGAAGCTGATAATAACTATACTTGTTTGAAATGGCCATTATTCTTCATGATAGTACTGAACTATGTTGTTTTGCCAAAATTGCCATTCCACTTGTAAATATGTCTCGGTTATAACTTAGAGGTAATTGCTTATGCAAAGTTGTCACAAAATATCTATGACAATGCAGGAAACACTGCACGTGCATGAAAGCACAGATGGTAGGGGCTCGTGTGATGAGGTGGAAATTTCGTGTGATTCATCTGATACTACAAAACATGATACAGAAGTTGAGGAACAGAAAACTTACGAAGAAAATCTCCTCAAGAATTGGCCACTGATGTCCACTATCATTGTTTATTGTGTTTTCTCGCTTCAAGAAATTGCTTACTCAGAGGTGAATTCTGTTCTTATCCGTTATATCTCTCTGATAGTGCTCACAAACACGGTGCATATTGCTATATTGATCCTCTTAAGTGATAGAATCTACTCAATTGTACGATTTGCAAGGTCAATGGTCTGCAACACGGATTGAGGTCATAGGCATCTGAGGCTGATCCTTTTATCTACCTAAGCTTATATAAGGTTAATGATCTGCAACTCAGATTAAGGTCATAGGTATCTGAGGCTGATCCTCTTATCTGCCTAAGCTTATATAAGGTCCAATATAAGTTCATGATTCGGGGTCTAACTTGTGTTTAGGGCATCTGCTTTCTGCTTCTGCGATTGTTCCAGACGTGTCTTTATTGCCTTCAGTTAGTTCATTTTGTTCGATGGTGAGTCATTGTTCGAACTTCGAACGTTAGGTGCATTCTCAGTCTCAAGAATTCTGTCTCGTCAAATTTCAGTCTTGTGGTCCATGACACTGAGCAAGATTGGGATCGGTTGGTTTTTTCGAGTTCTCAGTCTTGAGAAAAAAGGGAAGGTCTTGAAACATGCCATTAAATCAACTGCCCTTTCATTCATTCACAGATATTCTCACTGTGGGCTGTCAGTGAAAGAAAGTATGGAGGGCTGAACTTTTCATCTCAAGATGTTGGTGAAGTTCTAGCTATTTCAGGTACATACTTTTGTAGATCTGCACAACAGCTGAATTTCCCACCAGGAAAAGGTCCTTATGCAATGACAAAGGAAAGCTTCTTATTCTTGAGTAACTGGGTTGCTTTGTCACTGTGTCATCTTAACTTGTCTTCAAATCATTGGAGAAGTGGGAACAACTGGACTTACAAAGAAGGCTGGTTACTATTGGGTAGCAAGAGTGAAAGAGGGTGCTTGTTTCTTTTTTTGGGGGGGGGGGGGTGGGGTTGAATAGATGTCGAAGAAAGAGGCAACAACTTCGATATCATTTTAAGTTTATAATTCAAGTGTGGATTCTGATGTATCATCGAGTTCAGTACTCAATACTGTAAGCTTAGGTTGACTTGCATTTGCATCATCGGATTATATGGTTCAACAGTTTAGCTAACTATTGGGAATGGCAATGTCATCAGGGTTTGGTCTTTTACTGTTTCAACTTCTTCTATATCCCTGGGTCGAGAGAATTCTTGGGCCAGTAATGATCACTCAACTATCAGCTGTAAAGTTTGATCTTTCACCTAGTTTCCTCATTTCATTTTTTAAATGTAGTTTTTGCGATAGAGTTGAAAATTAATGTTTTTGGTTACTCGTTTCCAGGGCATATCTATCCCATTGCTGTCAAGTTACCCTTTTATAGCCATGCTTTCTGGATTAACGCTTCACATAGCAATAAATTTCGCATCCATATTAAGGAATGCTCTTTCTGTGAGTATCTGCTGCTCTTTCAAGTATAGGGGATAATCATTTATGCCTCAAGTCTTGTCTCTTTTTGTCATTTTCTAATTAGCCTTCGTTGTCAAAGTATGTAATCACTATTGTTTCATGTATTCTCTGGTTACATAACAATATTTTCGAACTTACTCAATGTCAAAGTGATTCCTTTCCAGGGAATTCACAGAATATTTACTTAATCAATAGATGTGCATATATGTATTATTTCTACATTTCTTGATGATTTGAGCCATTTATGACGAAGATGGATTGGAATAGCACTTACATTTTCACAATTTCATATCCACTTCATTTTAATTGTTCTATCAGCCTCTGTGTCCTTAGCTTAGTCTAAATCCTGAGGATATTTTGCTGGGCAGTTTGCAGACTAGAAATAATTTGACACTGATAAGGCCTCCTTTGAGAATTTCTTGCGATGACATATTTTGTGATGCTATTGTTCATGTTGTCATTGTAATTGAATGAGTTCTTCTTGAGTAGAAACCTTTTCATTGTATATCACACGATATGAATGTTATCCGACCTATGCAGGTATCTGGTGTCACTGGAATATTCATATTGCTCAACAATGCTGTTGTAAGTTTACCATCCGCGTTAATAAATAATTTGATAGGCATTCTGTTTCATCTGTTTTTTAGCGGGAGAACTACCTAAGCTTAGCACGATTGTTGTGCTTAGGACATTATCTTTTCACCTTCTACTGCTTTGCAGCCCCAGCACCAAAGAGGAGCTGCTAATGGTATTTCCATGACTGCAATGTCTATCTCAAAGGCATTTGGCCCTGCATGCGGAGGTGCCCTGTAAGTCAAGTTAATGTAATTAATATCTAGTTGATATCTGCTCATTGTAAAAAGTATGTATGGAGCTTGCAGTAGAGGCAGCAGCCAATTCACTGAAAGAGTAGTGCTAAGCAGCAGTCTGCCTCCCTTTTTCTTTATCAGATTATTGAGGTGCACCAAGGGGACACCTACCCATTTACAAAATCATTCACACTATATTGAGTCCACAAGGTCCAGAATAGCATTTACATCAGAGGTCATGCTATGTGATACCAAAAAATAAAGTACGAAGCCAAGTGACTCTAAATTCCGCAATCCAGCTCTCAGAATGTCAAAGTTTTTAGCGTTTTCCCTCCGTATCAGCCAAAAAGTTGCCAGAGAGATCAATGATTCATTTTCTCTACATTCCTTCTCATGCAGTGCTTCTGTATTCCTCATCTCCATTACTTTAGTAATTAGGTATTGGCTGTAAATTTTGAGTCTTCATAGAAATTTGTGCATGTTCTCGCAGAGTACTCTGCGAAGATGACTTCTGCAAAGGGGTGAGTAGCAGGGACAGATTTGCACAGACATATATTTTTTTTCTTCTTAGCTCTTCTTAAACATAGGCATCTGACTCCTCCTTTTGGCTTATCAATTGATTTTTTGATTTTTGGTATGTCTCTGTCCCAGAAAAATTGATCATCAGACACAATAAGAAAGCAATTGAAAATTGCCCTGTCAAATCTACGACACCCCTTTAAAAGGGGCATTAATGTACTTATTTTGCTAGCCTAGAATAAATCTAGATGTGACACTTCGTTCAATTAATTGATATAAATATTTGGATATATCTGTCAAAGTTTTAAGGAGTCTTGCAAATGTAATATCAATACTGTGGTATTCAAAAGCAATGGGCAGTGCTCACTGATACTGGATAAAGAGTTGCCTGTGGTAGCATCTGAACATGGACAACTGAGTCACGATGGGTCTGGGATCCACCGTCGAGCGTGTATAGTTCTTGTATTGTCTCTACTGTTAGTGTCTAGCCGGAAAAAGGCCAATGTGGATCTGGGACTGGGATAGCTTTCCTTTTCAGGTAAGAGTGTACTAGTTCCCCCATGTTCTCGTTATAAGTAGCTTCCATAGATCTCATTCATGTTATGATAATTAGATTTGTAGTGAATTCAGGATATTCCTAATATCTCATTTAGCCTTTCTGAAGCTTGCTCTCCTTTGAGTACAAATCATCTCATCTGAATGAACCAGCTTCTCTGGTTGGTGTCGCACATAAGTGCTTGTACTGTAAGTTCACTTGGTCAATGCTCAAAAAACATGGATATTAAGGTAGTATATCTGCCGGTATGTGAATGTCACTGCTTCAGTAACTTCTTTTTCTTAATCTCTTCTCTATTCTGCAGGTTTTCTTGGGCCCAGAGGCGGCAAGTAGCGACCTTCCTCCCTGGTATACACTTGTGCTCACATTGTCTACAGTCTTGTTTAAAACTAAATTCTTCCAGCACTTGTTTGAGTGGGAGGGCTTGGTGTAAACTCAGCATGCACCTTTACTATTGATGGATTGTGGATATTTATGTCCCCATATTCGAAAATTATCTAGTTGCACCGCTTTACGTAGCAGTATGGCAAGTTTAATTAGTTCTTGACTCTGCTTTCAGACAATGGGACGAGAAAACTATTGTTTTTTTAAGTTAGCTGTCCGTGCGTCACATTTTAAAGTAGTTAAAATCCCGTTTGCATCTGAGGATGTCAGTATCCCAAGAGGTAGAGCATAAGAAAGTAGAGATCTTAGCAAGGATCTCAAGCTGCTAGGACCATAAAGGATTGCAATTAAAAATCTCGATTCTGTGCATTTTTTGGAATGTATGAGCTCAGTTTTTTCATGAACTGGGATTACTTAAAATCCAGAGCTTACTTTACTAATTATTAATCTAGTGATTAACATATTTTGAAATTTTGGATTATGTAAATGTAGACTTAAATTCTAGGTTTATGGATGCTATCATCTTTTGTAGTTGCGATCTCACCAAAAGCTCATCATCCTAATTATTCAACTTTCCTTTGTAAGGTGCAAAATTTTCCATGATTTCAAGGATCTCTGTTCTCTGGTTTCCTGCCCTGACTTTGATTGAGCAGAATGCCAGAACATGTGCTGCTTCTTGTTTCAGATTAATCAGTTAATTGCAATATAATCCTATTTGTTCCGTCTCATTTCCACCCTACCACCGTCAACTTTGCTAATATAAATATTTATTATATCGCAACGGCATTTGCGAATGGTGACACACACTGATGTAAAGTTACTGATCAGCTCTTTGAGCTTTAAGATGGTTGTGACTGTACCACGAGTTATATCCGCATCTCTTCCACGGTGCTTCTGCATTCCATATGGCCGAATTGCTTCCTGCAGCCTATGCCTCATATTTCTCTGGAATGCAGGTGATCAAATGGTCTTCTTCGTATTGAACTTGCTTCAGATGATCGGGTTGATTCTCACCTTCAAGCCTTTCTTGGCCCAACCCCGTGAGCGAAGAGCAGCTTCCCTTACTTAAAGAGCAGCTTCCCTTACTTAAAGCAACGGGAGGTTCATATTCAAGTATACAAGCCTGCCCTTCTAGGCCTCAGACTTGAGTCTAGCAGTGGGCTTTATAGGTATAGCATAGCATAGCACACAAGGTCCCAACATGTGATGCACTGGAAAATGTCTAGATTAATAAGATTTACGCATACACGAATGTGTTCATACCGGACATGCCCACTTGTTCATTCGGTGCACATCATTATGCTTATTAAAGAAACACGACTTTGGCACGTTTGTTAAAAGCTGCCTTACATTCGAAGTGTTGGAGATAGGAAGCCATGATCGACACGGTGCGAATAAGGCGGTAGACGTGTTGGCTTTCAGAGGAAGAAGCACTCGAAAATGGGTCTCTTGCGACCGGGTTTCGTGGTTCCGTTGACTTTACCTCCCTTCGAGGGCACGCGCACGCAGCCACTCGTGCCGGTCAATTTGTTCATCTCCGCCCTCTTCTGCCTTCTCCTGCCATTAAAAGTTATAGAGATCGTTAAGGTGAGTAAAAAAGAACAAAAACCAAAGGCCATCTCTTTTCCTGCTTTCTTTCGTTACTTTTTTTTTTTTTACTGTTTTTGCGTCGAGGACAAGGATTGCCTTGGTAGATTTCACGAGGCATTACGACGCACAGCAAACAGAAAAGTGAGAAAGCAGATGTGGAATGACGCGTCAAGTAGCTTCAAAGTATCAAATTCCCCAACCATGAAAGTGGAGAACACGAGAAGCATGAAAGGCGATTGCAAAAGATAAAGACTCCCTTAGAAGAATTTTATTCGGGCGAACAAAAATGTCCTCTCGTATAAGAGCTATCGTATCCATCAAAAGGGGCGTGTCGTGCAATGGCTCCAGGCACCCCTTTTCCAGAAAAGGAGCGATTCTATACCAAGCTTTGATATAAGAAACACGTGATCAGACCAAAGAAAAGAGCAATAAAATATTCAATTAAAACATAAGAAGAAATATGAGATATTATATTCGAATAAATACTACTTACAGAGACTTTCGTCACAATAATTTGCATCCATATCTCTGCACTTAAGTGATTAGACCGTCCTATATGATTAGGCCTCTCGACCGTGGGTTTACTTGGGAAAATATTTCTAGCCTATATGCAAAACATCATTTAAAAAAAAAAAAACCCTTACTTACTTCAACAGTTTTGGACGAATGACATATTGAAATTTTTCTAACACTAATGCAGGACATAACAAAAATCCCAAAACTTTTATATGTTTTTCTCCATTTTCCACTTCCAAGGTTTTTCTTTTGAAGTGCGTACTCCACTGGGCCAATCAAGCTTCTTGTAACCAAAGTGGGCCCCGTCCACATAAAGATGCATTGATTTCTAGCTTATGGACCCCTTTCTTTGTTAACGACACTGATCTTATCACCAAACTTATCATCTAAAACCAAAGAAACACGTCCGCATCATCCCACTATATCCGCAGAGACGCCTTATACGACTCACAGAGGACCCACAAGGACAACACAAGTCTTAGATGTGCCCCCGTGACATCAGAAATGGGAAGAACAGCTCATAAATTTCTGAGGAAGGCGAAACGCTTCATCGATCCCTTGCCATAGATTTCCCTGGAAAATCGTACTTAGAGCCCACAGGGAACAAAGCTATCACGAGATCCTCTATCCTCACTTTCGCTTCTTTAGACCAGACGAATTGCACTTTTATTTGTATTACCGACTCTTTTGTTTATTTTGTGCGGTCATTGTAATTGCATGTACAAAAGTTAAAACTATCCTTAGAAAACAAGAAAAAAGTTTCCAAGGCTAATTAGAATCTCAAGGGTTGGCCAAGATTCACTGATCTTGGTACGCGAGAAAGGGTTACAAACAAATTCCCCAACGGAATTTTTTACGACGACAGCCCAACGAGGCCGAGAACAAAGTTTCACATCACCAAAGTATATTGTTAAAAAGCAACGGAATGAAGATTTAAGACCAGGGTAAATGATGCAATGCATCATCTCGAACGATGTGGCAAGTCTTTAGAAAGATTGGAATCCACGAGCCAGTGTCAAATAATGAACCAATTGTGATGCGCAGATAACTGTACTCTCCCCGTTCCCACCTTCATACGCCAGGAAGACCAAAAACATTCTGAATGACAACTTACCAAAGTGCGCAGAAGAACAGAATTGCCACGAGCCGATGACCGAATTTCCTCTGAATGGTTGCCTCCTTTGTCTCGCCTCTTACGCTACAAGCAAGAAGATGTCATCTAAGTGGCTGTTCTATGCGATTAACTGGACCAATGCTTCCTCTCATCGGAACTACGCATGATAATATCGATTTCCTGCTCATTGGTATCCCACTTTGGTTTTCATTTTAACCTTTATGGGGGTTACTTGAAGGAGACCAATTCCGTCTCACTAACATATTCAACCATTGCTACCCAAAGAACACGTAAAGTCCCTACTCAGCCCAAACGAAACTTACATGCACCTCCATTACTCCACAGAACAAGTAAGCACGTATCTACTCAACAGAACTCGCGACAGTTCTTGGATAAGGAAATCGATATTTTGGATACAGTAATTGGACAAATATGACCAGGAAGAGGATGGTTTACTGTCTCTCCAGCCCTCTATAAAGGTTGGGAGGATCTTGAAACTGAAGGGAATTTCCTTTTAGCAAATAATGTGAGCGCGCGAGATACGGGAGAATTGTGAATGGAACCAATTCTCCATTGTAATGTAAAAGAAGTGGCGAGACATGAAGAGGCAAAAGGTAGCAACCCAAAGTACACAATCGGACAAAGAACGAGTGATACGTATACCAAACGATGTCGGATATATCACCAAAAGGGGATAGGACGATCAAAATAGAAAGGAATCAAATCCAGCTTTCCGCATTACCTTTATCCAAAACCTGCTATTGTACGGCACATTTCCAAAGGAAATCCACCAACAAGTGGTCAACTGCGAAACCTGTTAGATGCCACACTACCACTGTCGATATGCAAGCAAAAGATCAAGCCACTGATGGAGAACATGAAACTCCAATTTCCTATAAGACAAGAAGTATTCACGCAAAAACTGCAAAGATCTAAACTAGCAACCAGAATTGCCATAGACAAGTGGGAAAACATACGGTTCTCCAATTGTTCTAGATTCATGTACCTAACTAAGGGGCATATAAGAAAAGGAGAAGGAAACTAAAGGTCCGACTAAACTAACATAGAAAGCAGACCAAACAAGTAAACATACAAACAAAGAGTGCCACTCAAGGATGCAAAATAAGTAAGAAAGAAACAGCCACCCAACAAAAGCTACTGACACAATTCATGAGGCCCTAGGAAATAAAGTGTCATCAACTTATCTGCCCTGTTCCCTTATCATTCAATCATACGCAATGAGAAGACTGGTTTAGGTGTGTTCTCACTTGGCCATCATGACTCTGACGAACTCCTCATAATTGATTTGGCCGTCACCATCAACATCAGCCTCACGGATCATTTCATCAACTTCCTCATCAGTCAGCTTCTCACCGAGATTTGTCATGACATGGCGGAGCTCAGCTGCCGAGATGAAGCCATTCTGGTCCTTGTCAAAAACTCGGAAGGCTTCCTTAAGCTCCTCTTCGGAGTCGGTATCCTTCATCTTCCGAGCCATCAAGTTGAGGAACTCTGGAAAATCAATCGTACCGTTTCCATCAGCATCAACCTCATTAATCATGTCCTGGAGCTCTGCCTCAGTTGGGTTCTGTCCAAGTGACCTCATTACAGTCCCAAGCTCCTTGGTGGTTATGCAACCTGCAATGAAACTGAACATCAGGCAGGACATCGGTGGAAGGTTCACCACGTAACAAAGAAATTATCACTAGAACTATTTCCTATTGTTGCTCGCATAATCTTCCCGCGCATTCACTTACTTCCAGCTCTGGACATTCCAGACTACGGACGTTCTGACAAAGAAATGTCATTGAATGACAAGAATGAAATGAAAACCCCCTTCCTAAGCAACCAGGTTGCAACAGCAAGTACTAAAGAACATAGGAGTGATGAACAACATGATCAAGCACCCAGCTACACTTTTTAACATCAACATGAACGTGTCGGCCAAAAAAGGAAATCGTGGAACATGACAGAGGCTGATGGCCTTCGGCAAGAGAAGATAACAAACTCAAGTATGGCGGGCACCAAACTACAAAATCGACCTTCAAACAAATTAATTTTACTGCTAATCATCGCTAATAGTTTAAGATCCTACTCCTACTATGTTGTTTTATCGATTTCTAGTCAAAGCACGAGAAGGGCCTACGATCGTCAATTTAGAGTAGATGAACACGTTTTTCTTAAATGGTATAAAGAGATCTCGACGCCATGCCATAAAGTACAAAAAAAAATGCTTCCTACTCCAGAAGATCTTCGAGAGCTAACACAAACAGGGAGACAGAGCTGAAAAGGAAAACACAGTTCGCACAACTACGTCATAAACAAATGCTACAAGAGAACCCCACACGCCCCAAAAGTCCATCTATGCGCGTACTGGAGTACCTAATTTTTCAGCTCGTGTTTCTGCCAATAATTCACGACACGGAATTCAAAGCCCCGGAAATTTTACTCCGCACAGATCGTGAAAGAAAAAGAAAAAGTCAAACTCCACAGCAACACATCAAACGGGAGCCAAATCCAATCACATATTGACCCAACAATCGGTAGACGAAGCGAACAACCTCCCGAATCCACCGTAAAATCACCAGAGATCATCGAAGCCCCAACACATCAAACGGAGCAGCAGGACCTGCCATCCCCTCCCCCCTTAAAAGGACATCAAACGAGCTCAAACACTTCAAAAACTTCAACCAAGAACAAACAACAGCCAAAAAATCAGACGCCGCCGCCCGCACGCCACGCCACGGCACGTCGGACCAAGCCGAGACCGACCCCGAGGAACCAAAAAACCAACACCAGAAAACGGATCCATCGATCGCCCGAACAGCTCCGAAAACCGGAATCGAAACAGTCGAGAGCGACGCAACGCCACAGCACAGCGAGGAAATCGAACCGGCCGCGAGCCGGCGAATCGAACGAGAATCGAAGGCAGCGAGAGAGAGAGAGAGAGAGAGAGACCGTCGCCGTCCTTGTCGAAGAGGCTGAAGGCCTCCTTGAACTCGGAGATCTGATCGTCGGTGAGCTGATCCGCCATGCTTCCCCTGGTCCCGGCGGCGAGATTTCTTCCCCCCGCACCACACGCGCGCACACACAACCCCGCGTCGCCGCCTGCCGAAAACGGGAGGAATTCCGAAAGGGAGAGAGGCGAAGAGCGAAGAAGGAGAAGGAGAAGGAGAAGGAGAAGGAGGAGGAGGTCGTGTCCGCGTCTGGCTCGTCTCGGCAGACTAGACGACGGAGAGTTGAATTAATACTAGTCGCAGCAGCAGCGGAGTGTGCGCAAATTACTCCTAAAATAAATAAAATAAAGTAAAGTGAAGGAAAAAGAACAAAAAATAAAATAAAATAAAAGATAAGGAGGGAAAAAGTTGCCCCCGCCCCCACAGCTTCTCCTTCGAGGAAAAGGCATCTCATTCTCTCGCTCGCTCTCTCTCTTCACGGAATCTTGTCCTCAATTTCCTGTAATCTTGCTTTGATCCTTTTCTTTTCCTAAGTGCCGCCGGCGCTGGGTGGGTGAAGCTTCTTTGCTTTTGCCCTTCTTCTTCTTTTTTTTTTATTTAATATCACGAAATATCTCAAATTAGTATACTTACGATAAATTTACCCCAGATTAATTTTTTAATCACCAAATATCATAAACCAGTATACCTGCGATGAGTTTACCCTCTGATAGTTTCGATTAAATTTTATCGTTAAATTGCTGTATTTAATGACACGTGGTTGTTAACGGGTGTACCGGTTTAGAGTTTTGCCCTCCGTTTGTCACAGGTGTACCAATCTGTGATTTTTCAGAAGGTAAATTTGCCACAAATGTACCAGTTTGGGGTTTTTGATGGTCAAAAAATGAGTTGTAGGTAAATTTGTCACATGTATACTAGTTTTGGGTTATTAAAGGTCAAAAAATTAGTTTTGGGTAAATTTATCGCAAGTGTATCGATTTAGGGTTTTTCATGATATTAACCATTTTTTTACGCCTTTCCTATTTTCCTATAAGAGAAATTTAAATTTCGATATGCCTGATGAATTTTCAAATTTACGGATCAAATTTATAAAGAGGGAGCGTGAAGCCCAGCTAAGAAAAAACCCTTTGGTTGATTCGGAATTTACTCGAACTCGATTGAGTTAGGAGTTAATTAGACTTAATGGATTGCTTTTTTTTTTCATAGCTCCATTTATATCTTGAATAGGTATTTAATATGGTTTCGTTCGCGCCTTGAATTGCACTTAATAAAGCTCCCCCTCGCACTCGTAAGCTTACCGCATTGTGCCGGCTCCTCGTCCATCCAAAATCCGTGATGCATCTATCGGCAGTAGCATTTTTTAACGGGATCGATAGTTTGTTACTGTAAATTGCAATACCAAACATTACATAAGTCGCACTTTTGTTTCTTTTTTTTTTTTTGGACAGAAAACATTATATCATATTCTCATTCAAGTGAAAGTCTGTGACAATATACGGGCTTCAGAACAAAGCAATTCCAAAAGACAAGTAGGAGGATAAGCAACCCAATTAACTGGTAAACATTTTTTGCGTTGGGCTTTGGCGACCCAATCCGCTACATGATTACTTTCTCTTCGACAATGGGCCAGCTTTAAATTGCTGAATAACTTTGCACGGGCCTAGGCTTCGGTGATCAGTGTATAAGCTTCCCAACTCACTTGATCTGCTCCCTCACTTATCATCTCCACTAGATCAATTCGATCTGTCTCCAATATGATATTCAGTTCACTTTTTGCTTCAAAGTGTTTTAGGGTTTCAAGCACAGCAGCGGCCTCTGCCTGGATCGCCGACGAGACTCTTACCGATCAAGCAAACCCATCTATTAAGATAACTTGGTGGTCTCGGCATACACACGTGATGCCCCCTTCCCCTGTTTCTGCAACAAAAGACCCATCGACGTTAATTTTAATCACCCCGAGGGGAGGAAGGGTCAAAATCGAAGGTAATTCGTTCTGTGGTTGCAGTTTTCCATTCATTTTCTCTAACCATCTACTGAAGTTTTTCTCCGCGGCGATGACTGAGGTGACGATGTGTTGGGTATTTAACTTCTGAGCTCTGAACACCAAGTCGTTCCAAGATTTCCATATCTGCCATAATAATAAAGCAAGGAGCTCAAAGGATATGGAGGTATGTTTAAAATTCAGCATCCATTCCTCTATTCGAGTCACTGAGCAACTATCAACTTTAATGTTTACTGATGGGTTGTTCCATATTTGCTGAGTCCAGGGGCATAGAAGAAAAAGATGCTCGATGGATTATGGATTCTGTTGACATATCAAGCAAGTGGCTTCAGGTATTATCTGTCTTCGAACTAGATTCTCCTCAGTTGCTAGGGCATTTTGGCAAACTTGCCAAAGAAAAAATCTGATTTTGGGTTGTAAGTTTGCCTTTCAAATTCTATTCCATAATTCTCCGGGGGTTTGGTGCGACGTTGATGCTTGATTCTAATTTGGTGTTTCTTTCTGTGCTTTGAGATTGTTGTACGCACTTTTCACTGTGAACTGCCCTGTTTTGGTTGGTGTCCACATCAATTTGTCCTGTGGAAGTTGGGGGTTAATGGGAATGGCTAAAATTTCCTGGGTTGTTACAAAGTCAAACAACTCTCTCACCCTATTTTCATTCCATTTGGCTTCCTCCCTAATCATTAGTTCGGATACCTGAGTTGGATCCTCTCTGTTTGCAGGCTCTCCAATCAAACCTCTAAACAACCACTGATCTTCTCTTATGTTGATTTTCTCACCATTTCCAACCACCCATCGAATCGACTGACTAATGACATTACGGCTAAGTTCTGCCATCCCCAGGAGGGACGTGAGCCTTTTTTCTGCATGTAATAAATCTGTACGAGGATAATACAATCCTTTAAAAAGTCGACTCCAGAAAGAGTATGGATTTTGGATTAGTCTCCATGCATATTGGCCCAACATTGCCTCATTAAATGTAATTAATTCTTGAAAACCTAGGCCACCTTCATCCTTTCTTGCTTTAAGAGTGTCCCAGTTTTCCAATGCAACCCCCTCCTGTTTTCAGAATTTTTCTATCGGAAAGCTGCAATTTTCCTTTCAATAGTTCAACAAATGGATAGGGGAATTTTGAAGATGGACATTGAATATTGTGGTAGAACTTGCACCACTGTTTTAAGGACGATTTCTTTCCAACCTTCCAATTTCTTATTGACTCTATCAAGGGTCCAAGCAAACATTTGTTTTTTTTTAGCAACCCTAGTTGGATGGTATTCCCAAATACTTCCCTGTCTTCTCTATCTCAGGAACTCTCATCTCGCATGTTTGATTTATTCTTAATTCACTTGGGCAGTCTTTGCTAAAAAACATACCCTGCTTGTTCAAATTTATTGCTTATCCGGACGCAAAACAGTATTGATTCAGAACCGCTGCCACATTCTGACACTCAACAATCTTTCCTTCAATGAAGAGTATTAAATCATCTACAAAAAGTAGGTGAGATAAAGTTGGGCAAAACTGGTTTAATTTTGATACTTCCATTTTCCACCACTTTCTTTAGCAAAACAGATAGCACATTAGCCATAATGATAAAGAGGTAGGGAGAAAGGGGGTCGCCTTGTCTTATTCCTCTAGTAGGCTGAAAGAAAGGCAAAGGTTCCCCATTCATTTTTACACTGTATGAGACTGTGGAGACACATTTCATAATCCAGGAGACCCATGTTTCACAGAATCCCATTTTCAACATACTCACTTCTAGAAAATGCCATTCCACCCGGTTATATGCCTTTTTCATGTCTAATTTGAGCACTGCATGAAATTTCTTTTTTCTCTTTCGACTTCGTAACTAATGGAGTACCTCCTGCACTATTAATATATTGTCTTGAATTTGTCGCTCACTAACAAAGGCACTTTGCTCCTTAGCTATCAAATCCAGAAGCCACAGTTTTAATCTATTAGCCATAACTTTTGAAATGATTTTGTAAGCGAAATTGCACAAGCTTATCGGCCAAAACTGATTTAACTTCTCTGGATTAGGAACTTTAGGAACGAGGGTGATAAAGGTTTTATTTAATTCAAGGTTAAGATTTCCTTAATTAAAGAAAAGTCTTACCTCTCTGAATACTTCTTCTTGGATGTCCTTCTAGTGATATTGAAAAAAATTTCTACTTAAGCCATCTGGTCCACTGGCCTTTAAGGTGCCTAGCTGGAAGGTTGCCTCAGTTACCTCCTCAAGAGTAACTTCCTCAATTAAAGCCTGGTTGACCTCCTCACTTATAAAGTATGGAATCTGATCAATTACTGATTTGAAAACTCTAGACCCTGTTGTGGTGGATAGCTCTTTGAAATAATTGACTGTCATGCGTTTCAATTGGTTGGGGTTTCGGCTCCATTCATCATTTTCATTTTTCAGCATTGCTATTTTGTTTCTTTGCCTCCTTTACACTGTAGTTGCATGGAAATACTTCATGTTTTTGTCCCCCCATTTCAGCCAATTAATCCTGGATCTCATTCCCCAATAAACCTCCTCCTGCCTCCGTAGTCTTTCCACCTCCATTTTCAGCCAATTCAATCTTTCTTTATCAAAGTTTAGGTTTTGACTATTTGTAATCTCCCGTATCTCTTTTTTCAGCATTGACATTTGTTTTTCAGCATTTGAATACCTCCTCTTACTCAATTGCACTTAAAATATGTCGTAAATTGAATCGCGATGACAATGAATCTCCCCCGACAATCAAGACGGCAATAAGAGATTTTTTATTGGAATACAATATCCACTATATCAGACATAAACATCTAGAGTTGTGGAAGTACAAAGGAAGGCCCCCGACCTTCAACTTGTTATCATACTTCATTGAATCAAAATTTACTTGGAAGTTCTAAGCCATCGAGTTAAGAGCTAAAAAGATGTATCAATTTCTCTTTCTCTTTTCAAACTTCAAACGCATGACACGAGATTGGTCATTTCACTCACACCTAACGTGTAAGACCTACTCTTCAGTGTATACGATTAGTATAATAGGTGGAATGAGCTCCAATAATTAACTGACGTGGACTTTAGGAAATGAAGTGCATACGTGACCTCAGCTTATCAATGAAAGTCCTTTAAACTTTAACTACTCACTTATTTGGGGGAAACTATTCTATTAGCCCAAAACTTATTATGCAGATGTCAATTCAATCAAATTTTTTTTTAATTTTATCATAAAATTTGCGCGAAATTTCGACGTAATCCTTTCCGGCAATTTTCATGAAATCACTAACACGACGGTGTATCATGAAGAATGGTCAGCGACGGCTGGACTGCCACTTCAACGATTTATGGCGAAAATTTACCGATAAGACTGCATTAGAATTTCATGCAAATTTATGAATAAATTGATCAAATTGAAAAGTTTAAAACTGAATTAGCATCCATACGATAAGTTTAGGACTAGCCGGATAATTTTCCTCATCTATTTCCACCTACAAGGATATACTATATAGGTTGGATAGCTCTAGCTAAAAAAAAGTAAAAACCCTAATTTTTCTGTCTAGGCCAAGGTTTTATATAAAGTTTTTGCACAATTAACTATGTTGTTTATTTTGTTCTCGGATGGTTAGAATTTGGAGCAATATTTTTAGATGAACGAGGTATTGAGTTTTATAATTTATGTTTTATATTGCATGTTTGAACCTTTTTTTCGTTTATAATTGTGCGTGACTACGTGTTCATCTTTTGGATTGCTGCTTTTGGCGGATAGGAATTTCTGTTTTTCATCTTTTACATTGAATCGTTTTATTGCTCATGTTATTTTGCCATAAAGAATGAAACCAGAAAAACAGATCGTCGGGTAAATCCTGAAACCGGACCGAAAAAAATAGGGTAAATTCCAGAATCGGTTGCAAGGAAAACATAGTAAGTTAAAGGTTTCACAAATTGAGAGCCAATTCTAGCAACGTAGGTTCCAGGTTTCAGTTCTGAAATCTGCCTACCTCGGAACCGATAACCCCTAATCTCTCTCTTCCTTTCCCTATCACGATTTCGGAATCTCCATTTTACCCCTTTTCTTTCTCTCCTCGGAACACGAAGACACAAGTCTTCTTTGCTTGTGAAAATAAATAAAGGCAAAGAATATTGCAAAAAAAACACACGTAGCTGTCGATCCGATGTCATTTCCTTGATAGATTCGATGTCCGTCGCTCTCGCTCGTGAAATATCTCCCCAACACGGCACCCGAAGAAAAATCGTATAAAATAAGAAGATTAAAAAGAAGAAGACGAAGAAGAAAATCCAGCCCATCTCGAAAGGGCCAAACCCGGGCCCGCCCGCCAAAGCCCGATTACCCGACAGAGATCCGCAAAACGACGTGCCGTTCAACGAAATGGCGCCAAAAATCAGAGCCGTCTTCCACGGTCGTTACGGTGCAAAGAAGTTGCGTACTTACTGTCAGTCGTAGATGCCGTCGGTATGACCGACGAGCTTCGAACGTGGAGTTTCTCTTCCTGTCCGACAGGACAAAGCCACGTCACACGTGTAGTCGAAGTACCGAAATCGGACGTATAGAATGGAAGAAGGAAACTGACTAATCTAGGGCTAGGGGGTTAAAGAGGCCGCCAATCGCGGTCTCGGATCCCACTCATCGCGAACTCTTGAAAACCCGGTGCGCCGATGGATTGGACAAGTCTCATGTCCCGTGCACCAAAAAACGAACGATGTTTGTGATGGCAAATTCGAAGATAAAGCTCCGGCAAATTTTCAACGTGGATGACTAGTGAAAGTTGACCGTTAGACTTTTTCAGTCAGGTGACCCACGAGATAGTACTGATTTAAATGATTGGACGAACTATATGTAATCTACTGGTGAAAGAACGTTTTTACCACCTTTCAAACTTAGTACTCCGTAGTAAATTTACAAGTGTTTTAATAGTCCCTTCCAATAAGGTAATGATTTTACCACACTCATATTGAATATAATTGATTTCCCAGTATTTTGGAATTTACAAGTAAGCACGTGAGTTATTTTGCAAGTTACCATTTAAAAAAGACACAATTTTAACGTCCTAAAATTTTGTGATAGATGACCAGATGTTGTAAAGGTTCATAATTGACCTGTCAAGCAATGAGTAAAATAATATCAAAATAGTGATTTTATCAGCCAGACACATGGTGATAGATCACAATGTGCTTTTAGATTTTACGAGTAGGATACATCAATATATAAATTAGTTCACGATTTATTAACGGTATAATAACTTTACCACGCCCACATGTAACAATAAATTACGAAAAAACATTGTAAATTTACAAGGGGGTAGAAATAAAGTAGTAACCCACCCCGGAAGTAACAGTACTACTGTACTCAAATCTAAGCAAATGTGAATGATACATGCAGAGGAAGACTGGAAACAAGGAATAGAACTGCGCCCACGCAGAAGGCAGTAGTAACACCGGCTGATGAAGTGAGGACTGCTCCGTTTTAACTCACTCATGTGCGACGAGAGATGGGTTGTCGCCGCTCGGCCAGTCGGTCATCATGAATCCGAGGAATTCCTCGTGGTTGATCTTGCCGTCACCGTCCATGTCGGCCGCGCGGATTAGTTCATCGGCTTCCTCGTCGGTCAGTTTCCCCCAGAGAGTCGTCAGGACCCGGCGGAGCTCATCCACGGATATGAAACCATCCCGGTTCAGGTCAGAGCCCCGGAAAGCTTCCTTGAGCTCCTCCATCCTTCGAGCCACGAACTTGAGGAAGTCCTGGAAATCGACGGCGCCGTCCCGATCGGAGTTGAACTGGTTTAAAATATCCTGGAGCTCCGCCTCGGTAGGGACCTGTCCAAACGCCTTCATTACAGTCCCTAGGTCCTTGGCAGTGATGTAACCTGTAAAACGGGTAGAAATTATTGTTGATTGGTCACCACTCGCGACCATACCCATTGATCACCTATGCAGTTAAAAATGAAAAATCGAACAGTGGATAATGAAGAAATTTCTCCGAAACAGCGAGAGCGATTCTCGCAACGAAGACAGTGTGACTTAAGAACGAAAGTTGTTGGAGACCTCTTCGTAAAATGAAGAGAACAAAAAAGCAGTACAGGGAGAGACCATCGCCGTCCTCGTCGAAGAGGCCGAAAGCCCGCCGGAACTCAGAGATCTGATCATCGGTGAACCGATCCGCCATGTTTACCGGTACGAAGTGGACGACAAACGGGCAAAGCTGGGTAGAGAGAGGCCGCACGATCACGCAACTGTGCATGTTGGTTTTTCAGTGACCAGAGGAGAGTGGACATAATAAAGAGTGCTCCGTGGTTGCTGAGTTCTGATGCCTTCTCTCTAGCTTTCTCTCTCTCTCTCGGCCGGCCTTTGGGTTTTTTTGTCCGACTCAAGAAGTGTGAAACCTCTCTTCTCGTCGACATTGCCTAGGATTTCTGTTATTCTCTCCTGTCCTCTCTCGACCCCTTGTCGCGTATCGCCCTTCGCCATTTCCGGCCACTTTCCCCCTCTCAGGATCATCACCTTCGTTCCCCCTTCCAGCATGTATGCGAGTCAGGGTACAGTCACTCGCGCCTGGCGTCGAAAAGCTCGATTCGTGAAAGCGACCACTTGACGAATCGAAAGGCAAATCAACAGAACAGAACCACGACGAAGAAGGAAGAGAGAACTCAGCCTGTCTTTGCTCATCCGGCTTCGTAGTTTTCATGTTCTTGTTCCCACGTCCAACGGTGCAACGGATTCTGCTGGTGGATTGTCGAAATGAATATACAAAGATTCGATCTTTGATGTCCTCGTCGTGATGGATAAAGTACAGTTTCAGGCTTTCAGCACTGATAAGTTCGGGCGATTTTGCAGTTTGGTACTCCGATTTGTATTTTTTTTTCAACTAAGTTCTTTAAACTTTCTTGATTTTTTGAATTCGACCCTTTGCGTTTTATTTCGTACAGCTAAGTCCTCTAGCTTTTTCGACTCGGGCATTTAAATCCTTCGATCAATTGCTCTCGCTAAAATGTCGGATTAATTAGTGACACGACATTATCATTGTGGCAGAAGATATGATACGGTGCTAAGATGGCACCAAATGAGCGCCAAATTAGCGAAAAACAAGTCGGTAAAAAATTGAAAAAGGAAACCTTCATCGCTCTAACGGGTAAATGAAGCACTTAATTGCACAATTCAAGTATGTTAAGGGGACTTGAATGAACAAAATGAAACTAAGAGGATCAAATCACGCAAATCGAGATTGATGGAGGACTTGATTGCATAAAAATAAAATAAAACTTAGAGAACCAAGTCTCGCGCGTGCTTAAACTTATAGGATTGAAATTATATATATTCGTTGCGGTGCAAGCAACTTGTATAGAACATTAAAGAGTACAATCACACCATGTAACGGTGATACATGTGGTGCAACAAGTCAAACAAAATTGAAGTGTCAATCAGGACGAGATACATATTGCATGAGCGGGGTGATTGATTGATCACACAATGTCAATCATGTAACCGACACATAAAATATATTCCCGACATGAAAGTAGTAATCTAATTAGGAAAGCCTGAATAAACACTGTCTAGACTTATTATATATGATGGCCTAAAAAGAAAAAAAAATTACGATTTGAAAATTGTGAGAAATTATACATAATTTTACTTATTAATATTCGTACATTTTGAAAGGTTTTGGATTTAGCATTTAGTCACTTGTATAAAATGTTGGATCAAGTCTAACTAATACCGATGGTGATTAGAGCGATTTCAATGATACCGTCAAGAAAACTTTCCTTACTTTTATGCGACAACAATATGAATAATGCTAACTAATGCCGATTAATAAAATTGGGATACTATTGATGTGTCAAATCGTGACCGATCCTTTAATAAATAAGTGGGACCCGCAAGTCTTGGATTTTTCTAACAGCGCAATACCTTCCTAAGCAAGGCAAAACACAAAAATGATTAAATTAATAAATAAAAAAATAGGAAAAAGTAAAATGTAGCACCCTCAGGCGGGCAAAACCCGGGCCCACACAGAGAGAATCGCAAAGACCCGATTTCGCGAAACGGCAGGCCGCTTTCGAAATTGCGCCGGCCACAGAGGGAGCCCCCGAGTCGCGCAAATGGCGGGCCTCACGAACGCCTTCGCCGTGCTGGGGCTGGACGCCGGCGACGACCGCCTCGACGACGGTTCCCCCGCCGCTCCGACCGCCGCGCGCGAGAAGAACGGCAGTTCAGGTGAACGTCACGCTCCCTCTCCTTGCCTGATCGCAGGTAACAGGAGCTCCCGATCGCTACCGCCTGGTCCGCCTCCTACTGCCTGCTGCAGTGGAGTCGCGTAGGGTTCCTGAGTGTTCCGAGCTCGACGAAGTCGCTGGGTGTCGGCGCCTAGGGCTTGGCGACTGCCGTCGTTGGTCGTCGACTAGCTGCTCTAGATGCGACGGGACTGTTTGTTTAGCAGATTCAGCTTAAAAAACAATGAAGTTTCACAAAGTTAACTTTTTGATGGCGACAAGTGAGAATTCGGATACAAAATTAACACTTTACATGAAGCGGTCGGTGAGTTTTGATGATCACTAGGATTTAGCCATGATCGAACTTCGGCAGAACACCCTTGTTCTTAACAAGGTATCGGAAGTGGCATGAACTTCAGTAGATTCTTGTCCCACGATGCATAATGCATTTTTTTTTTTTTTTAATTTACAACCTTTTTGTCTGCCGATAAAACTGGCAAGAGGTTCCTACAAATGGCATGAGACTCAAGTGAGTCAGTTCTAGGTGATGTGTTAATTATCACTAGATGTTTGCTAAGTTGTAATTGTTCCTACGGGATTGTTGGAGATTGGTGTCCTCACAATGTCGACTGCTGAGGGGTCTGTGTGTGTAAGTGGGGTTTCGGATGCATGTACAGTAGCTGAAGGCAGTAAGAGGAGCGAGACGACTATTAAAGTCGAACAAGAGATTGCGGATAGTGCTATCTTTTAATTGTCGTGATATGCAGATGAGGCAGTTTCAGAAACTTAGCACTTGCTTATACGTTTTTACACTATGTATGTATCAATTTCCACTATTATCTAAATCGAAATCGAAGATACTAATTTGAAGTGGTTTTTCGAATGATATGTAACTCTTATATTCAGCTAAGAAGAATAAAAAGGCTAACGGTTCTGGTAATGGTGTGCCAATGAAGAACGACAAACCAGACGAGGGAAGTTCAGTGGTGCCTTCGACTGAGTACAGGATGCCTCTTGTGTGGATCGACTTGGAAATGACTGGTAAGTTATGGTATAGTCAATAGTATTAATAGCAAAAATCGGTTCTGCCTCTGCTGCATTACCATTTGCTTAAGTCAAGACACGTGTAACCAGAGTTGCTCTTGTTCTTCTCTAGCTTTGGACATTTGTGGTGATTATATGTTGCTAATTGTATTTATTGACACAACACACTGGCTATTCGAAGAGCATGCTGAAGTTACTAGACGTTTGTTACTTCTTCCCTCTCACCCCTTTAGTTCTTCTGCTATGCAGGTTTAGATGTCGAAGTTGATAGGATTCTAGAAATTGCTTGTATAATAACGGATGGAAGTTTGAACAAATCTATTGAGGTACTTTGTTTCCCTCAAGTGGGTTTTTAAGGCTGGTGTGGCTTTCAAAGATACTACTCGCAGTCCATTTTGACTTTCTTGCCGAGTTGCTTATCATCATTAGCATCACATTTGTCATCCATGTTGGTATTAGAGCCAGAGAGCAAATGATGTTTACTATATGCTTTTTAATCTCGACCTGCCAGACAGGAGATTCTTCTCAAATCCTTCTTTCTGACTGCTTGCATTAGTCTGATATCTATCTCTCTTAGGTGCTTCTTTTATTCTAAACATTTCTCTCTTGTTAGGGTCCTGATCTAGTTATCCATCAAAGTAAAGAATGCCTGGATAGAATGGGAGAATGGTGTCGAGATCATCACGCAGCTAGTGGTGAGCACTTAAAAGACTGGCTTCTTTCATTGGATTTTTTTTCAGGTTCTGAAGGGAGCTGTCTGTTTTTGAGAAGTGTTGGGTTAAACCAGACTAACAAAATTAAACTTTATGCAGGGTTGACAAAAAGGGTCCTTGATAGTACGATAACAGAGAGAGAAGCTGAAATGCAGGTTAGGAAGATATACTCAAATTTATACGCGATGCAAACATAGGAAAAATCTTGGATTGTTTGCTTCAGTATGTTCAGATCAAACTAGTGCACTCATTACAAAATAGGTGCAAACACTTCGATTCTTCACCTTATGAACCCCATAGGAAAAATCTTGTCATTCTCGAATGTTGAAGCTTAACTTCAAAATTTTAGGCTTATCAGGTGTCATTAATGTGAAATATAGCAGATTTACTGAGCTTTTTGCTCCTTATATTTGACTTTGTAATGAGAAAGAAGACCGGAGGGCATATGTCATAGAAAATCATCCAACCAACATGAAAGTGTCACACTGGTGATATTGAAGGCTGCATCCTTAGTTATAAACAGAGTTCTATCTTTAGTTTACAACTCCATGCATAAACAGGGGAAGCATGAATTCTTGTGTTGCCAACAAATGTTTTTTGGTGGTATAACTTTATTCGTCTCGAGGACATTGTGATACAAATGGCTTATGGGTGGATAACTTTGCAAGTGTGAGGACATAAATATGGTCCGGCCATTTCCTTACCAAAAAAAAAAATATGGTCCGGCCATCTATAACAGTCAAGATTATGGCTCCCTGATTTTTTTTTTTTAATTTTGAATTGCGAGTCATATGTGATTGATGGCAGAACTATGCTTTTCCCCCTTCTTTATTATATGGATAGGTGCATATTAATATCATGATTTCTGATGGTGCAGGTTAAAGAATTTGTGAAGAAAAATGTGGGAAGTTATACACCCCATTTAGCTGGGAATTCTGTGTATGTTGATCTTATCTTTTTAAAGGTATAGTTATGATACGTGTATTGGCTGGAGTAGTATGTCAAGAGGCCATTGATTTCTTGCATTATGTATAAATTACTGCATAAGAACGTATGGTATAGATAGTGCTTTTCTTTGTATAACATCGGGTACTTTTTGCTGTACTTTTTTCTTTTAAGTTTCGGCATGATAATTCTGTTGTTTAAGTGCTCATCAATATTTATTGGATGCCAGTAATTAGAAATCTGAGTGACATGCACATGCTCAAGGCTGTTGCAAAGTTTTTTCAAGATACACGTTAACCTTTTAGTTGTTGACCCTTGATCTCTGGTCATTGGGCTCATTTTAAAACTTATTGTAGTAGGTGAAGAGAAAACTTGTCTTGTAAATTATTAGTCAGTTTGAAATTCTGAGTCACAACTAAATTTGGGGAGAGAGTTCTACCCAATTCCATATGACAAACCAATCATAGTAAAAAAATGCATCTGAGTGACATTTATGGATATTTAGATTCAGTGGGGACATCCTCTACAGAGGAATTTGTTCTTACGTATGAAACTTTTTTGACCCTAACAAAAGTGGGTTCCCCTCTAATTAACTACATTAACTTCTCAAAGGATGTGTAATAGACCATGATCATGAGCAGCACCACACGAATGACGTCTAGAATCCTCACCTCTTTTGCTGTATCCCGTCATTACCTAGTCAAGGTCTCCTTCTGCCAGTTTCATACTAATCCAGAATGACTTGGCATGTAAAATATTTCGTTCTTTTAAGTGTCGCCAATCTTGGAAAGAGGTCTAGTTTAATCTTGCTGTTGGGCTTGTTTTCTTGTTGGTTTGTTCTCAATGCATTCTTTACCTGTTGAATATCATCATCTTAAGCTCCTGTTCTTATTCTCTGAAACATCTAGTTGTTTTGTCTGCAGAAGTACATGCCTGATTTGGCTAGTCTTTTTCCCCATGTACTCGTTGATGTCAGTAGTGTCAAGGCTCTGTGTATCCGATGGTATCCTAGAGGTAATTTTGTGTGGTTCCTCTACATTTTTTAAATGCATCTTGTGGCTTGTTCACAACTTAAAAGTGAATTTGATACTTCATACAGACCTCAAGAAAGCCCCTTCGAAAGAAAACAGACACAGAGCAATGGATGACATCAGGGAAAGCATCTCGGAGCTGAAATACTACAAGGAAAATTTATTTAAGGCATCCAGGTCCAGAAAATGACGTAAATGATGTCTGCACCATGCAGAGTGCTTCATCTAGAGGTGTGATTTCTAAGTACCTCCCGGATGACTTTTATAATTGAATAGCATGTCCTCTTTGTGATTGGCGCAACTGTCTTTCTTCAGGGGTTTTTCATATCAATGTTTTACATGCAATATCAGGTATGATCCAGTCATTTGCCATGTAAGCCGATGTACTATAGATCTTGCCAACATTCCAGCGTCAATTATGTATAATGCAATTATTTATATTGGTGATTATTGGTCTGACAATGGGTGGATGAAGAAGGTTTCACATCCATACTCATGGCTGGCGTGTCAAACATCTTGGAGTTGAGCATCATCACATTGTAAGGAACAGAATACGATTTTACTGAAAATTTATCTACAGAGAACTCTGCACCCTTGATCGAGCGATACTTCAAAATAGCAGTAACGTCTTTAGACATTTCATGTTTTTCAATTTAATACAATCTTCCCGTTAAGGACAGTGAATTTGGATTCTTTCAGTTGCTAGATAAGAATGAGGAGTTCCATATCATCTCTAAAAAGACCATAGGCCCAACTTATGATTGATATTGAGTGGAGAGACTGGATAATTCTCGTTAGTCATACAAACAATACTTTTGTAATTGGTATTTTGGCGTGAAAATCTGAATAGTTTTGAGCTGAAATCACAAATTTGTTTGAAATGATTGGTAACTTTTCAATTATGTTAGTGATTTTCATTATTCCTTTAGTAAATTTCTAAATGCGTTGGTTAATCCCGGATTGTTATAGTCGTCCCTCATCGACCCGATCGATTTTTTGATAGTAAATTCATCGGATATTTGGTTATGATAAGTCCAAAACTGCTCTAAGTGGAATCGAACCAATGCCTGGACAATGCGGCAGTATCAATACCAGAATTACTGGAGAATTTCTGGCGATTTACTTGGGACAAAGTTGAGGTATACTTAAGCTAAAAGAAAATTTCAATAGAAGAGCTTGACGAGGGGAAGGAGACTTACATGTTCGAAGCGGACACCTCCTCATTGCCCGACAAGGATTCTATTCATTCTTTCGCTAACTCGCTAGGCCAGCGAGGGCGGCTTGGCCATTGTCGAGGCCTGGCGATGACCGCTAGAGAGAAAAAGGGAAAAGGAAAAAAAAGAAAAGAAGAGAAAAAAAGAATTACAAAAATTATCCATGTCAGCGTTGCTGTTCTACATAGGACCGTTGGCGCTGATTAGATCGTCACGTGAGCGATTTATGGTCAAAATTGGTTGGAATTATTAAAAGATTTAAAACTAAATTGGCAAATCATCAAAAGTTTTCTGACTAAATTGGCACAATTGAAAAGTTTATAACTGAATTGACCGTCGTATAATAAGTTCAGGATTTTTTGGACAATTTTCCTATTGAAAGGGGACGCCTCCTCATTGCTTAACAAGGATTCTATACATTCTTTGGCTAACTCGCCGTGGACTACTCAAACAATAAGACAGGCTTCGAACGAAAAAAAAGACGAGGACACCGAAGAAATTGTGACACCGTTTCTTAATCATGCAACATGATTACAATGATACGGCTGAAGTTTAGTTTTGTCTGATGATGCAATCCAAGAACGAAGATACAAAGCAAAAGCATGACAGTTGGGAAGGTGACAAGATGAAGTTAATCTCAAAAATTGTATACTCCGCCGAGCTTCTCTACTTCGTTTCTTGCATATCTTCCTCAGTTTTCCAAACAATGCCCTCGAGGCAGTTCGTAAGGCTCTTGTAGAACTGCAGGAAGTAAAGGAAAATCATGAGGTTCATAGCAAAATCTCAAATGAGACCAGATTTCCAGCATCCCTCTTCAGCTATTGATATAGCATGCTATTTGCAGGAGCCATGCACAAAGAAGCATCAAAATAGCATTATGAGTGACCAAGAAAAATATGAGTGGAGAACCTTATGGAACTCCAAGGTGTCTCCTTTTGCCTTTCGCACTTCAACCATATGAAGCGACGGTGCGACTTGGAAGATCTGAAAGCCATGTAGATATTGGAAGTTATGATAAGATATCAGCTCCATGTGTACCAAAATTGTAGTTCAGACGACGATACCTCCGTTGCAACGTTTAAGTTCCCCTTCCTCCCAGCTTTTGAATTTTCGAGCCGCATCTGAGGGACACAAGCAGAAAGTAGATCAAAATTCATCCAACTACTTCTAGTTTTTACTTGAACCACTCTATTATTGGGTATGCAGCATTATCAAATAAATCAGTAGCATCATGAACCTTGTAATTCTTCTTGTGAACACCGAAACCAAGGGGCTTTGCAGCTTCTTCAATCTTGTTTATGATCTCATTCGCAGCGCATTTGGATGTGAACCTTGTTTCTCTTGTAAATCCCTATAGCCATTGAGATCATAGACATTCTTTAAAATAGAAAATGATGAGGTAAAAAAAAAAAGAGACTACAAATTCCACATTGAGCTAAGTTACTGTGGAAAACAATACGTCTGATCCAGCTCAATCATGAACAACGATCCAGTCTGCTATTTTTTATATTCCTTACTCTACCTTTCCCCATCAGGCATCGAGTACAAAATAGGATGGTGTAATTCTTCCTCTCTACTACAGAGTTTTCAATGGCAAAAGGAACTCAAGTTTCAGATGGAACTGGACTTTGTGCAACTTCATTTTTTGTTTAACAAATGTGTATTTTTGAAGCACACAGAGGATTGATGATTTCATCATTTTTATATACATTATGCACTCTGTCTTCCATCAATTTCTTCTCAGAACATGGTGGAGAAGCATAACAAATCATATCATGGAAATTGCTTATCTGCGGACCACTTTCATCTAGTTGACACAGATTGGAAAGGTAGAAAAGAAACAAACCTCGTCTCACACACCTGTTCCCCATCAAATAAATTCCCAAGGTTTAGCCCTTTAGACATCGAAATCAAATCAAATGCATTCATGGGGGTTGGCGGTTCCTCCTTCTTCTCGGTCACATGGTGTGCCTGTATTGACAGATGCACTCCTCATCAGGCCACTAATCGAAAATGCCACAGGCACTTTGTCTAGATTATGTGTCCAACTCATAACATTTCAAAATTCCTGGAGGTCCACTCACCTCTGAATCCATAAAAACAGCTTCAACATCATCCAAGCTCGTGTCTTCTTTCTCGTAAAAAACGGCGGGCTTGTAATCCTTCTTGAACCATTCATCCTCCAAAATTTCAGGAAAGATAATACGCTGCAGTCAGAAAATAACATCTTTAAAAATGGTAACCAATCCAGCAATTTAAAGTGGAGCTGGAGCTACAGCAGATTCCATAGAATTGCTGATAGAGGTAGACTACACAAAGGAAGCGAAGCATTTGGAGCTGAAGATGAGTTTTGACACTTTTTTAGAGCCTTGGTGATAAATGAAGCTAAATGGCTTTAGCCAGTTTCAACACAGTCAGAGTTCTAAGGTGTCAACTAGTGCTATGTCGAACCAGTCCAAAGGGTATGGCTTGTAAAATGTAACAGAGGCAGGTATAGTCAATCTAACCTGCCTTATAGAGTTCCTCGAAAATGTTCTGTTTGCTGAGCATATTATAAAAAAATGTGATCTTTATGTCTCAATTTTCACCAAGTAATTAACCTGCCCTAGTTCTATAAATTGACCATACAATGGTGGCAACTGGCAAGTATGATACGATGGTCCTTTAATATCTACCATCAGGTATCCCCAAATCCTGAAAGATGATGGATGAGATTGTCATCACTCGTCTGAAAACTCAAACAAAGCTCATGCTTTGAGCACCATTTCAGAAATTCCTATATGCTTCATGAGATGCATACAAGCCTATCCCCTAACGGATGAATCAAACAATGAAAAGTCCAAAAGCATCGTCACTCACGGTCACGGGATTCGGGTCCAATAGACGAGTTATCAACTTCATGGCACCAAAAGAGAGCCAGGGGGGACAAGTAAACTCTGCAGCCAAAATCTGCAGAAAAGGGTAGCAATAGTGAGACAGTAAAGAAAGCTGGATTCATGGAGAGTAAAACTGTTAATTGTAAATAGAGCACAATGCTCACTTTTTTGTACAGATTCAGAATATTAGCATCATCAAAGGGCAAGTAACCTGCAAGCAATACAAAGAGTATTACTCCACATGACCACAAGTCTGCAGTTGCCCCATCATAGCCTCTATCATTTAGGACCTAAACAGCAAGATGGTAGATTACTACAAGCCTATTAATCAAAGTTTATCGATAATATAATACATCACAGGAAAGAAGTGAAGGTGAAGACCTCGGGAGCAACATAGTTTGGAGTTCCACAAGCCGTGTGAAAAAGTCCATCATCCTGTCAAGGCAAATGAATCTCAGATTGAAAGTTCTTCTAGGAGACATAAAGTGATGTCCCTAACATTGGTTATGTTCAGGAAGGGGAGAGAAAAACAAACTAAACTTCAGGAAAGCTAGAGCGCTCTTGGAATTGCTTTATCGTGCATAAAGAAAGGAGCAATATAACTATACCACAGGGTCTTCAAGTACAAGACCTCAGGTTACACTGATAAGACCACATAGATCATAAAAGAATGGAATTCTCAAAATTTAAGAGGTCAATATTACCCTGACTTCTTGTGACAATGCACTCAGTCCAAAATCAGAAACTTTAAGATTTCCACAACCATCCAGCAGCAAATTTTCTGGCTGCAATGAGAAAAATCAGCACAAGTAACATCATTAAGGTCTTTTATAACAAATTTCTGAGAAGACCAGAGGAGGCACCTTTAAGTCTCGGTGATAAACACCACGGCTATGACAATAGTCAACAGCATTAATTAGTTGCTGGAAGTACTTTCGTGCTTTATCCTCACTCATCCTTCCATGTTTGACCTTTATTGAAAGAAGAAAAGATAGTAAAGAAAACAGCAATGCAGGGCAGAAAAACAATCAAATTAAGATGCCCTTAGTTTGTGTGCCTCATTCAATTAACATCCTATGCATAGAAGAATGCTTCTGCATAGCCACAATGTCGAGCATAAGAGATTAGTATAGTTAGCATGGAGGTTTGTGGAAATTGACAGAGTCGTGAACCAAAAACCAATTAATTATAAACATAGATCATTAAAACATAAAAATCACACACGGAAAGCAGGACAACTTACAATTTTGTCAAAAAGCTCTCCCCCAGTCGCAAATTCTAAAATGATGTATATCTTTGTCCTGCTACCCATTACCTGCATTAGCAATTAAAAGAAAAGGAGTCTCTGAAGATCAAATTGGTTTGGATCAAACCAATCATTTGCTTTCGGATCATTTTCTAGTTTCTATTATGATGTAATCAAATGCCTTAGTCCTCCGGTGAATGCCCATCTACAGTCATTCCCCCCTTCTCTCTCTATTACCTTTCAACCTCAATCCAGGGGTTCGAGGTAAATCTCAAAGCCATATTCCAACTTAAATGACACAAACCACCCCACCCATCGCTTCCCTAGACCACAGTATGAACTCGCGGGCATGCAGAGAGAGAGAGAGAGAGACCTCATATAAGCGGACAACATTTGGATGCTTTATTAGCTTCATTGTTGCTATCTCCCTTTTTATCTGGAAACATAAGTATAAAGAATCAGAGAAAAACTGTCCAAAGACGAATTCAGATAAGCATTTCTGCTGAAAAAGCCAGGTGAAATAATTGAGTCACTTTTTTTTAGAAAAATGTCATCGTGTGAAAGTAAGGATTAGGAAGTCTACGGATATAGCAGCGCCATTGACCTTCCAAAGAATATTTTGAGATGGATAATGATTTACAGGGATGCAGAAGGGCATCAACAAAAGAGCTTAGAAGAGCAAATGCTTTTGAAAAAAGGAACTGTAAAATAAAGAGAACCATCAGAAATGACCTGCTCTGCCATTTTGTGTTTGAGGACCATCTCTTTGTCGAGGATCTTGACAGCCACAGCTTCCCCTGTCTCAGAATTCCGGGCGAACTTCACTTTTGCAAATGTTCCCTCGCCAATCGTCCTTCCCACTTCGTATTTACCGATCCGACGCTTGATTTTAGATGCATTCATCATTGATTTTTCTTACAGAGAGTGGTAGTTCCACTACTCTTATTCACCGTGCAAGCAGTGAAGTTTTTATCCGAAGAATTGCTGATTGTAAGACTAACCTTATCTGAACAAGTAGAATGGAGGTAAAATAAGACTTGATTACCCTAAAAATCAGATGGCATGATACTCAAATCCCACTTGATGACGATGATCATAAATGGGTAATCAGGGTGAGATAAACAATCACCAATTGTTGTCGAAGCTATGATATTGTGGTATGAACTATAATCAAAATATAGCAGGCAATATGCCAAGTCTCACCAGATGGTAATCCGAAATTGGAAGAGCAAATCAACGAGGACTCTGAGAAAAGAGCTCAGAAGACGAAGCTCTGAACATCAATTCAACTTCATAATTCAACGCTCAAGTAACTACAACAATACGTTTTTTATGGTGGCAATATAACCTTCAAGTGATTGGTATTTCCGTGGTCCCCTTACCATTATTTTGATCTATATGGAAACCTACTCTGGTCACTAAGTTACCATCAACCATCGTCAGCCAAAACCACTACCGCGCGTTGCAGAAGTTACTATGACGGGATACCATCTCCTTTTTTCAACATGGTGACGATGCATGAAAGCGAGTAAGACAGAGGATATACCTGAGCTTGGCGGAGGGAGATTCTGGATGCGGAGGAGGAGGAGGAGGAAGCCTAAAAGCACGGCCAATCAAGTTGGTATGAAAAGGGGGAGTGAGATTATGATAACCATGAATCATTGTCGCTGAGCTGGATCTTATGAGGCTGAACCCACAAGACAAAATGGGCACCCATCAGCGTCACTCCCGTTTCCCTGCACTACGGTCTGGAACAGAAGATTATTCGTACAGGTATGACGACAAAAGTCCGTTCCTCCAAACTACACAGACCACCCGATTAAAGTTCCATCATCGTTCTTGAAAAGCAAAATCGGATTTGACTACCCAGTTATCCATATCGGACGCAGAAAAACTCCCGCCTTTGGCCCGGCGAACATGTGAGGAAAAAGTCACGTTCGGAAGCCCGAGGAGGCTCGAGCTGAAGTAGATCAGTCGAGCTATACCGTGGAACGCGAATTTGTGTAATCAAGGTGGAAACTTTGAAGCCCAAAGAAGAAGAAGAAAACACGTGTTGGATATACACAACTGGTGTGTGGGCGGGCGTGAAAATGTGGTCCATGATCCACGTGACTGTGCTGGCGGGAGTCTGGTTTTTCTTTTTTGTCTCCGTCTGCTGTTGCTTTCTTACGGACGACAGAAACTAACGTTCGATAATGACCGGAGACCAGTCGGTTCCGTTTTCCTTACGGTTCTGTCTCTTTCTCCATAATTTGCATTTGGCATGTGTTTCGTCCCGGCGACTCCCCATCTTCATTAATTTACTCCCATCTTCATACGAGCTTGACCCAGTGGACCGATACTTCTGTTTCGAGTGGTTATTTGAATCTATCACTGCAAATTTGTAGGCTCGACGAGAGGTATAGTCGGGAGAAAACGCTTTCGACTCGCGGCCTTCGGATCACGGGACCCGTATGATATTTATTCGAGCCTCGTCTAACATTAGTAAAAAGAGAATTTGAATCAAATTTACTCCATGAAACTTGAATTTGATTCATTCGCCGAACTGATTGGGTTCTGAAAGACCCTTTTGTCTTTTTTTCCGGAACATGTGAATTGATCTCTCCAGCTCACAATGATTGAAGGTGGTCGTTTAAAGAGAGTTGACTGGCCTCACTGGAGACCATAAATCTTCACGTAGGCCCGCCAATAATCTCCATCTTTAATAATTGCAGCTCTTCATTTCTCTGTTCCAAATAATGCGATTGACGTTATGAAGTTAGGCGCACCAAAATTGGGGAGAGACTAGAGAAAGGATCGAAACGACCACCTGAAACTTTTGTTGTTCGGAGACACCTTAGCCAGCTTAGAGTATAGATTAAGATGGATGGCGCCGAATAGTCATCTGAGGAACAGGAGAAAGAAAAGATACAGCGAGAGAGAATTCCCAAAAGCTTCTGAACAATCGACAGTTTTATCTGTTCTACAAACAACTTTCAATTTTTATCACCATCAATCTCTTGCAATTAGTCATTTTGTACACATGATGCAATTACAAGAAGAGCCATGTCAAGGGCGATATCAAAACAAGAATCTCCCCATGGCGCTATTGAACAAATCACCCGATATTACAACTCCCCAAGTAGAAAAGCAGAAAAATTCAACCTCGACTCAAGCAAAGACAATATCGCTCAAAATGCCGGCCAATCGTCTATGCAGCAAAACTCAATACACTCTGTTGTTTATAGTGTGGTAGAGAGACTTCAGCTGTGTGTTCCACTTATCAATGGCAGCGTACTTCTTCATTCCCTTTGACCTGGTTTGGATTTTGGAAACAGACATCCAGGAGTTTCAGATTCAAGTACACAGGAGAATGGCATAAAAGACAAACGACTTGTAACATTGCGAGGTGCACCAGAAAGATGAAATGGTACCTGTCACCACGCTCCAACAACCGATTTACTTGATCAATGTGCCCATCAATACGGTTGTCCAGAATTAGAGAAACCAACAACTGCTCGACATCCTTCTCTGGCACGTTAAGTTCCTGCAAGTAACAAGTTTCAGTAGGCCAGTAAGTAGGAAGGTAAAGAGAATAAAAGAGGTAGATACAAGTAAAGATATATCATTAACATATTGATTGACCAATTAAATATCACTATGGTTATCAGCAAAAAAGGACTTGCTTACAAGTTTGTATCTACGTAAGTGAATCTGCAGCTAAATCATATTAGCAATGAAGATCTAACACCTATTCTGAAGAATAAAATAACCAGTGAAACTAAACCTGAGCCTTTACCTTCGAGATGAAAGGGATGCGGATTCTGGTATAAGGCTTGATAAGTTTAAGCAATACTTGAGTCCTGATATTCTTCAGAAGATCTTCAATATAATTCCGGATGAATGGGTCATCCATTATAGTTCTTCTGTTGCTCTGGAAAATGTGCCAATGGTAACTTAATTAAGGAAGAAAGGAACCGGTGAAAAACATGAACAAATCGTTAATAAATATAGACAAAAAAGTTAAACATACCTTAAGGATTTTCTCAAATTCTAGAATCTCATTTCGTTGATATGCAGCTATAAGATTTGTCATGGCTAAAATTTCAGGGTCATTCTTATACCTACAGAGTGCCAGACCATTAAAAAAAGTGAGGGAGGAACAGAGGCATTGTTTGGCGGAGGGAGGATGTAGTGAGAAGAAAGAGCACTTACGGCTTTGCTTCTTGGCCATCAAATGGATTAACTTCAGACTCCATCAGCATATTAGCCAGAACCAAATATCTGCCACATAATGCAAATAGACACTATAGTGGACTCAAGTTACACAAAAGCACAAACTCGGCACTCCACAAAAATGGTAAAGTAACAGTAAGCTAAGAAAAGAGTATCTTCCGTTCTTAATATCTGATCATCAAGTGGTTTCTTCTTGCTTATACAAGGAAAAAGTTCATAGCCCACAAACAGCGGCAGGGTAGCCAAGGATCACAGTTCAAACTATAGAAACTTGTGAAACAAAACAAAAGACATTTATATCCTAAATTTTTAAATTTCCTCCACTCTCTTAATGGAAGACTTTCAAACATATAAGAAGGTGAGGTTCAGTTGATAATCTTATTTAAGGTCCCCCCTCTAACACTTCTTTCAGAAACATCAATTGTTGCGTTCCTACTAATTTGTAGGGTGAAAAAAGTTTTTCCTCCTCACCCAAAAGTTCCAATTCAATCCATCAACTAGCAGTGGAAGGATAGCCAAAGTGCACTTTGCCTAGATAACCAAAGGGACACCTATGTTTCCCTCAAAAAAGCCTACCATACTTGCTCCAACATGAGCCATCCAATGAGACAAATGAAAATAATTCCTACTGAATCCATCGAAATCATCAGCAATTCAATCAAGAGAAGATGGAAGGATAAGTAAACATACTTTAGACATTGGATTCGCCTTTGGTTCCCAGCTTCATCATAATTTTTGAAGGCTTCAAAGAAATCGGTTGCCGCGTCAGCCCACTGGCGCTCGGCCATATGCATCTTACCTCCACATTCCCGAATTATACCCATAATTCTTGGATGGGGTATAGCTGACTTGATCGCAAGTGCCTTCTGATACAATTGCTGCAGTCATCAATAATTTCAGTAACTTAATGTCCAAGAATAATTTATAAATGGACAATTTACAGAACAGCTTACAAGATAATTACCGCACAAGATTTAAAAGTGGTAAAAATAATGCCAACCAGCATAGATCATTAATCAAAAGAAATATTAATTTTTCTGGTCATTGCTCGATTGCTGAAAGAGTTCCTTTTATCGGCTTGATAAGAACGCTGACATTAAATAAAGATGGAAAATCTACAGCATTGGAAGGTCAAACCATGAATAGATGAACCATTTCACAAAAACTTTGATGCACCACTAGGAGAAAGTAGAAATTACCTTAAGCTTCTTATTATTCTTAGTCTCAGTGTACATTTGGATCTCAATAGCGTACACTTCAAGAAGCTGACTTCCTTTCTTGTGGTCATCTGTACCATCCTCTCTTTGGCAAGATTTGTGGAGCTCCTTCAAAATCTAGTTGTTTACAGAAGATTATAAGCATAGCTTGCCATTGACAAATTATGTCAGCCATACTGTGCTAATACTATCCAATAAAATGGCACCTTATTCATTCTTCCATATTCACCCATATCAAACCAAATCTTGCAAAGCTTGAGATTTGTCTTGAACCAAAGTCTCTGCAGAATTATGAAAAGCATAAATTTTACAAGAAAAATGGCATTGTAGCAGCAGAGAGTGGTTAGACAAGATTGGTGACCTCATTCTTTGCCTCTTCAAGAGCCTTCAGAGTGGTCTGATAAAACTCCTGTAGAAGACTAAAATTCTGACTGGCTGATCCCGAAACAAAATCCATCACATTGTTTATACATTTTTCGCTGTAATTTCTTGTCACCGCCGATTTGATGTATGTAAGCATCACTCTGTAAGAATCCATCATTTCTTTATACTTCCCCAACCGATAATATAGCTTGACAGTTTGCTTAAGAGCTTTAAATCCCCTATAAAACAAGTTAAGAGAAAAAATGATCAATAACACAGTAGAACTCACAGTAATTGAGAAGTGTGAAAGGGAAATTCTTGAACTGCAAAATTGAAAGCTATAAGATTTATGTAGACATCTCCTATCAGTTCATCACTCCACTAACATCGCATGCAAAATATGGAAACCATGACTATGGAACACCTAGAAACACGTGCTTTGCATAGAGGAAAGTGGTCACAGTCCAATGCCCTTCCCTTTACCCAAGAAAAACCTCTTCAGACAAAATGACGGACAGATATGGAATGGATCCTATATTAGAGCTTCCATTCAACTTCTAAAATCTTGCCTTAAGTTGTTCTCTTTTATTCATTCATATAAAACCAATGATCTTCCAATTCATCGGAGAGCAGCTTTTCTCCTGTCAAATATCATTTCAAGAAAGCTGACTCGGGGTATGTAAAAGAAATTCTTTCTTCTCAATGTTTTAGCTGTTATTTGTGGTTTGCAGGCTCAACGCTGGCTAAAAAATTTTCATCTTCGTTTTATTTTGTGCGTGTGAAGTTGAATATGTCTGCATCATCTCCAAACTTGATGGAAGGAACCACATGTAACTTCACTTGCAATTTGAAGTGAACTGAAAGTTTCTTCTACAGAATTGATTGTGCCGCAAGTATAAAAAACCTATAGTACTCACCATTCAGCCTTCTCAGGTTCCATGCGAACAACCTCAGCAAAGCCTGCAAGTGCTCCTTCTGGATCAGTTTCTATGAGGCCTACATTGCAAAATCAAACAGTCAAGCTACATTAAGGATAAAGAGTTAAAAAATATTAAAAAAATTTGCACGTTATTTGATCACGTACGTCTCTGCTAACAGAATAAATCTAGATATTTTAAGTTTCCTTAAAAGCAAAAAACTTTCCCGAGTTGAAAAAACGGAAGTATGCTGCTGTTGATACAAGAACAAATTGGAAACCTTAACAAGGACAATGAATGAATAATTAAATAAGAGTGCAGGAAACTAAAATTATCTCCGCCCATCACTTTTGGTGACATGATTATGCTCAAACATTAATCTAAAGGACGTTGCCAGTAAAGGGACATGGCTCCCCAACTCTCCCGGAAAATAAACAAGGGTGTAATCCGAGCTCCGTCGCAGAACGCACTGCAAATGATTCATCTCCCGGAATAGAAGCTACGCGCCACGGAATCCGCTAATCCGGTCAAATGGGCGGTAATCAAAACATTCCTCTTTCGACAACAAAGATTCACCTAATCGGAAAGAACTCCCCAAACGACATAAAAACGATGCAAAGCGCAAGCCAATTAGGGACACGAAAGAAGAGTGCCCAACAGACCAGGTTGCCTAAAAGATGTCGAGAATACCTTTCGAGTTGTAATACTGATTCTCAATGTCAACGTCCTGTTCCTCAGGCTCCTCATCCGAGTATTCAAAACCATAATCCTCCATATCTGCATCTGGGAATCCAGCAAACCAGTAAAATAACCAACACCGACCTTAAAACAGTTAGCCATAGCCAGAAGAACAACAACGCCAACAGGACTCCCCTTAAGCACACAAATTAAAAAGAAAAAGCAAACATTCACGACACCACCGAGAACATCCGTCCGTCCCTTAAACGTCATCGAGAACGAAAGCGTTAGGACCAAACCCTAGTGCAACGATTATTTTTCTGTTGTCCCCGTTTTGTCAGGAGAGCGATCAGACCGAGGCAGTAAAAAACCGACAATCAAAGAACCCTAGGCGTAGGGAGGCCGGACCTGAAGCCATTGCTGCTTGGCGAAGGTAAAGAGAAATCCCCCCAGCAATGAACCGCGATGAGGAGTAGAGCTGTATGATGATTTGATTTTCGTTTTGCTCGGGACAGTGGTGGAAGCAGAAGAAGATGGAGCCAAGTAGTAGAGTCGATTCGATCGTTCCGATCCAGATCCAGTACTTTCTGGGTCCATGAAGTGTTTTGGTCCAGAGATTTTCAAGCCCAACAGACCGAAGAAGAGGGCTAAGACAGCCCATGAATTGGCATCTTGGCCCAGTGTTTAAGAATCGTCTTCTTTGTATCTAGGGTTTCAAGAGACTCTAAAGAGATGATATGAAAAATGTATCCGTGAGAATTCTAGAGTATTCCGAGGAACTATATGTGTAATATCCACTGGTATCTAAAGAGATGATTAGATGTTTATAGCATAAATTAGATTCTTTTCTTTCATTTGGATAACCAGGGAGATAAACAGTTGCTCTGTACGAGTCTCTCCAGAATTACCTGTGTTCTAATATGGAAAAGAGTTTCATTGCACAGTAAGGAAACACTAGAATAGCTTGTGACAAACGAGAGACGTGATGGCATCTCGTTCTGACATGATGTCCAGCCAGCAGTAAGGTCATTGACAAACAAGGTGAGAAGGCCGCGGATCGACAAGGCGAAGAAGGGCCACGGGAGTTCGAGGAATGTTTTGTTGCCCGCCTGGCGAAAGTGGAACTTGCCATAGACAAGGTCGAGGACACGTTCGGTAGCATCAAGTGCTCCACTGCCGGGATGGAGGAGCTCCGCAAGCAGATGCAGGGCACCTGGAGCTAGGGCAGGCCACATGACTGGAGATTATGGAGCTCCAGGCAGAGCTACGTGCAAGCAGTATGATAGAGAACATTCGATCGTTGCTCAAACAATGGAGAAGGAAGAAACTAATGACTTCACGAGTTTAGCTGATAGTTCGGCTTTGAATTATCATCCTCAAACAATGTTGGAGACATTGTTATCTTCTAGTTAGGTTTTGAATGTTTAGGTGACCGTTTGCAGTAACTAATGACTTCGCGAGTTTAGGCCCCCTAAAGAAAAAATGGCGAGAGAGAGACAGGCCGCAATTCAAATTAAAGAACAAGTAGAAAACCATAGGCCTCTCAGATGAGAAATTCACTTAGATGTTGATCAATCTCTGATCGTTCCTTGCACGAAACCACCCAAAGAATTCCTTAAAAGACCATCCCTCGTACTGTCAATATCACAACAGTAAAATCATGCATTGAAAGGGTGTTGTTCATCCCATTGAATATTTAATCAGCATCCATCTCTTCCAATGCCAATCGAGCTGCAGCCTTTGCTTCCTCTAGGAGGTTGTCAGGAACCTGTGATTGGGTGGGCAATGGTGAACGACTCAGCCAGACAACATGCGAATTTAAAGTAAGGACGGTTCTGAGAGCATCATATAAGTAGAAGGCAATGTCCTTCCGCAAATGAAAAGAAGAATGGAGAGAGATGATAATACCTTCTCATGCTGCCTCTTTGACTCATCGCAGACCCAGCTCATTTCTAGTTCAAATGCCTTGTCCTTTGCCTCATCGTGCACCTTGTAGATGCTGCTCAGAGGCAAACCAAGAATATAAGGAATTTACCATTCTTGATTTCCCATAAAACAAACTTCACATGCTCTCTTCCCAAAAAAGAAACAGAAAAGGGAGAAAAAAAAACAGGCCATCTCCCTGCTTACTATTTAAACCCTCTCCCTCTCCACACACAACTGCCAAATCCCGGGTCAGCTAATTTCTAATACCACTATGACTGCATATACCTCTCCATTATATTTAGGAGTGATGTGAGTTAACTACTTGTGCTTGGTGAAGATATAGTTCCAGCAAATTGATCCTGCTGCTTCACTCAAAATGGATAGTTCTATGGGATTCTAGTACTTCATCTGCAGTTAAGCTGCAATTTCAAATTCAAGCAATTATACTCTAACACAGCAACTCACTAAGCCAAGCCTGAGGGGAAAAAACTAAATAATTCATGCCATGGAGCAAGAGTCAAGGATGGTGCAGTGAGGTTCACTCGACGTCAAAACAGAAACAGTACAAAAGGGATATATTTCAACATATTAATCAACAGCTTCGAACAACATAAACAGAAAAGAAGCAGGCTACAAACTACAAAGGATAAATTAAGAGAAATTCGAACTTAAGCACTATATGAGAAAAAAATTCAGAGTATCTATACCATAAGAAACTAGGAGGAAAACTTACATCTTAGCTACTTCAATAACTCCTTCCCTGCACGTCATCTCTGCGAGCTTCAACTTTTCAATTTCTCTGTTAACACCAATTAAGTCACATTAGACAACAGAACCTTAAACGAGTTCTTTCAGTAAGATTATTAAAACAGACTAGCATAGCCGAACACAAGTGGTAACTTTTTTTTATCAGAAACACAAGTGATACTGTTGACCTGATATAAAAAATGAACTCTTTATAATATTCCCAGGCGCCCCCCCCCCCCCCCCTCCAAAAAAATAAAATAAAATAAAATATAAAAGAAAACAAAAATTTGCACTATAGAGATGTAATGATAGTTTACCACTTATATATCAATTAGATCCAGGGGAATCATATGCTGGCTCCAAAGTTCTACTTGGCAAAAAGGGAAAAGCATTAAATGAAAGAGTACGAGATTAACTTTGATCCCATAATTTTGCCTCTCCCATATGACATCTTTCAATAGCCAGCAAAAGTTTGAAGTCTCATTACCTAATAGGCCATAACAGGTTAATAAAATTGGCCACAACATAGTGCAATTCGTGCTAATAGGTCACAAATCCACTCCAGATTATTATGCGAAAGGTGCTACGTAGAGGCTTTCATAACAGAGGGACCAAACCAATTAAAATAAAGAGATAGCAGTGGCAGCTTTGGGACAGTTGACTCTTGCCCAAGCCCGAAACCCATTAGTCATGAATATAACCCTAATCAATTAAAACAATGTAAGGTATAGCAGCAAGCAGGTTTGGGACAGTTGACCCTAGCCAACACATGAACCAGAAAATGAGCTACACCCGCCACAAACCAAATACAAGATTTCAAATGGAGTCCCAAAACCGAGAAAATGACACATGTCATAACTTTCATACAGTGCTCACTTGAGTGCCATCACATTTTTTTCCAATCATTTAGTGTCATATAACTTTTCAATCGATCACTTGAGTGCTATAACTTTTTGAAAACGGTCACAAAAATGCCATGCCATGTCAGATTTTGGCACTTAGGTGAACCCTTTTTAAAAGTTATGGCACTCAAGCGGTCAAAAAAAAAAAGTTATTACACTCAAGTGAGCACCGTTCAAAATTATGGCACTTTTGCTATCCTTATCCTCCCAAAACCTGTACAATTGAGTACAAGGGAAACCAAAACCAGCATAATTGTGTCCAATTTGAATATTCTGAATTAATAGATATATCAAATGCAAATTAAATAACAAAATTACATAAACAGCCTTAGTGTACTTCTCTAGCAAGTAAACAACCTTGGGTACTTTTCGAACAAAAAAAAAAAACAACCTAGTGTATTTGAAAAGATTATTGTATTAATGATTAGCCAAGTTTCGGATACCCGCCATCTAAATCTCAAACCTATTCCAAACCCTATAGAGTCTTGTAAAAGGAAACCAAGCACATCAATGATGCCCGCCCTAGCAAAAGTATGAAATGCTATTTATTCCAAACAGAAGTAGAGTTTGAGTGAACACATTGACATAAAACACTATAGATATCATTGCAGAAGTTAGACACATAAAAATAAAGCCACAGAAATCTCTCTTTCATTTGCTTTTCCATTTAGTTGCTAACACTTTTCCTGCACAAATGAGCAAGAGACTTACGTCTTTGCAGCTTGTTTTCCCTTGCCGATTGCAGCCCCGAAGTATCTCTACAACAAAATTCAAGAGTAAGAATGTTCAGAACAGAGTGACTAACAAAATGAACCAGGGACACATTTATATAACATTGAACAAGTAACCATAAAAGCAACTTGGAGGAACAACGTGAAAAAAAAAACGGGAGAATTTGGAATGGGGCCACTCACATAGGAAATACCAGACGGTTCAATCATGTATAATTGAGGTCCGTCTCTGTCATAACCTCCGAGAATAACTCCACAACCAAAAGGCCTGCAGAAACAACAGAGAAAATCTAAATATCCTGCACTCATAAGAAAAGGAGCCATGCACAGGAAAGAGGCAGAAAAGAGTACGAGCAACTCCAAGGGCGTCATTAATCTCAACCTGAGCCACCAATAGAGGGTGCACAGATGCACATAATTAGCAACACGTTCGGCGAGCTCCTTTACAGGAATGGCGTCACCATAAACACTGCACTTGAGGACATGATGATGATGAGTTAGCAAACCATCCAATCCACAAGGAAAGGCTAATCAGCGATTAATTCATGTCTACAGCTTAAAGCAACACATTCACCAGAATTTAACACAGTTAGACAACTATCTGAATCATGAGCCCAAGAAAAAACTTTATTTCACTAAAGAATCCAAAGACGAGGACTAGAAGATGATTAGAAGTTAGAATCAGCACAAAATTATTCATTCATATCTGCAGCTTCATTACAATCATAAGCCGAAATTGTATATGCTCATGAACAATCTGAAAGTCTCTTGCTCTAACACAATTTTACAATATTACGCAACAAGAACATGAAAGAGTACCATAAGACCAGTATGCAGCTCAGATTTGATCATTAAGAAATTTGCACCGATACTTGAACTCTCATCTACCTTATAGAAAAGAGATGCTCTTTGCAGCTAACTACATCATCGAGAGGAGTTAGTCTACTTCTAAGAAGCTACCACAACGTCAGTATGACAATGGGAAAATGTCTGAAAGCCGAAAAAAGGAGCCAGAAGATTTCAATTTACTGAACGACTTATGCATCATTTTCATCCTCACTGTATTTTCGTATAATAATTGTCGCTGCATGCATTTTACAGCCTCAATGATACATGTGCTCCGGAAATTTAAACCCTTCTCAAATATGGAGCTAAATCACACCAAAGGACCAACAAACAACTAAATACTTGCTAAAACAGGAGGTAAACTGATAAAGCTGTTTCTCAATAAATATAAGCAGCTCCACAGCGATTAAGGTTTCAGATGGGCGTGCATCCAGTGCAAACCTCTCATAATTAGTTGCCTCGGACTTTGCTCGTGCAACAATTTGTCTCCCATCTGCTGCTAATCCGGCAACAGCCTGATTCAGAGAGAGAGAGAGAGAGAAACATAATTAGCAAATTACCCTTAAAACACATTACCAGTGGATTACACACAAGATGCAGGCATGTGATTCTAAGAAACGATTGTCCCAAAAGGACACGGGCTTATGCTTGACACTTGGTCATTTTAAGTGATAGAGACTACAAAAGCACAAGGACACCTTTAAAACATTAATTACTACCAAAAAGAGGACAATTTAAAAAATGACAGCACTCTTTTTGGAAGTAAAAAGAACGGTTGATCACTTGAACAGCAGCTTCGTAAAGGTACCATATGGAGAACATGATTACAAAAAATCGTTTCCTCTCGCAAAGTATGAGGTGGTACACAAGCTAAATTAAAAAACCTCAAAAATGCATTTTAATGCTTTCAAAATGTGCTCTAACAAACATGGTTTTGCCATCCGGATCAATATGGTAGCCCTTGGTCGTTTCGTGATATCATGGTAAACTTGCAAATTCCCTCTAATCATATGGGTGGAATGTACATATGATCGCAGGAAAAATAGTAATAATACATCGAACAGGGTGAACACGTCCGACCCCATAATTTGCATCAAATCCTACATGAAAAGGCAGTCTTATAGACAGCTTAATTAGCATGTTAGAAGTCTTAAAAGTATCTTCTTGTTCTCAATTCACACAACAGAAGTCTCATCCAAAATGCACCAAACTAGTTATTGAGAAGCAACGCTGAGAAACATTTTAATGTATCAAATGCTCAAGCTACAGATGTTCAAATCCAGGAAGAAAGAAACAGAAACGATATGTATAGAAAAGCCATAGTGGCTGTATGTAACTAAGTCGACAGCAAGAAAGCGTAGAAAATATGCTGTTTTGACACCTTCTAAGTCAGATAATGAAGAAGATTGAAGCGTGGCCAAGAGTTAAAGCGAAAGTACCATGCCGGAATGACGGTGGACGGAGTGGATGCGCCGATTGGAACCGGGCAACATCATTTTCGACGTTATCAGCTTCTCGACGCCCTAATCGAAGCCCCAACACATTCAACCAACACCATCAATTTCCACAAATTGTACGGGATTGGCAAGAAAAATCATCGATAAAGAACATGCTTCGGCAAAGAAACCTACCATGACAATCCCGTCCTTGCACTTGATACCAATCACAGTACTGCGAACCGCGACGAAAAAAAACCCCAAATGTAACAAATCCAAACCGAAGAGAAACCGAACCACAGAATGAAACAATCTAGAGAGAGAGAGAGAGAGGGGAGACCCGCTGTTGTCGACGGCCTTGGCGGCGTATTCGATCTGGAAGACGCGGCCATCGGGGGAGAAAGTGGTGACCGAGAGGTCGTAACCCGTCCCGATGCTGCTCATGCTTCTTCCCGCTGGAGTTCAAGCTCTGCGATTTTCTTCGTTCCGTTCCGTGTTTCGCTGCGCGGAGTGGTGGAGGAAGAAGAAGAACAAGAACAAGAAGCAGCAGCAGCAGCAGCAGCAGGAGGTGTTTATGAAGCTCCTCTTGCTTGAATCTCAAGACAGCGATGAAGAACGAAGCTTTAAGGGACCCCCTTTTTCTTTTTCGTTCCTTTTTTCTTTTTCCTTTTCTATTTCTTTTTGGGCCTGCGACTCGGTTAGTATGGGCCTGAGGAACGTGGTGCTTAAGAGGCCCATCTAGCTTTGGCCCAAGTATCAATAGCCCGTTTTTCGAATGAGCAACGAGTCTCAAATCAAACCACCACGAGAAATGGAGATACCTATACTTCGATTCTGCCCATCGAAAAGGAACGTCGGAAACCAATCATTCAGAGTTCCTAAACCTCCTTGGAAGGCTTATTGGAAGACTCGTTGTCAGACTTGATTGGCGGACAAGGTATAACTAGAAGTAGACATGTCAAAATGGGTGATTGAATAACCCATGTTTGATGGACTGAGTTTACTTTAATTCAGTATATAGATTATAAAGGGGTTTAAAATGATAAAGCAAGCAATAAGTTGGATATTAAATGGGTTCACAACTCATTCAAACCCAACCCACCTCTATGACTCTCTCTTCACTCTCTCTCTCGTCCTCACGCGATTTCAAGCTTGCTCACTCTGCGCCCTAACCTAGATTTTGGTATGAGTTTTCCTAAATCGAGTTAAATGTTGAAGTATGTTTAGTATTAATGGTCAGGTCAGTATATGTAGGGTATTGGTAACTAAATTTGTATTGCACAAAAATTAATCAATTTGAGTTGGACTATTTTCGATTCGACCCGATCCACATCTTTGACGGGTTTACAAAGAAGTGTGGAGCTTCCGGTGGTAATTGAAATCAATTTCCATAAGGAGCAATGATCTCAAGATTCAAAGTAATACTTCAACTATTCATAATTGTTTAATGTAATTCTTAAACTTTTAATCTATTCAATCCAATCCTCAACTTTCTATAACAACGTCAAATCAATCATTCGATGCTATTCACAAGCTTTCATAGTTATATGATTACTCGGATTTTACAAAATCGTTTTATTTCAATTTATTTCCAAAATCAACAAAAAAAAAACTATCTTTTTATTAAAAGTCAAAGGATAACATTGCGCAATCACACAAATTTAAGGATATAGCGTCATTTTCCTGCCAATGTTTATACTAAGTATGAAGCAAAATTTTGAATTTGATGTCAACTGCCATATTTGCAAAAACGTCCTTAGCTTTTCTATCTTTTATCATTTTGCTAAAAACTTTTATTGGAATCAAACTCTTGCCACCAGCCAAATGTTCACAAATGTAAAATAAGATAACCACCCACAATTCTTGACTCTACTTATCCATTCGTTCCTCTCATTCGCTAATCCATGAGATGATAGCTGCACAAAATTTCAGGTAGGGATAGGTTGCTACCAACCTATTGCTTCATAATGTCTTTTTATGAGCTTTGAATTTTGATTTACTATTCGGAAAGTTTTCATCGTCCACAAAAATAATAGACATAAATTGTTATTGATAATAAAACATTTCTCATTGACTAATTATTTCATGCGATATAAGTGATTACTTTTAGAAAAATGTTTTCCGAATTATTCATTTTTCGTAAAACAAACGGACTCTCAATGTCTTCTAAATTCACGCCATTCGCAGTCATTTGCTTTTAAATTTAACCGTTCATCTTCTATGTCACGCTAATTCAATTCTTGTCCAAAATCAGCACGAAACCCATCTAACAAAAAAAGAAGGGAAAATGACACAAACAGTCATTGAATTTTGACTCAATATGCAATTTGGTCCTGAACTTTTAATTTGTTCAATGTAGTCTCTGAACTTTCAATTTGTTCAATATAGTCCCCGAACTTTTAGTACATGTTCAATATAGTCCATGAACTTTATAAAAATGTTCAGTGTAATCCTTCAATTAATTTAAGTTCATGGACTATATTATACATTTTCATATAGTTCAGAGACTAAATTGAACATGTATCAAAATTTTAAGGACTACATTGAATAAATTAAAAGTTCATAGATCACATTGAACATCAGGCTAAACTTCAGAGACTATATTGAACAAATTAAAAGTTCATGGATCACATTGAACATTAGGCTAAAGTTCATGGACTATATTAAATAAATTAAAAATTCAGGGATGAAATTGTACATTGAGTCAAGTTTAGGGACTGTTTGCTTCGTTACTCAAAAAAAAAAAAAATAGAGAAAAAAGAAAATCAGAGATCAACTTACCTATCTGGGTCAACGCCCATTTCCAGTGAAACAATGGCGGAGAAAATATTTCGCCTTCTTCGCTAAGAAGAGGCTTGTCTTGTCTGGACCCACCGGGCATTAACCAGCCACGTTGCTCAATTATCCGTTTTGACGGGGAAGCAGCGGCTAAGCGCAGGCGGGTCAGCTTGTCGGGGCACGTCGACACCGTCTGCATCGCCGGTCCACCTCTTTCCCCTCCTTTTCACATCGATGCACGGCTTTGAATTTTCCACAAGAAGCCTCGCTCCACCCATTACATAATAATAACAGGGGAAAAACGTGCAAATTCCATTCTCTTAATAAATAATCACTTAAAAAAATGAAAGCGACGTGGAAAATCACAAATTAGTTAGATCACTATTCTCGTGATAGTAAAAGTACATTCGTCGATAAACGATTATCGGAACCATCTTGACTTCCCTTTTTGGATATGCAATACGAAAAGTACCCGTTTTCGCCATTAATATTTTAGACTTCATATTTTTCGACATTAGTCTCGTGATCTTAGATCATTTGCAAAACCAATTGATAAGTATTTTTATAATTTTTAGGTGCCATATAAGACGAGAATCATATAATTCGAAAAAAATGTGATTGGTCGATCATGTCAGTGAGCCTCGACACATAAAGTTAATGAACGCTCGTGGGGTGCTTGTGATATGCACTTTTCGGATAAGGTTTCGATTTCCAAAGCACCGATCCTGTATTCTGTCGATGCATTAAATTTCATGATCAAAATTAGTTCGTTGATGCTGATTTTATTAGTTCAGAGCTTATGATTGATAATACTTGCCCTACTTTACTTAAAGATATCATTAAAAATAGTGCCGTATGTTCTTATTTTGAGTTTAAAGTGCATCATAACTTTCGAGAAGAAAATCGCTTTGCCAATTAGCTTACTAATCTTGGAATCCATACGCTAGTTTCTTTTCATCATCTCCTGCAGAGTTCATTCGTGTTTTATAAAGTGGTAAAATAGAAATAGTAGATTTATTGTATTCGGCTTGTCAAGCCTTTTTCACACTCAAAAACAAAAGGAAGTTCGTTAACTAAAGCGACCCCTTAGCACATTCCTAGAAGGAAAATACAAAAACCAGTTTGTCAAAAGGAAACTTGGAAACGTAAGTCGCTTTGAACGGTCCCGAAGCGCACAGGATGCACGACCCGGTCATCGTTCGCCGCACGAAAGCAATAATCATGAACCTCCATCACCGTCGTCGTCGTCGTCGTCGTCACAGTCACCATCATCTCCCTCCCCCGAGTCAAACGAAGCCCTCAATGTCAGGGAGCAGTGGGACCAGAGATACCGTTCGGAGTCCGATCTATCCAGGAGCAATGGAATCCTCAACCCCGTCGCTTTCGATGGAGAATTCCCATCTCATCTTCCTTGACTCACCGCCCCCCGGCTCATGCACAGGCAAAGTCCAACACTCATTATTTTTACTGTCAGCGGCCTTTATATGTCCGCTGCTCGAGCGCCTCGGTTTGACCGTCTTCGTGCTGGGGGGTGTTATTTCGTTCCGTTCTTGGAGTTTTGAGAGCAGCAGATCCTCCTCCTCCTCCTCCTCCTCGCTGTTGGGAAGCCGCCCGGCATGGGAATCTGCGGTGGGAAGCCTGCGAAGTGTGCTCATGCTTCGTCCATCACCTTCGCCGGTTTGTGCTCGAGGTCTTTGTTTCGTCTTGTGTTTCTGTTTGCGATGGTCGCGGTCGCTGCGCGAGTGATCGAGCTGCGTTGGTGGTGATCAGTGGCCGTATAGGGATGTTGTTATGCCGTTTAATGTGTTGGAAATGCGGGTTTGTTGGGTTATTCTCGGGTTTTGATCGAGGCGCATTATTGGCGAATTAGTGCTTTTCTTGTTTTGATGGACCAGAATGTTTACTGATTTGCAAGGTGAATATAGTTCTAGGTAGGGTGCTTGAACAAGGCTATAGTTCTCAATCTTCCCGTTGTTATTCCTGAATTGGCTGTCATGTTGTGGGAGTTTAATTTTGGAGTTTGTTCTTGTTCTGTGGTTCTGCTTACATGATTAATCGGTTCAGAATTTTGCGTCTGGTATACCTCTCTGGTGTTTGATAAATGCTGCAAGCACCATTGAACTGTAGAAATGTGTGACACTAGCGATACCTTTTGATTAAGGTCACGATCTCGACTGCATATTAAATTTCTATCCGATTTTAAGCTCTTTATTATTCTGTTATGTGGCAACAATATTGGGCGTCTCTTTATGTTATAACGTTGAGCTTAACTAATGGCTTCCTTGGTAATTTTGTTTCAGAAGCTAAAAGATCTCTTAGCAATGTTAGGCGGGATCCGCCCCCTCTCAACTGGCAAAAGGCTATACCGGGCTTGGAGAAATCTCTGATGATTACCAAGCTTGATTCCTCGGTCTCCAACAATCTCAAGTCCTTTAGCTTCAGCGATCTCAAGAATGCCACCAGAAACTTCCGCTCTGAAACTATGCTTGGAGAGGGAGGGTTTGGTTGTGTGTTCAAAGGATGGATTGACGCGAATACACTATCTCCTGCTAAACCTGGAAGCGGGATGGTGGTGGCTATAAAGAAACTGAAGTCTGAGAGCTTTCAAGGCCACAAAGAATGGCTTGTATGTGGATTGCTCTTCTGATGTTGTCTTCGCTATCTTCTTGAGTGTCTTGTTCGTTTCGCAGTTAACTTAGTTCTGTTTCATTGGCAGGCAGAAGTAAATTATTTGGGCCAACTTCACCATGAGAATCTAGTTAAGCTTATTGGCTATTGCTGTGAGTCGGATAACAGACTACTCGTGTATGAATTTATGCCAAAGGGTAGCTTGGAGAATCATTTATTCAGAAGTAAGTCCATATTCTTTAAAGGCCCAGCGTTTTTTGACTTCTGGACTTCTCTTCCGGGAAAATTGTATGTACGATAACATTGGTGGGTTGGAGAAAAGACAGAGAACCAAATGTTAAGGAAGGGTCTGTGAATTGTGCCCCTTCTCTTTTCTATCTCAAATGCTTATTCCACTTGATTTGTCAACAAGGCCTAGAAAGGCTGGGCAGATTCCTGCTTCGTTTATGTCAAAGGATGACAGTTTTAGTTTTTTAAGGGCTGGACATGTTATATGCGGAACATAGTCACTCGATGAGGAAAGGAAATATGACTAGAGAGCACTTGTTAAACACCCTGAATTGTCCACGAGATCCTGAAGACTGGTTGGAAAATTATTTGGGAAAATCCATATGATGCTGTTTAATTTCTGTATTTGGGAAAACTATTTGGGGAGCAAGGTTGAGGATTATTCTAGGAGAGTCACCACAGACGGCTAACAGTATATCTGAGTTACTAACACAGGAAAATTTCATACCCTCTAATCTACATCTTAAAATGTGTTAGTGGATGGGATGTATTATTGGTTGAACTTAATTTGGAAACATCAAGTTTGGATGCACATAACTACTTGCTGAGCTTTATCTATTTCTGCAGAATGCGTTGAACCCATTCCTTGGGCTACAAGGATGAACATTGCCATCAGTGTTGCACGAGGATTGTCTTTCTTGCATGGCTTAGATGCTAATGTCATCTACCGTGATTTAAAGGCTTCCAATATTCTGCTTGATTCGGTGAGCTGAAACTTACTAAATGTTTTCATTTGTTAATCATATAAGTGGGTGGTTCCAGTAGAAGCTTTTGTTTATGCTTAATGAAGTTGGGATTAATTTTGCAGGATTTTAATGCCAAACTTTCAGATTTTGGCTTGGCAAGGGATGGGCCTACTGGGGATAAAACTCATGTTTCAACACGAGTAGTGGGAACCCGGGGCTATGCAGCTCCAGAGTACGTGGCAACAGGTTAGTCTAATCTTCCTGTCATGTTGGACTTTTTATTTATAAAGAATTCATGATTTCATGGAAAATTGTACAACCAGTACAGCCTGCCATGTTTGAATTGAGATACAGACAATGGTTGGGTGACTGGTCAACTAATAACAAATAAATGCTGTGTATTTTCAATAAAAAATTCTGTCTTGCCAGCTTGGCTCGCTTATCTTGAGACTTTGGAAGCTTCAGCTTCTACACCTGATTCATTCTTGCTGCTTGAATGTCTGAAGCTGTTAATGAATCAATAGTCCAGATTTTTCTTTTTTTTTGGGTTGTAGCAATTTCAGGAAATAATGATTATAGAGCGCTATTCAAGAAGTGGAAAAATATGTGTTGAATGAAGAGTTTGGATGTTATTGAGTTTTAAGAGTTCCTTGTCTATTCCTCTTCCATTATCTGAGAGACATATGATAACTTGATCTGTTTGTCTAATGACCCCGATTAACATGAAACAGGTCACCTAACACCAAAGAGCGATGTCTACAGCTTTGGTGTTGTTTTGTTAGAATTACTCAGTGGAAGACGAGCTCTGGATGACGAGAGGCCTGGATTTCTCGAGGAGACCTTGGTCGAGTGGGCAAAGCCTTTCTTAAGCGACAGCAGGCGGATCTTTAGAATCATGGACACAAGATTGGGCGGTCAATACTCTAAGAAACAAGCCCAAGCTGCCTCTGCTCTTGCTTTGCAATGCCTCCATACGGATCCGAAGAGTAGGCCACCGATGGTTGACATTCTGGCGACTCTAGAAGAGCTTCATACAACGAAGGAAGGGCTGAGAACGCCACGTTCCAAGCTCAACCGCCATGGGAATTGGAGCTAAGCATCTCGAGTCGTGCTTGCAAGTAACGATATGAGGTCGTCACATCTGTAGCCACGTTCGCATTATTAGTTTGAATACCTGCATCAGTGTGAGAACCCAATAATTTAGGCGACACCATAGTTATTCTGGACGCACCATGTGATTCTTTTGTATAGGCGAAGGTTTTCTCTTCCATAAACTCGGGGTCGTCTTCAGTAAAACAGAAAGACATACTGTTGGACACTTGTATATTACCGTCAAAGAGTTAGTTAGCTGAATGAAATCGCAACATCTCAAGAGACCCTGATAAATTTGAGTCGAAACATTTAGACGGGCAAACTGAATTTGGAAGCTAAATAGCTGATAATGTTTTTGTGTCTATCCCTGAAGACATTATTCATCCGTTTAGTCATGATCGGCGATGGCGGACTTATGCTGCAACAAACCATCGACGAAGTCCGATCGCTGACCTTGTTTGGTTTTTGGGACGACGCTCGTGAACAGAGTTTTGACTAGAAAATGTCTGAATGGCCCAACAACACGTTCTTAAGTCAAGCTTAGCTAGCTTTCTGGGTTCTAGAGTTTAGGGGAGACATGTCAAAAGATCATCAAAAGTACTTCGTTTCCCTACTACGAACAGGAGAAAATCAGAACCGCGAGTTGTGTGGACTCGAATTCGCACCTCAAGAAATGCTGGACCAAGAAGAGGTCATGGGACGACTTGGGCTAAGATGCTGACTCCCGAAGGGTGGTCTGAAATCTGACGCACACCCAATCACAATCGCCGCAGATCTTGAAAAAAACCCTTTAAGCTTTTCGTATTCAAGGTCCTTAAGTATTGTAATCTATAGAAATCTGAAATGTGAAACGAAAAGGGTAAGCTTTCGATTGACTTTTTCGTTTTGTCTGCATGAAAGTAATGGCCTAAATATTCAATAGGCCTTGTGGTCCAGTTCTCTCCAAAAACTCGCACGTTCTCTGCCCCTACTCCAAGTGGGTGCGACTCGGCGACCATCGAGGCAGCTCTCCCTTGACCCTTCTGGGTCTCGGTCCGAATCAGCCGGTTGAGCTGAGTCCGCTTCGCATGCGTTTTGAGAGATCGGCAAGCGCGACTACATCCTGGTAAGATTGGTTGATGTCGAAATCAGTTGTCTCCCCATGTTTAGCGCCTCGGTATGCCGATTTTTAGCTCTTTTTTTTGAGTTCTCCTCGTTCCTCTTGGTCGCTGCGTCGGCATGTTTTGATGAGCACTCGTCTATCATTCGTCGGAAGGGGCGGTGATTTCGAGATAATTTGTCTGGGTTGTTGCCTGACTTGACACTTTACTGTGATTAGCGGAGGAAGGGAATGAGATTTGCTGCGACTGTTTTGGAAAAAACCTCGCATCATTCATGTGATGTGATTCGCGATGATTTGTAAACGTCATCAACGTGGGGTCGAGTTTGATTTGATGAAAATGGTCAAAGGCTCCATTACGCGCCTGTCTAGAGATCTTTGATGAATAAATGAATCGGTTTCGTTGTGTCTATGGAGGACCTGGATCTCGCAATCTGTTTTGTTAAGTAGTGCGGAAGAGAGTTTGCTGAAACATTTTGAAGTTGACTTGTGTCCGAATGTGGAAATAATTTTAATCACTCGAAGCTCTTGTTCTGAGAATCATAAGCACTTGTTTTGGCAGAAACGGGTATAATCTGGGGCCTCCTTATTCCTTGTGTTAAATGTAGCATATGCTTTCGATTCTTTGTTTCCAGAATGACGACTCTTTGTTTCCAGAATGACGACGATGGAGATTGATATGGAAAGGAACAATAATCGGAAACGATCCGCTTCTACCAACTTGCCCCAACAGTGGAGCCAGTGGCAGCTGCTTGATTCCATCCTTCCGACAGGGGGATTTGCGCATTCGCTTGGTCTAGAGGCGGCAATACAAACCCGCGTGATCAGTGGGCCTGAAGATCTTCATACCTTTGTAGTACATGTGTTGGAGAACACTGGCAGTTTACTTCTTCCTTTTGTCTACACTGCAAGCAAAGAGCCAAGTGCAGATACATTGTGTAAGCTTGACAGAATGCTTGATGCGATGCTAACTAATGAAGTGGGCCGAAAAGCATCTGTAGCTCAAGGTTCAGCACTTATGAGGGTGGCTGCATCTGTGTTTTCTGAAATCCCATTGCTTAAAATGATGAGAGAGAACTTTTTGAGTTCGGGAGTCGTTTCTTTTCACCATGCTCCAATCTTCGGGCTTGTATGTGGACTTCTTGGGCTCGAGAGTGAGACATGTCAGAGAGCCTTCATGTTCATTACTTTGAGAGATATTATTTCTGCTGCAACTAGGCTGAACGTAATTGGGCCGCTGGGAGCTGCTGTGTTGCAGCACCAGATCGCTCATGCTGCCGAAGCTATTACAGAGAAATGGAGTAACCGTGGTGTTGAAGAAGCATGCCAAACAGTTCCTTTGCTTGACACTGTGCAGGGATGCCATGGCTACTTGTTTTCGAGGCTGTTCTGCTCCTAATGACCATTCGTCCAAGTCCATAATGATCAATTCCTTTTTTATGCTCACCTGCTGATATTGGATGTTGAATTAGAAATGCTTGCATCTTCTTCAGCCAGGAGGATCCTTGCTCATGTTTGATGTCAAGTGGGGAAATGTAGATGGATCCATGTAATCATTCGATTGCTTTGACACCGAATACTTTCATGATGTTTTTGAAAGTTTAAGATGATCTCAATTTCGAATGTGGTTTCATGGCAAGTCAATTCTGTTGTTGTAGTGGACTGAAGCATCGTCTAGCTCATTAGTCACATCTCTAACTAAATTTTTGCTTGTAGAGTTGGCAGTGTGACAATTTCTACGTCATCTGATATGGTTTTACATTGAAGATACTGCATCAGAGACCCAATGTCCAAAAAGAACTTCCCCAATCGAAGATTTCCCGATTGCTCTGTGTAAACCTCGGATCTGTAGTTTGCTTTGTTCCTCTTTCTTTGGTGCCATGCCTTTCATCTAACAGCGCAGACATGATGTTCACTGAATTTCTCCGTGTTGGCCAGATTCTCCTGTTCGGCGAGGTCGCTATCGTTGTCAAAGGAATTCTTAACAGAAATCTTGTCTTCCCCGCTTGGAAAGTTTTCAGTGGCAGTGATAACTGGTGACTGTCAAGGGGTGAGTGCTCCATTTTTTGGTACTGGACTTGCAGTACTCGTTTTCTCTTGTGCAATTCGCAAGTTACCATTTCGTTGCCTGTCTCGGCAGGCCATCGTCGCTCTCTATGTTAACTTGGTTGCCAAGGCATTGGATGGCGATCATTGACATTTGTTTCTGGCATCATGTGCATTCGGGAGTGACCTCTGCGCGCCCATGGGAGACAATCCCGTTTGCCATTTGCCTTGGAATTTGAAAAGTTTGACACGGTCGAGTTGGGTCTGACATGCCATGCCTTTTCCTATACTCTGTGGCTTGATCGAACCAAGCCTCCGCAATTTCAAAATCTCCCTGTCGAACGGCCTGTTCTCCCCCGTCGGAGTAGGTGGGTCAATTTCGCCCTGTTTCTTTGTCAGCTCACATGGAATGGGTAGCCTTGAAATTTGTGTTTGGGCTAGGATGAAGCTGCAATGAGAAATACCCAAAGAGAATTTATGAAGGTCCGCCGTGTTAATTACTCCATGAATGAATTTTCCAAGCCCGATGAAACGCCTATGACAAGTCGAAGTTGACGAGATTTGCGTGGATCTCACTTGATCTAATGGCCGTGATCGACTATGATTGTCTCCTATTTGTAGACCCGACATAGGCTGTTAGCTCCCTTGATTCATAATAAGAGGCGTGATGGTAACACGAGATATTACTATGAAAAATAAAAGACCACTATGAGGTAAATAGTATCTGCCCCCCTTAGGCATTAGCCAATAATTACACATTTACTAAGTCGAGAGTCCACATTCGTAGGTTGGTTGACGTGTAATAAATTTAAACTTGTTTTTCTCTAATTTCCTCGATAATAGATATCTTCTCTAATTTTGAAAATTTTTGTTACAATAATCATTGACGATCACTGATTTGACATCAAGGTCACCCAAAATTGCGAATCAAGTTTCAAATGGGAGGCGAGAGGGAGTACTAGCACCATCAACTTAGGCACCTATTTTCTCATCAAATCGCCGTGAATTATATGTACTATTCATTGTCATCTTCCACATTAGTCTTTTGCTTTGTTACTTATCGTTAAAACTTAACAGATTAAAAGATAATGCCGGCTTAGCTCGAACTTATTAACATAATTTAGGGACTAGCTTTGAATATTTAGAAATAATCCAGGGTTCAATATATAAAAAATTCAAAAAAAACGATAGGGATTTAGTTTTGTTTTCCTCCAAAGAATAATATCCTCCCTTCAAGTCGCCCTTTTGACTTGGCTGAGAAATCGCCGCTCTTTTTCTGCAGCTTCGGCGTACAGATAGCAAGACTCAAAACTCCCCCACGCTCCACGGCCCGCCCGTGCGTGCCACGGATCCGCCGCGATCCGCCACCTGTAACCCGCGCAGGCCACGCGCCACCTCTCTCCTCCTCCACCTGCGCCGCGCTTCATTATCGGGAAGCAAAGCGCCAGCCTCTGACTCGATCAAATGATTAGCATTCAATTTTTTCTTTCTTCTTCTTTTTTTTTTTGCCTGCTCGCTTTCGGGGATTAATAATAATCGAATCGAGGGATCATCGCGAGGCTCGAGCGCGATCGAGATCAGGTGGGGGCCAAGAAAGATCTCCATCGATCCATCACTGATCTGCACTCCCCCTCTCTCTCTCGCTACTCCGCAAAACCTCCCTGCTCGCCTTCTCTCTCCTCGAGCTCAGAGAGGGAGAGCAGTCGAGAGCGTGCGCGAATGGCGCGGAGGCGACGCGGCGGTTGCCCGGAGTTTCCGACGGAAGCGTAGATCGGAGCGCGCGCGGGGGAGAGGTTTTGGCGCTCGTCGCCGGAATCCGGTGTCTCTGGTGAAGTTGCGCGGGGGTTCGTTTCTGAAACCGCTGCTGGTTTCTGTCCGCGCGCGAGGGAGCCGGCGAGCTGATTTGATTGGCGAATCGAGTTTCGTTTTTTCTCTGGTAATCGGTTTTCTGGAGAGGAAGTTTCGCGAGGATCGGGGTTGGGGTTTTCTGGGAGTGAGGCTCGCTCTCGCTCGCTTGCTCTCAAGATTCGAGCCGAGTGAGCTTCGAATGGGCGCGAAGGATTATTTCGAGGATGCTCTGGACGCGAAGGCCAAGATCATGAGCAATGATTAGTTCTCTCGGTGGAATCTGACCAGGCGCCATTTCCTTCTGGTAAAGTTTGTTTTCTTTCGTGATCGTGCTAGGTGGCTTCGATTCTATGGCTGACGAGAAGTGTGACATCCGATTGCTATTGTCCAAGTGGTGATTCTGAAGAGGATGATAGTGGATGGCTCTGATACTATGACTGACTGGAAGTATGCCTTGCATATTTGATGCTTTTGGTTACCATTGGTACTGAGGGCTGGTCGTCGTGTTTCATTTCTGTTTTTCATGTTGCATTAATGATCATCCAGGTACGAATGCTAGGTTGCTAAACCAAAAAAAAAAAATGTTAGAAAAGAAAAGGAAACAGTCATTAGGAAGAAGGGAAGAAGGATTATCTAATGCACAAGAATTGCTAGGTCGTGTTATTGCTGATAGTAGTGGTGTACAATGTCTCTGCTCTACTGCTTTTTCTAAGTTCATTTGTTAGTAATGTGGAAAACTTGTTGTTTGTAGGCAAATTGGTCGAGATGCGAAGTACGGCAGATGGTGGCAGGGATAAAAAGGTGCGCAAGATTCGCAGGCACTCGCCATCCGGTGAGGAAGCCAGCGATGGAGGAGGGGTTCCTTTGAAGAAAGGCCCTTGGACAGCGGCGGAAGATGCAATTTTGGTCGACTATGTCACTAAGCATGGGGAGGGAAATTGGAATGCGGTCCAGAAGCATTCAGGGCTTGCCAGGTGTGGGAAAAGCTGTCGTTTGCGGTGGGCAAATCACCTGAGACCTGATCTGAAGAAAGGTGCATTTTCTCCCGAGGAAGAGCGTCTTATTATTGAGCTCCACGCGAAAATGGGAAACAAATGGGCTCGAATGGCTGCAGAGGTTCTCAAAATGTTGTTTTTTTTAAAATTTTTCATGTTGACATTATCTGTTGTGGCTTTTGGTGCTTGTCTCGTATGTCTTTTGCTGCTTCTGAAATGCTGCCGTAGTATTTCACGACATCTTTGAAGGGAATGGTTGGGAACAGTATGATTTATATATCAGATAAAATGAGGAGTCAAAAATAGCAAAAAGGATTGAACCCCTGGCTAATATTTTTTTCGGGGACAAGAGATGAAATTTGGAACTTTGAAGTTCTGTTTACAATCTAGGGAGGTATCCTTCTAGCTAGTTTAAGTTGGAGGATTAGGGGACAAGTTTTCACTAAATTGGCACGTTTGTTTTTCCTGCTTTGGCAATGGTGACTTTGTGCATCTTATTCTATTTCATGAAGTATTCTTTCTGGAAATGGTATCTTGATAAAATCTCACTGGTCCAGTAGACATGATTTTTATCTATCATGAGTTTTTGGGTCAAAAGCTTGTAAGTTTTGCAATCACCATCTTATAATTCTTGTGATATTTGATTATTTTCTGAAAATAAATCAAAATTTGAAAGTCTTATGGATTGGAATAGGATATGCGTGAAAGAATTCCCCTCTCCATGGTTCTTTGTTGCTGAATATAGGGTTACTGGGTTAGAGATGTGGCCTGGTGTTTGATTGATTACATCTTGTCTCTTGGATGACGTGGCATTTTGAAAGTTACCGTGTCCAATCTCTTGCTACCATTGTTGTAGCAGAACATGAGTAGTACTATCTATGATTTGAAAGCTAATCTTGGTCCTGTAAACAAATGGAACCTTCTATTCTTGTCTTCTTGCGCTGCTGATGCATTTCTTCCTTCCCTCTTTCAGTTACCCGGACGTACAGACAATGAGATAAAGAACTACTGGAATACAAGAATTAAACGGCTGCAACGCACTGGCATGCCTATATACCCAACTGAGGTTTGTCTGCAAGTGTCAAGTGGGAATCAAGAAATTCATAACATGGGTAACTTGCATACTGCAGGCGAAGATAATTGTGATCTCTCACAGGCAGAGACACTTGAGATCCCAGAGGTGGATTTTAGAAAACTGGAACTGCATCTAGGTTTCTCGTCTTTTTGGTCTACACTTTTGGACGTTCCTCCTTGTGGCTTTGGGAGAGAGGCAATGTGTCTATCTGATGCTTACTGCCTTCCAATTCCATCAATCCGGTCTCCTAAACGCCTTCGGGGGTATGAAACCCCATTTCCTGTTTTGGATGCCGGAAGCCATGACAGTTTCTCTTCATTTGGTCAGTATGCTGACTATTCCTCCGAGATCACCCCCGAGTCCTTTGTGTTGTCATCGCCATATGATGTCAATCCTGACTCAACTAACCAGTCTCTACTGGGCGATCTCCCCGGCAGCCATGCCTTTCTAAATGGCAACTACCCTTCTTCTGTGCCCCATTTGGAGGCCATGAAGTCGGAGCTCCCTTCACTCCAATATACAGAAACTCAGCAAAGTAGCTGTGGTACTCCTGCATCCCCATGGCCTTCCCTTGAGTCTGTTGATCCTCTAATACAGTCACCTCCATGTGAGCACTATCAATCGGATTGTCATTCACCGCAGAGGTGCGGCCTACTGGAAGCAGTTATCTATGAAGCCTGCTCTAAGCAAAAATCTTGCGCACAGACTACAGGCGTTTCTGGCGATGTAGCTTACAACTCTTCTCCAGTTCAGCTTGGGACAAAGCAGGAAATACATGCTGCCCCAGACTCTCCTTTTGGTCATAATGCTACATCAGTGCTCAATGATTGCGCTATTGCCAGTGGAAAATCTTTTGAAGAACCCCGATCCGCCGACACCATGCCTGGTGCGATCACTTAATATTGCTTATAGTTTGTATGCCATTGTTTCAGTGCCATAATAAATTTCAGCATTTTCTCAGTGGAGTTTTTGGTTTGTCTTTCATGCAGGATTTGACATTAAGCCTGAGGAAGATAGCAAACCTTTCACTGATTTTGATGGAAAGCAAGAGATCCCAGATCAGATGCACATTAACGAGCCAGATGCTTTGCTTGATTTAGATTGGTGCCAGCACAAAAGTCAGCCTAGCGAAGACAAAATTCGGGCAGATTATATAGGAGCTCTTCTCGGTACCGATTTTTAGTGAGTCCCCCCGGAATACGGGTGATAGGACCGCATTGCACTAGTAGACAACACGACTATGATGTGCCTTATCGTCAGCCCTTGGGAATAGTGAGTTTTTAGGAATTTTGAAATTCCGCCTCCTTTTCCGGCCTATGAATTTTGCAACTTCCCCACCTTACGTTTGGGATTTCTGCCTTCAAAATTTGAGTTCTCCTTTTTGGGTCCTCTGGACACTGTCATGTGAATTCTTTTGGATGCTTATAATTCGAGCTAATTGTCGATTTGTTCTTCCTGTGTTGTTCTTATTGCTTAGTCGCACTGGAAGCATCATGTTGGACTGGGCCCTTAGCTCTAGACTTGCAACTTCTTGTTCTCTTGTGGTGTTTTATTTGCTAGTGTTTTATCAATCCATGGGCATGACACCCCAGACTAGGAGAAAGTGTTGCATGGAGCAGCTGCAGCACCAACCTGGTGGGGGCGAAGGAGTCGATCTTCCACCTAATGATTCTCGACTCTTTGCTTGGACTTTAATATATGCCAGAGTCATGACAGGTATGCTCAGTGACCATAGCGAGGCCAGGCCATCGGGCAGTTCCTCAGAGGCTCGCGTCCATCACTCATACTGTCTCTCCCGTTAAAGAGGGCTGTATCCACATCCTAGACCGGTGAATGCGAGGGAATGTTGCTTCTGAATCGAAGAAGAAAAATGGATGAGATGGACCAGTCTCAGGCGATAAATCTTTTTGCAGAAAGCACGAACCGTTTAGTTGCCTTCCAATGCAGCATGCCGCTGATAGCCCCTCTCCTGGTCGAACGCTGGACGTACTGATGAGTTGGTTAGTCGACCATGCAATAATTCAAATGCTTCATCGACCCTAAAAGTAACCAAAAAGTAGAAGATCGGAATCAATCTGGTAACGTGAAACGGCTCGTGATAAAGCAATCACTCGTCGGATCGGGGAGGAGCTGAAACGAGAAAAAACCGCACCCGCATAAGATTGCGAGCCTGGCCGTCAAGCCCTGATCAGGTCTACCGCGATTGATTATTGCTATTATTATTATTCTAAAAGCCATACATTTCCTTAAATGCGGATTTGAGGCGCTGTCTATTTTAGGTAGAGTGTGCACGCTCCTAACACTGCAATAAATATAGAGCGAAGCCACCGACTTATTACTTGCCGCCTCCATTTCGCAAGACCAACCCAAAGAATCTTGAGTCTTCAAAAGAAAAGCCAGCAAGGACGATATTATTATTTCATTTTCCACCTGGCTTTACTCCCCACCTGATGAAGTAAAAGCTCTCTTTTAATTTCATTTCTTGGGGGAAAAAACATGATTTAAGCTTCATCTTCGTAAATTTCAGGCGTTTATAAATTATTTTTCCCCCAAAAAAGACTCCAGACTTTATTTCAGCGCGGTGAAAATGACAAAGGGAAATGAAGAAGAAGAAGACGAAAATAGAAAGGAGATAAAACGTGGGAGTGTCACTAACTTGAGATTTTTTTGTGCCTTTTTGTCTCTCTCTCGCTCTGGCTCCGCTACCGATAGACCCACTTTCTCACTCGCTCACTCGCTCACTTCTCCTTTTTCTCCACCTTACAAAAAGCGTGGAAGCTCAGCTCTGCTCCACTGAGCTTCGTCTTTGTGGGGGAGGTGGCGATGCGGAGCTTTTAGGTGGTGGTGTGGTTCGCTAGCTTTTTCGGGGGCGTCCGTATCTGGAATCGGATCTCTCCTTCCCCTCCCTCCGCCTTTACCTCCTCTCCGTCTCTTCGGTGGGTTTCGATCTTCTCCTTTTCCAAGAACTTTCATCTGTTGCCCCCTTTTAATAGCCCCCGGGCGGGATCGGATGCTGATAAGTTGTGATCCTCTCTTCTGGGTGTTGAATATTCTCTGGGCGAAGTATCTTCTCGCTTTTGGGGTGCTGACTGTTTTGACCAAGTTGATCCTGTTTATTCCCTCTCTTGTCGGCCTTTTCCGGTCGAAAATTTCTTTGTGGTTCTTGTTTGTTGGGTTGAGATGGCGACTGGATCCTGAAATTCGGTTTCTTTCTGGGTTTTCGAATTGTTGTGGGATGCTAGCGACGAAGGTCCTGTTCTCCGCGATTAGCCCGGATCAGGCTTTTTGTTTTGGCTTTGCAGAGGAAGAGGAAGAGAAAACTTGTGTTCTTGTTCCTGGATTTTGTACCGTAGTTTCCGCGCCTATGCTTCTGCAATAAACAAAAAGAAAGAGGGCATTATCTGCGATATGAATCGGCAGAATTTGTTGATGTCCACGCATCAGCATCTCTCTTTTTTTTTTTTTTAGATAGATTAATTCGCCACTAATCGTGTGAAAGTGTCGCCGTCGATTGTTTGCGAGATTTCGTAGTAGACCCAGTCAAAGCTCTGAAGTGTGGTTGTTATGTGTAGTATTGTACTTGTCTTTGATGAATTCAGCTGCTCTTTTCATTCCTGCTCTGGCTCTTCCAGTTTCCCGTTGGGGTGCAATTGGCTGATTTAATGATTGGATTGAATTTTCATTTTGAAAATGATGGTAGTAAATCGTTCTTTCCTGAATAAATCATAAGCTCTTTGTGTACTATCGATGAAACAAAGATGTATGCAAATGGGTTTTGTTGCCCCTTCCGACTTCTGTGAAAGAGACCCCTTTTGTCGGTGTTATATACGTACTTTCAGAAATTATTTGGTGTAATGCAACCGTAAATTCTCTAATGCAGAAGGAAGCGTGTCTTTTGTTTTGATACTTGCGCTTATACAAAGGAAGGATGTCTGATGGAGAAGAGACGCATTGGTGCTATCAGTGCAACTGGCCATTCAGGCTTCAAGGCGGAGAAGTAATTTGCCCTTCCTGTGATGGAGGATTTGTGCAAGAGCTTCAGGAGGTACAGGCTCTGACGTCAGCAGATGTTTCAGCGCCATACCCGCTGGATCTCTCTCCTCAAGTACCTCCAGTATTTGATGCTGTATATGCTCTGCTAGGCGATAATGGTCTCGACTCCAGAAGAAGATTTCTTGGCTTAGTTGATTTGTTAATGAGGGATGCAGTTGCAGGAGGCAATCCTAATTTTGATGTCAGAGGACGTCCAGGTTGGGACCTAAACATAGTTTCAGTGTTTGTACTTTCCTTTTCTTCATCACCCCCGCCCCCTCTATCTTTTTCTAGTCACCACATGCATCATTAAATAAGATATTCAACCTTTACCATAATACAGCAGGAAGAAGACCAAGGTTAGCTGAGTTGGATGACTATTTCATTGAACCGGGACTTGAAGAAATGATTGAACAGCTCCCTGTTGATAGAAGGGGTCCACCCCCGGCACCTCAGTCGGCAATCGCTGCATTGCCCACCGTCAAGATCACTCAGACGCATCTTCGGGCTGATTCAGAGTGTCCCATCTGCAAAGAGGAATTCGAGCTGCAAGCTGAAGCAAAGATGATGCCTTGCCACCACATTTATCACCCTGATTGCATTGTGCCTTGGTTGGCACGGCACAATTCCTGTCCTGTTTGCCGATTCGAGATGCCTCCGGTGGGCGCCAGTTCTGTTTGGGGGGGTCAAAGTCGGAGTGACCAGAGTAGAAGCAGCAGCAGCACTCTAAGGAGTGGGGATAGTGGCAGGGACAGTGGGAGGCAAAATCAAGGGAGGAGTCGTCGATTCCCATGGCCTTTTGGTTCATCAAATTCTAATACCCAGCAGATCCCTGAAACAGGAGGAAGCCACTCGAGAACCATACATGAACAGAATCACGAGATGAACTACTCTGGATGGCCATTTGATTACTGAGTTCCGCCATACTTAGGTTAGTGATAGCGTTCCCGAATAATTGTGGGTGGGTCTAAATACTCAATGATCGCTCTTGTTTGCATTGGGACTGTAGTGAAAGTTGTCTCCGGGTCAAACTATCTGTGTTTCTGGAGTGGATACGGTCTTTGAAGCCACGGCTTGATTGAATATCAGTCACGGCTTGATTGAATATCAGTTCTCATAACATTTTCCTGTGCATGGTCTTGCGTGTTGTGACCTCCACTGTGCAGTCGCTCTGCATTTTGCATTGGAGCTGATCGAAAAGTCGACGGCTACAACATGTTTTTGCTTTCCTTTTTTTTTGTGTGGGTGTTAATATAAAATAATGGCTGTTAATCTGAAGAGTGATATATGGATATTTGGATGGAGCATTTTTTTTCTTGGTCAAATTGCTCTTGATGTACAAAAATGGTTGTGCTAACGATGCAGAGCAAGCATGTTTAATAGAGAAAAATTTTACTTTTCAAGGCGAACTTTAATTTTCAAGACACTAGTTATACACACTACAAGAAAAGCTACCATATGGGATGTTTTGGATACTCAATAACAATGAGAGGGAGAAGTTATTACATCATCGTAGTTATGTGAGTCTTATTGCGGGTCACACTTTCAAAGTAACATCTGACCATGGGGACCATCGCTTGCTGTCCGTTGTTTGTACATTTGAATGAAAATAATAACTCGAAGGAAGACAACCTAAGGAGCTTCGACAAAACGAGAAACCTTGTTCACGCAAACACCATGAAATTAGGTAATGGTCACTAGCTGCTAGTGTTAAAAAAAAAAAATGTTGTGCTTGAGTTGTCCATTCAAGTGATCATTGCTTGGATATCCGGCAAAGATAAATGAATCCTTGAATCTTTATGTCTTCCCGAGGTTCTCTAGTAATTCAGATACTATCACCCATCCCGCCCCTCCGCCGATTACCGCAAGAGTGAGCTGTCCACCAGGAACCAGCTTGGGTAGTTTCATTGATGTAATTGAATTCGACTGCCTATCTGACCACGACATTGCAGCAGGGAGGATTCCAAACAGCACCAGCACTAAAATGAACATGGAACAGGGGATATAAGAGAAAACAAAACAAATGAGTTCGCCAAAGCGACAATCTCTAGCCGCATGCAAGGAGATTAACCCTGCCATCAATTTGAGCTAGAAGAGTTAGGCTTACCTCCATAAGTTCCAGCAAAATCCAAGGCTTTGAAGAAAATTTCTGGATCTAGCAATGAGAGTATGAGCGGAGGAAACAAGGTCAAGAGATATGGTAGAGGTTTGCTCTGACCAGAGGGGAGCTTCAACACTGCAGATTCAAGATTACTAACATCAACGATGGTAATATAAATGTTTATCTCGAGATTTTGACTTAAGTCATGTCTCGAACAAAGTGTTGAGGTGATGATTTGAATTAAGATTGTACGCATGGGGTGCTATGCACTCTCATATGTTTTGGTGAAAGACATTTGGGACTGGCATGTGCTACATACTCTATTGCAACGCATTACCCAACACTGGTTTATTGTCTATTTAAGAGCTGCCTCTCGCATCTCCGCGAGGGACAGTAAAATTTAGGCTGATGAAAATTTCAGAATTTCCACAACCATGTACATATAGGTGCAATAGAAACTTCGCGTATGAATTCTCTATTAGAATTCAACACAATTGACTTTGGTGGAGAAATAAGCCTACTTACAGTCAGCCAAGAAGTCGGAGAGGCCCAGAACAAATCCGATATAGGATGTTGCGATTGCAAGAAGCGAGAATACCTCAACTATAGGCTGTGGAAACAACAAGAGGCGTAAAGAGCTATGAACTGAAAGTCTGTTTTGTAAGGTTTGAAACTACATTGAGATGGATGTTGAAACTTGTCTAAAGAAAGTTGAAATGGTTGAAGCCAGACTTACGCCTACGACTCCATTACTAGATCGTAATTGTTGTAGTGGGTCAATGAAGTTATCAGAGCTCACATCAGCACTTGTAATAGTTCCTAGTATGACAGCATTCCATACAAGAAATAAACCAAGAGGTATAGCTGTGCCCAGGACAATTGCAGTCCTACAAATAGTGCAATGTCATCACGGACAAATTAAGTAAGTCTCAAAAATAATTTATCAAGAAAAGCAAATAGGACCAGAATTATGACAACATAAGAGAAGAAAGATGCACTCTGATTAGGGAGCGAACAGCAAAGTGACCACAAGAACCATGCAAAACTTATTTGACATTGTATTTATTTAACCAACTCAATAATCTTAAAAGTTCCTAAATTTTCCATCTCTTTTGCTAAATTCATGTGCAAAGAGTGAGACTTGAAAAGTGACATTTTGTTGGGACGCAGTTGGCCACCACATGATCTTTAGCACAAAGGGCTGAGCCGCCATGTACACAAAGACTGCCCAGGTCTCAAACTAAAAGTAAACCCAATTCCTTGGAAGCAGGATTCAGAGATTAGCATAAAAAATAAGGATGAGGAGTGTTAACTGAGATGGACGATCTTGAGATGCCAGAAACCTGCCAGAACAGATGCATCCAGTAAATTTTATTACCTTATTTTTGTCAGATCTCCTTCAAGATTTGTACAAACAACAGGCACTACGTTCTGCACAAAAACGATACAAATTGATCAATTAGATCTTTCCAAAAAACTGTCACGATTTCAAGTGCTCCAGTCTGGTGAAGTTACCTGGTACACAAATGATAGTGCAATAACAGGTATACTCATTGGAACAGCTTCAAAGTTGGCTTTGAGAAGAGCCTCCCAGTGGAGATCTCCGCTTGCAACTGCCTAAGGAAACACACTCTACTTCAGTAGACATGAAAAACACACCCTGCTTGAATCACCAGTACAGTGCTCTAATTGATACATACAAATTGAAAAAGTCAAATAATGCAAACAAGAAAAATCTAAGTTTTTTCCAAAAAAAATTTTGCAGCATTGAAAGAAATTTTTTTATGACTAAAGCTCATGATGATAGAAGCAGTAAAATTTCACAGACTTTGAACTAATTATAGGAATAAATTATCTTAGAAGCAGTCCAAAGAAAATATATCTGGAAAATTTTCAATAAAAAAGAACATATCTTGGAAATTTGTTTATTACCATATAGACAATTCATAGTTCAGGAAAAGTATTAACATTGCACAGCTGAATCTTAACTGAAGCTTACCACAAGAGCTGCGAAAGACAATAGGATAGCAAGTACCAAAACCCCGTTTACTGCACCAATCAAGCGCTGGCTACAATAGAAGATGATTAGAGTCATTTCATTCAACCAAGTGGTGGCTACAATGTTTATATAGAAAATTCCCCATAATCTCTCTAAAATCTACCCAATAATGACAAACTACACAAACAATTATAAAGTGCAACTATCTTGGATCTTAAGTGAGACCATATAATTTTAGGCGATGTCAAGGTAGGTCTATCATTTGGCAGATAAAATGAACCAACTAGAGCACATGGAAGTAATTAAAACACATGCAGATATCGCAAAGGAGACTGGTAGTGACCAAAGTCGAGATTTGTCTGTAAATCAAGCATTCTTTCAGGCTATGCAGGCATGATCATATGGCTAAGATAACAAGAAATAACATCTGCTCGTCAGTGGATTTGACGATGAACAAGTCTTTTTTATCGGTACCTTCCATCCAAAGATCAGTTTGAACAGGAAGGACCTTCTTATAGTTAACACCAATATTAAGCATTCCAGATTATCATGTCTGGCTAATAGACAAGTTACTTGAAGAAATGAAATCATAAAGCTACACCAACCTGCCAAAATAGCAGATTCCCCCCATTACCAGTGAGAATAGGGTAGCGCTCTCCCATCTGCAACCATAATGCTGCCCATCAACACCTACGAAAGTACAAATTGCACTTAAAAAATGTGCCTCATAAATACTAGTAAGGAACTAATCATAAGAAAATATTTAGCATGAAAACTAGGAGGAGAAAAGCTAGAGTGATGATCCATACAGTGGAATGCCGAGAGAGTTTGTTAAAATATCTGAAGAACGAGCCACATAAGCAACGAGGAGGGCATAATGAATGAAAATGTACGACCAACTGCAGGAATGAATGTAAAAATCAAAAAATCAATATAATAAAGTCATGTATATATTTAAATACATGTTTCTAAGAATGCTAAAATCACATGGTCTATCGTCACTTGATGCCCTCTTAATTTCAGAGTTTGTACCCAGTCGAGTTTACAAGCTAGTGATGATAAAGTTTTAAAAACAATTGTAGCATGCATTATTAGAAATAAACCTCCTAAAACAATAGAATGGAATGGTGTGATGGCCCAATAGATAATCCCTTATCTGAGCTCATTACAAAAAAATGAGTAGTGCCACATACATAAAACGTTTACAAAGACCAATGAATGAAATCCTTCTTGGCCCATAACCATTTTGTTGTGGTACTATGTCATTATTACAGAGACAACTAACAATGGCGGGCGGACTTTACGTTAGTATCAAACACTTTGTATACCAAGATCATCTAAAATACATTGACTTCACTTGCTAAGACATAACTCAAGGTGAAATCGTAATAAGACAGCACTCTCACTGAAAGTGTAGCCAAAGAAAATTCTTTACCAAGCGACTTGCACTCCAAACTTCCCTATAGTTCTCATGGCCATTGATACCTGAAAGTTTTTTTCGCGTAAAGTTAATTGCAATTTGTATAAAAGATCAATGTTCTGAATGCTGCAATAAAGTATGTTGACATTAAATGTCATAGAACGATCCAAGTTTAAACTTCTTCCTGGGTTTGGGATAATCACAAGAAAATGCATCAAATAGTAGCTTTTTTGGAAGTGCAAGTGGTTACTCGAGAGCGGATTACCAGCGATACACCTCCAGATCCCAGTTCACACATTGTGTTCACATTGACTTCAGCAATGAGCAGCCCTGTTGCAACCTGCAGTGTTTCAACACCCAATAATCGCTGTCGTGAGTGATAATTTGACTAGCTTGTTGTCAATGATGAATTGACCAAGGTTCACAAAAGAAGGAGAAAAATTCACAACGTGAATATGTTTAAAAAGTATCACACAAATTATTACCATGAAGATCCAACAGAAAATGCAGGTAACTGCGGAAGCTATGAATCCAGATTCTCGTGTCACGGCAGGTATGGCGAGAATCCCAGCTCCTACCTATCAAACTTGGAATCATTAAAGCAAACATCGCAGCAAAAATGAGCCGCTAGAATTCCTCGACAAATACGACCAGACTTAACAAGCAATTTGTCATGCCCAGAATTTGCACCAGGCAGTGAGAGATCAAATTATCAGAGAGTCCTTGATCCGGACAAAATTGAACATAACCTACGTACGAAATTCACTCTGCACGCAACGCGACGCGATGCTAACTTAGGCCAGTCACTGCAGAAATCGCACACAAATCGGTAATCGAATCCTTACCGTAGTGCCTGCCACCAGAAAAACCGCACTGGACAAACTTCCTGAAAACAGCAAAACAAGAACACGAACGCCGTCACACTAGTAAAGAGCAACATCGGACAACGCAGGCACTAAGAAACGCGCGCGGATACCGTACCAGGTTCCCGCTTGAGAGTGGCCCGGTTGAGATTCGAGAACAGCCGCTCGACTTCGAGTTCGCGCTCGCTCTCGTTGGCCGATGGCCCCTGCGAAGAGCATCTGAGCCTCACCGTCCTCGAAAGCTCGGAAGAAGAAGAAGACGACGACGAAGAAGAGAGGCGGCGAGCACGTACGGACGGTCCGCATCCGGGGATCCGCGAAGCAGGGGGCGGCGAGCGAAAGGAACGGCGGTTTCGGGGATGGACCGAGAGAGGAGGCGACGGAAGGCAAAGGAGCGAAGACGACGACGGCGCCATCGACGGCGCCTCCTCTCTTCTCCACTGTGGTGAGCAATGCGACGGTGGTTTTTGGGCGGAAGGGAGAAGCTCTCGTCTGCTTTGATCATGGCGAAAATGGTGGTGGTCGAGGGAGGGAAGGCGATAGCGTGGGCCCGCGCGTGCCATGCAACGCATCGTGCGTCCATGGAAATTGTTAGCACGTGACCCACCATGGAAGCGGCGTTTGGTTCGCAGAAATTGGAGTGACGTCACGCGGCGAAACAAATGCCAAAAATTAGTGTTTGGGGGGACATGTGATTCGCCCCATCTTTAATCATTCAAAAATATGATCAGAACAACTCACAAATTATTAATTATATTTAATAACTTGTAGTTTACAAGAATATGCTTGATGTTAAATAACCATTCTTGACTATAATTAGGAATTATTAATTGTTATATGTATTCAAAATAATAAGTTTTACTTAGGTTTTGGTTTAATAATCTTATAATATAGTTAATATATTACAAATGAAAATTAGGCAATAACAACTTATGAATATTTTAAATTATGTTCACTCAATTAAAATTAATGAACAATGTGAATACAATTAAATAATTAATAATTCCAATTTATGTTTAAAAGTATCAATTAATGTACTTATCATGCATAAATAGAATTTTTTTTATTTTGCAATAGTTCAATATAGTAGAATTATCATCTAGAAAGTACGATGTAGATTAAATTTATCAGAAAATCTTCATTTAATTCTCCATTCCCGCGTGTTTTTATTCTACGAGCAAATACAACTTTCATTCCATTCCATTCCAACAATTTATCAAACAAAGATATTAGAATGGTCATTCAATTCCATTTCATTCCTTTCCCGTTCCATTCATTTCCCGTTTCATTTTCCGATTTTGGTTCGTTTCGCCGTATCAAATGCAACATAAAAATATTTTTGGAGCAAATACCATGCTCATTAGATATGAATCTCAATTTTCTTAAGGATCCATGATCATTCTTTCTTTCACGCATTCGTTTGAACGATTCTAGTTCATCAATAAGAGTTACCCAATTAATTTATTAACCCATGTTGAAGAAATCTATTCTAGTTCATCAATAAGAGTTACCCAATTAATTTATTAACCCATGTTGAAGAAATTATTAATATATAGAGACTCTTACCATCCTGAGAATCAACATAGACGTCCCTACGACTCGACGTTAGAGTGTAATGATGTAGATGGATATGGTACATTTATAAAGATTTATTCATCTGATTGTAAAGCCAACAATAGAGAACGTTGATTTGCTGGACACTACGGATATAACGGGCTAACTTTTACAGCATGTATATATTATAGATCAAAGTTTAGTTTTTCTTTGTTCTGACAAGAAACTTCATTTGCTCGTCTTCAATGTTCACTTCGCCCTTGCTTTGAGCACAGAAGGCCTACGCAAATTCCTTTGCGAACCTGAAATAAGAGCAAAATGTTGAAGACACTGTCATCTGACAAGACTAAAATCCGATGTTATGCGTCTGCTCGACTCTACTAGCTTTAGTCTATTGTCGACCCGCTACGAAGCATAAGCTTCAGAATGTCTTTAGGATGCTCACACAGGATTCGCTAAATTCGACATCAACAAACTCGAGCAGCACGCAAAGTGCTCTTCCTTTTCCGAGGCTCGACGGGAAATCTTCAAATCAATGCTTGGACAGAGTCATAAACAGTGCCTAACATACCTATCTTTACTAGCGGAAGAGCCGAAAGTGAGTATTGTGCCTCGCATTATCATCTCTAATCAATAATCATAACTTATATAGGCATGTGAATTGCTCATGCTGTCCTATAAGAAACCCGAATCAAAGATACTGACTACCCATTACCATCTCCTAAAAGACCACCTCCAGCATCATCGACTCGAGATGAAAACAGAGCTGCAAATGCAATTCAAGTCAATCGATTCATGCAGATGTGTATTTTCTCGGATGAGTGATCAATGGGCACTCATTTATCTTCTTCATGTTCTTCCCTTCCTTTACATCTAAGCAGTAATCGCGACCATGATGATGCACTCATCGTTTTTCTCCAATCCATTATTGAATAATCATTTCGACTTAACATCTCAGGATTCTAGGTGCATCCACATGGTCCTCAACAAGCACAGTTTTAGGAATAGGCGACTCCCATCAGGCCTCTCAGTAAATTCAGGACCACATCCTGTTCCCTAGATATTGTATAACTAAGAAAAACAAAGGCTCAAGCAAAGTTCTTGGAGTCTGCAGCACTAAAGCGTCACAACCATTTCTCAGGCTTTACAAGAAAATCAAGCAGAAACATCTCTAACTCGTCCGCTAACATGTCCGCACAAGACAGAGCAGAGAGCAGATGACATACCCCCGAAACTAAGCACTAGCCTCAGCAGGAGCATCGCCGACGAGCTTGAACTCTTGCAACGACTTGAAATTCATCCATGGCTTCACCCAGATCTTAGCATCATACACTTTCTTGACGCCACCATGAGCCGCCTCCAAGGTAATGTAATACATGGTACCCGAAACCACCTGCTGCTTCACATTCACCACTTTCCTAAGCTCCAGAAGACCATTCTGCACCACAAATTCACTCAATCCATAAGACACAGCTCATAACTCACAAACACCAAGACCACATTAGCTAAACAAGTCCGATGAATACTTTTCACGGAATCTCAAAAGAAAACCAATTACACAACCGACACTGATCTCCCCTGCGACAACAGTAACACCATTATCTCTCTCTCCACCTGTTCTTGGCCCAAATTAACCTATTCCTCCATCACTTGTCTTCTGAACGTCACGTTATTGCAATTTTTCTTGCGCAATCATGTGACAACCCACCAAAATTTCATGCAAATTTTTCCTCTCGCCCCGGACTAGAAATCGCAACATATTTTTTTGCATCGCCCCACTGAGTCCTGCGTCATGAAGGAGCGAAAGAAAAAAAGGGAAAGAACAAGAAGCATGCCTGCTTCTTGTTTTGCTCATCGACGGCGAAGCGAGCGAGGCCGTCGATCTCGACGCTGTTCTGGTTTCCAGCAACTTGACGGATATCACCGACCCTCTTCATTATCCCTTCCTCTCTTTTCTTCACCTCTTTCTGCCTCGGATTTGCAGGCGACGATTGAGAATTTCTCGGTAGCTGCGACTGCGAGATGTGAAGAGACTCTACTTCTTGGCCGCTTTCTTATAGGCGAGGCGATGGTTATATTACCGTCACCGCCGGGGCCTCTGTCAAGGAAGGAGCCTTCGCGCCTAAGTCATTTGGTCACGGACATTGGCTTGGGCTGTGACGAGTGTGTTACGTATGCGGTTTTTGCTTAGTACCTACGCTTTATGTTTGTGCACGTTCGTGTGAGTTACGCTGTGGAAAAAAAAATATTGTAAACCAAAGTGAGTCTCCATTCAGGTGGGAGCCACAACGACACTCGTATAATTAATAATTAAGGATGCATTTATTTTATGAAAAAAGAATAATTTAAAAAATATTTTCTTAAAAATGATCGTTTGTATCTCTTATAAAAATGAACCAAGGAAAAATATTTTCATTATTCACGAAAATGTTTGGATATAAATTATCGCTGATAGTTTTTATCAACTAATTATTTTAAATGATACAAGAGATTATTTTTAGAAAAATATTTTATAAATTATTCATTTTTAGTGAAACAAACGGAGTGATATTGGTTCACATAATTATAGAACATGAATAGCTTATCTACTTGTGCTGCCATATTAACAATATTTGTTGAACATGTTCCATATGAAATTATCTATCTTCAAAATATTTATCGTACTTTTTTGAAAATTGTAAATTCTATCTAATTCATTACTTATTTAATGGCTTTGAAGTGCTTTTTCAACAAAATCCAAGAGCATGTATTTGTGCATTTCCTTGAAACGAGCTTCCTTACAATGGGGAAAGCTAATAATATCCTACGCGGATTATGAACTGATCTGACTTTAAATGCGCAGGATAATTATAAAAACAAGACAAATTAGTTCACTATTACATGAAAAATTATCAATTAAAGTCGGATAATACAGATGTAAACCATTGAATATAATTGTGCATGGAATACTTGAAAATCGAACCAAAGCAGATGTAAGATTGACTAGAACTTTGAACCTACTCAATTAGAGTCGATGCTCGATTTGTGAAATCGAAAACCAACACTATTGACCCTGTAATAGGACTGGCCAGTTTCGAGCCAGTTACAGGGTTAAATAAGGCTGCGAATGATAACCATTCTGTTTTTCTATTTCTGTTCCAGAAATAGGTTTGGAACAGAAATCTGTTTGGTAACGAAATTCCAATTTCTATTCCAGAAATAGGTTTGGAATAAAAATCAGAAGTTAAAATTTTTAGCTTCTCTATTTCTGGAACAGAAATCAGAAACAAAGTTTTTTTGTTCTTCTCATCACTTTCCCTCACTACTAGCCGTTCGCTCACCCGCCGCCGCCCACCGACCGCTGCTACCCGTCTCTGGCCGCCGCCGCCGGCCACCTTCTCCTGCCGCAGCCTACCCTCCTCCCCCTACCGGCGGCCTACGGCCGCCACCCACCACCAACCACCATCTCCCGCCGCCACCCGCCTTCCACCCCCGGCCTCTCTTGTCCCGCCACCGCTGCCCGCCTCTCACCGCCAGCCGCCGTCCACCAGCCACCATCTCCCACCATCGATCGCCCTCCTCCCACCGTCGGCCGCCGCCCGCTGTCCACCGACCACGATCTCTCGCCAGCCGCCGTGGGCTGCCGTCCACCGGCCACCGTCTCTCGCCGCCGGTTGCCCTCTTTTGGCCGCCACCCACCTCCCACTGTCGGCCACCGTTGGCTGCCGCCCGCCGTCCATCGGTCACCATCTCCCACTGTCGGCCATCGTCCTCCTGCCGCCGCCCGCCTCCCACCACCGGCCACCGTCTCCCGCCGCCCGCCTCCCACCTCCCGCCACCGTCTCCCGCCGCCCGTCGACCACCCGAGAAGAAGAAATTTTGTGCCGTTATCAAACAAATTTCTGTTTATGGAACAGAAATTTTGTGTCGTTATCAAACGTATTTTTTTGCTAAGAAACTCCTCCAGAAACAGAAATAGAAAAATCAATTTTTGGCCAGAAATTGATTTCTGAAATAGAATGGTTACCATTCACAGCCTAAGGAATCCGCCGCTTTTGTTTTTTGCTTTTAGTGACATTTAGTTGGATTGAGAAGCAACAATAGCCAAATCTCCGTGCTCAAGGGCACTGACCTGTCAAAGTGAACAATCACTTTTCAAATAAAATTCAATGCAATTGTCGAAACTTTCGAGTTAGATTCGATGGACATGAAATTTTTGTCCAAATTTCTCGCGTCAAACTCTATACACCCACCATTTCCTTCTCAACAGTCTAGCGACCTCTATGGCGATGCATCATGGCATAGTGCGTCTTCGCTTTCTCTTTGTGGCTGGGAGCAGTTTGTGAATTTCCATAAAATCAAGGGCCTTACGCGCAAATTGCAGGGTCAAAACATTCAAACGCTTCTACTCCTCGCACTCCAGAGAACATCTTCCTCTCCGCCGCACTGCAGAGTCGCAGTCGGCTCCGTCGGTCGCGAGCCGAATCCACTTCCTCCCCATAGCTCAGACCAGAGCGCTGCCTCATTCCCCGTGCATCCATGGAGGCTCCGGCGCCGGAAACCGGATCGAAGGACCTGAAAGCCCTCGCCTCGCTGTACTCGAGCTACGTCTGGAACCGCCTCTTCGGTTCCTCTCCCTCCCCCGGCGGTTCCGGTTTCCTCGGGAAAATCTCCGGCCTGTACCGCCGGACCGCTCGCCCGAGGTCCCGCAGGCGCACGTCCCGTCTTCCTCTTCCGCTGCCTTCCAATTCGGCCGACCGCTCCGTGTATGGCCTCTCTCTTCGTAGATTTTCTCATCCGTTTGCCGAGGAATTGCCAAGGAAATGGGAGGACCTGCGACTTTTAGGGAGCGATTGGAAATGTAGCTTGTCGCGGTCTGCGCAGTTGATTTGAATGTTCGGTTTTGCAGGCTGTGTAGATTGTGCGAACTGTAGTCGGTCAATGTGTTATGCACTTCGTTTTCAGTTTGATCGTATGTTGTGTGAATCACCGTGATCATGTCTTAGTGGTTGGAAGGTATATTCGCCGTGGAAGTTGCACGGAGATTGAGCAAGTATCTGAAAATCTGCTTTAGTGGGGAATCGATTGCTTATTATGGCTGATGTCAGTTGGAATTACTAGTTCTGGTTCGTGCTTCCAAGCAAAGGCTCTTAGCTAACTCTCGAACGGTGTAATGCAGGGTTTTGACCGAGGCATCTAGAGTTTACGATGTCCTGGAGGATATTATGGCACATATATTATCGTATCTGCATGACATTCAGAAGCATTTGGAGTTTTGGCAAACGCGAGCTGAGGTTATACTTTGCCACTGTTCAGCTGTAGTGGTTGAGAGCTTGCTTCTAATTTCATCTTTCTGAATTCAGGGTTCTAATGGTCGAAAGATGTACTTCATGATTTTTGAGAGAGGGCCTCTTGCTTTCGTAGATGAAACAGTTCGGTTGTTACAACAATCTGTCGCAGAGGGTTATTCATCGCAACACCTTTGCCGCTCTGCATCAGCACACATATCTGAGAGGATAACCATTTTGACTTACTTGAGATGTTCGCTTGCTTCTTTTCTAGCCGAGGTTTGCATTACTCGATTCTTACTTTTAGCTTGATTGGTTAATACTTTCTCACGTAAAGTTCTGAACGTTCATAGCACATTGATAGCCATTAGCTGATCACTTAGCAGTTGTGTAGTAAATGGTTAGCAAACATTCTCTATCCTTCTGGACTCAATATTGATCCTATCCACCAATTAGATGATCCTGAGACATATCTTTTTCATTAGTAGGTCGCACTTGTTATCATGTGTTGATTTATGAAATGACTACCACAATAATTCCTTGAAGGAAATGGGGAATCTCACATGACCGATAGTGAGACCCTATAATTTCATGAGGTTGGCTATTGTTTTCTATCCTTGCTTTGACAAGTTACCAGAATTAGGCGTAATCAGTATATTTAAGTTCCTGTCTATCTCCTGTATATAGTAAGGATGCTGAATTAGCTGGCGTCGGTTGGGAACATTTGAGTTTGCTTTCTTCTAGATTTTTTGTATTTGATAGTGATTTAGAATTATATTAGATTCTCATATTATGCTGCATTCTAGTCGCTTTACAATCTTGGCTGGTTTTAGAATGTATATTTCCTGAGTGTAAAGGATGCAAACAATCATTTTTTTTGTCTGGTTTTCTTCTTGCCTCCACCTGTTACCTCTGTGAACTCAATATCTAGCTTGAGAAATGAATATTTTGAATGCTTGGAATTTAATGAAGGATGGCTTTACACTGATGAAAACATAATTGGGATTTGTGATATAAAATTTTCATCTATTTATCTATCATATGTGTCAACAATCGATCTGTTAGGATGTCTCAGGCTCTTAGCTATTAAATTCGCATCTTGTCATCATATTCGAGTCACTTATATTATTTTTGTGTCATTTGTAAGTTGGCAATGAGCACAAATTTAACCAATCTAAAAAATAGGTGTCTGTAAGATATTCGGTGATTTTACTCATGTTTTTGTCGTGCATGTCTACAGCTTTTGCTACCATTGTTCATTAGATAGGTTGCTTTGGACATGCTTATTGTAATTAACCCAATTTTTATGCATAACAATGTCCATGGATGCAATGACTTATTTTTTAATTCGTCCTAAGGGATTTTAGGTCTATGTTGAAGTTGACAAACGGGGAGAAGAATTGGTCAAAAGCCCGGAGAAATCTCTTCCATCTTTATTGGTCGTTATGGACGGTTTATTTTCAAAGTTGGAGGAATCCATTGGCTCTTTGCCCCTGCATAATCAGGTGTGGGCTTCTGTTACTAACCCTTTCCTTCCCCGTGTTACTTATCCTTGGTCTTCAGATCCTCTCTAGAAGTTACCTTGGAATTTTGCTTAGAGTTTTCCCTTTTGTTTTACGCCAAATGCTGAAACCTACAGAGGCTGATTCTCTTTATATACCAATATATGAAAAAGTTTTCATTTCTTTTCACATGCAGAATAATTCTTCTCCCGATGGAAGCTATTCTCATCGGCTTGCATTTCATAGTTTGCCCAAAGTAATTCAGGAGGGATCTCAGTGGACAGATTGTGAAATTAGTGATGCTATCAATTTGATTTACCAGAACATACAGAAACTTGAGTCTTACTTATCTTTTGCGGTAAGTCTTAGTTACTTTTTACACCAAATAAACTGCTTACATTACTAGAGACAATAGAGCTGTGCTGGTAACTCAACGCTAAATATCAATATGAGTTGAAGTATAGTTGATGCTTGCCATTACAGTTATATATTATTTACTTTACATGTAATGTACTACTGGCATAGTCCTTGCCTTTACAAAAGTAGTATGTTAAATTTCTTTTTCTGTAAAAAGAAGAAGGAAATAAATAGTTGATATGGAGATGGAGATTGGAATCTTTTTACGGGAACATTTTCCTTATCATTCTTTTGGTGAGACTGCCACAAGGTCTTAACAGTGGTCAGAGCTGTTTACAACCTCCCAAAGTCTATCTGTAGTTATCATTTTGCAGAAAGGACTGGCTAATTTATTGACATTGATTGAATGTCTTCTTGCCGATTGGAGCATTCCCCCGTGCGAGTAAATCTCTCTTTCTTTCCTTAGGTGGCCAAGTACAAGAAGCCAAGAAAAGTTACTCAGTACTGGATTAGCTATACATGTGGAGCAGTTGGATTTGCTGCCTGCTCTATGTGGCTGGTCAGGCATAGCAGCTTGGTGGGGAGTTCTGATATTAACAACTGGATTCGTGAAGCGAGGGACTCTACACTTAGCTTTTTCAATGATCACGTAGAGCAACCGGTATAGTTCCTTGTGCTTTTCTTGTTGGTTTACGTATATATTTAAATCAGTATACCATAGATATCAGGGATTTGAATTGCGCATATAGTTTTTCAAGATGATGGAGATACAGAAAATAATGGAACTAATAATTAATAATACCTCATCAGCTTTTGTCCATCAGAGACGAACTCTTTGAAACATTCAGGAAGAGACATGAAAGTGCGATGGAGCTTGAAGAAGTACATTTAACTTCCAAATCTCTCCATAGGTTAGTTTTCTGCTAATTCTTTTTTTCCCAACACGGAGAAGATTGCACATTAAAGTAAGAACTTGGTATTATATACTTCAGTTTTTTATTTATGGGAAGACTCCGATGGGCTTCACTTTCGGAGAATGCTTTAATGAAGTTTCTTTTGGTTCTGTAGACATAACATAGGTATGTGTTAGAAAGTCCAACCCAAAAGCTTAAGCTATTAGGTGAAGAGAGACCACATAAATATAAAGAGCATTTAGAACCCGTTGTCAATCGATGTGGGATAATACTTCAACACTTCCACCCACGTGCAAGCCGGATTACGAGCAACACGTGAAAAGAGATCATATGAATATAAAGAGCATTTATGATCCGTTGTCAATCGACACGGGATAATACTTCAACACCCCCACTCACGTGCAAGCCGGATTACGAGCAGCACGTGAAACTTTGACACCACACATTCACATGAAACTTTTACCACTCACATTCGCGAAAAGGATAGCATTGGCTCTGATACCATGTTAGAAAGTCCAACCCAAAAGCTTAAGCTATTAGGTGGAGAGAGACCACATGAATATAAAGAGCATTTAAGACCCGTTGTCAATCGATGTGGGATAATACTTCAACAGTATATGAGAGGCAATGCCATTTTTCTTTTGATATACTTGTCAAACTACACATGGAACGGGAAGGTAAACAGACCTTGAGAAGTACTACACATAGGGAGAAGCGAAGTCCATTGCTTCAAAGATTGCCTCTACCTAAGCCCCAACAACAGAATAAGCAACAATTCATATAGATTGACTTGCGAATGCCATTTTATTTGAAAGGAATACAGAAACTTACCACGTTTCTTGGCTTTTGGTTCATGATTTGACTTCCAAATTGATTTTTCCCCCTTCATTCCTTCTTTCTTTTCTGCTAACATCTTCTATCATTAGCAGAATGTTGAAGGCTTTCAGCGAGCAGACTGAGGGCCAGAAGCTGCCAGAGGATGCATCTGATCAGCAAATGCTAGAAATAGTTATGGCCAGGTATATGATTAGTAAAAGACTATTTAAAGGGATGCCGGACTTGAAACATTGCAGTTACAATTTCATAAGTGTCAGGTCTTAAATCGATTCTCTGTGATTTTAATATCTACTGGACAGAGCTTTCATCTACTTTTGCAAATGCTGTTATTTTGATACTTTCCTTTGGCTGATAAGCTCATGAAATTCCAAATCCCATTCTTCATCTCATTATTGTAGATATGAGAAGGAACTGATGCATCCTGTGAAGAATCTTCTTAGTGGAGAGCTTGCCCGTGCTTTGCTCATTCAGGTAGTACAGATAATGCTTAGTGGTTTTACTTTTTTGGTTCAGGTGACCGTACCATTTATTTTTGTGGCTGCAGGTCCAGAAGCTAAAACTGGATATTGAGACGTGAGTTCTTTTATATGCTACTTTTGGCCAGTTGATATTTATCAGCTTCTAATTCACTCACTTTCTCTTACTACTTTCGTCTCGTGATTTCCTATTGTCATCAGGGCAATGCTTGAGCTTAACCAGATACTTAGAGCAAATGAAATCAACTTTGCAATTCTAGCTGCCTTGCCAGCATTTTTCCTCTCTCTTATTCTGCTAATGATAATGAGAGCTTGGCTAAAACAGGTGAGATGACCATGTGGTGTGATTTCACAAGCAAGAAATGTGCTTTTTACTTCACTTTGATGATCTATAGTACTTACTAGCTGTGTGAGTTGTTTGCTATACAAGCAATGGTGAACTGTCGTTATATATCTCACTGTGATGGCATTTGGATTACATAGTTGGCATATTGTTTTCTAGCTGCACTTTGACCAATGAGAGTGACTAGGAACATTTTGCAACTATTTCTTGAAATTGCCGCATCATGTATAAAGACAAGTTAGATTGCTCCAATCTTACTTTAGTCGAATCATATATAGTTGCAAAAACATTTTTGTTTTGGCATGCATGCACTCCATAAAACTCTAGTGTACCTATATGATCACGTTCATCTACTGAAAATTGCCTGCGATAAAGTTAATGTTGTAATAGCACTTCAATGTGGTCTAAACGCGAAACTTGTGTATGCTGTGGCCTCAAAAACCTCCTCTGCTTTTCTTAGCTGTTTGAGTGTCTGAGTTAGGTGCTGATTTTCTATTTAATCATTTATTTTCCAGGGCACTTTGCACTGTTTTCTCATGTCTTGCTTGCTATTCAGTGCATATGTGAAAGAAAAGGATGGTGTCAGGACTCACCCATTAGATAGAGGTGTTGTGTGGACTTATTGTCTGTGCATGTGTCCACTGTCCGCCATGTGTTTGTGTAATTGTTAAAGCTTTTTCTATTTTGTCCAGGATACTAGAGCTGAAGGAAGAGGAAGAGTTGCTCGTCTGCAAAGGAGGTTACTTTTGGTGGAGATTGAGAAACGAATTATGCAGTACCAGAATTACATTGACCAAGGACTAGTAAGGCTCTATTATTCTTACATATTTACCGCCAGTATCAGCTACACAAAAGTTCCGCAGTAATAACGAATTGGATCGTATTATATGCATCAGATTGAATGCAATGCATATTGCATATTTTCTGTCCTTAGTGGTGAAAGAGATGCATTTCTTAATTTTTATAAATTTCTTGATGGACTACAGTATCAAAATAGTATAAAAGTTTTAATTACTGGGATTATTATCAGTAGCAATGATAGCATCCATGGTAATATTTTTAGTTGCTGGTCATTTCTTTTCTCGTGGTTTCTCTTTAACAGTTCAGGAAAATGGAGGAAAATGCTCTAAGCTTCTCCGTAAGGAGTCAGTCAGTCGTTAGTTAGATTGACATTGAACTTGTTAGTTCTCTATGAAGTAAGAGCACGGCAACATTATCTTCTTCATGGTTTGATAATGCTTCGCACTAGATTTCGCTTCTAATAATCGAGAAATGTTTATGTTACTCTATATGCAGAGTGCATCTCACACGACTTCACGATAAGGAAGAAAAGAGCAATTCATACACTGATTCTTATTCAATTGAGAGAAAGAGAGAGAGCTTCAGTATGTTTTTTTTCTCCATCCATCAAAAGGTGCTGATTTATGCATATACAGGAAAATGATGCACGGTGCATGTATGGCTTGATGTTGTACAGTCTAGATCGCCTATACCTTGCTGTTGAGAGGCATGCAAGAGCAACTGGGGAATGGCCATGGTTAGTTGTTAATCTTTTCTTACGAATATATGCTCTCTAACTATTCATAGTACCTGCTTGCTATGCACATTCACCATTTGGTACATGTATCGAGAGAGATTTTAAGTAGAGTGCATGGTTTGGAATCTTTTGCATAATCCCAAATCATGCACATCCCACATTTAGTGTGGTTTTGTTGAGCTTGATAATTTTCTGGTCAGGACGAGAAAATTTTATTGTGCTGCGATTGAGACGCTTTTTTGCTTAAGGATATCTAACTCTACTATGTTAAAACTATAATGTGGTTAGTGAATGAATTTAAAAAGATTGGTTGGATGCCCATAATTTGGGATAGTGTGACTATCGTAATGAGAGATAAATTGCCAGCCCTAGTCTAGAGCGTTAAACTATTATCTGCAAGAGCATCCTAATATTCCGAGTTGAGCAGGTTGAGACAAGATATCATCGACTTGGCAAAGCCTGGCCTTCAGACGACGTACAAGTTCAAAGTGACATCACGGATGGAGCGGATGTATGACTGCCTGCTCCCTTCACCAAAACGCAAGTAGCACCTTTGAGCGTTCCACAGACCCAAAACTTTTTGGAGGGTCTGACAATTTTATCTTCACACAGGATAAAAGCGATAGGCAAATGTATTGAATTTTGTTTGGCTAATTTTAGGAAGAGGAAAGTGATTCGCTCGTCATTAGTTCCTTGCCTTCAATTTGAGGAACTTCTTTTTCTTTGTTTCTTTGTTTGCTTAGAAGGTGTCGGACTTCGTGGACATAGATATGATCTCCATGTACTGGCGTAGTCACAGTAAATTGCGCGACATCTGGTAATAAGAGACAATTTGCAAGTGGAGCACGACTTAATGCGACAGGGCTTTCCTTGTGTTCTTTTCCCCTAGTACTATGCTTTTACCACAATCTGAATGCATTACACAAGAGTCCAGTCGTCCTCATCAGATTTCATGGCTGATGGGCATTTGTCTGACGTGCAAGGACTGATTGGCAGTGTCCCAAGTTGTCTGACCGATTGGATGAATTACACTAACAGGCACGTATTGCTTCCGGCATTTTGTTCGATTTCACAGAGAATGAAATCATTCCTTTTAAGAAGGGGAATAGAAGATTATGTCGCAAGCACGACCACCTCGAGCGTTATTTTCTTAATCCACAACAAAGAGGGGTGAATTGTGGTGACCATTTGTCAAAGCCAGAACTTGCGCCGATTCATCACTTTATTTCAACAAGGGGAACGTAAGTTCTAACTTGACACTAAAAGAATTTTGATAGTAACTCGCCTTTTTATCTAATAATTTTAACATTTTGATAGTGATAACAATCAAATTTGACGAGAGTAGATGTGAGCGATGAGTAGATTGATTATTAAAAACGTTTATGTCAGCGCCGGTCGTACCACGTATGATGATTGACGTCCATAGCATCAATTTCCAGTCAAAACGTAAATATGTTTGATTTAGAATTAAATTGGCGTAATGTACTGCTTAGCAAATTAGTGGGAGACTCGAAAAGAGGCCCAAAACCGGCCCAAAAGGGAGGCTGCGCGCTCGAATGGCGTCGCCGCTCGCACTTCTCGGCCACGCCCGACTAAACAAAAAAACCCGAAGGGACTCTCCGAGACAAAAACTGTTCTGATTCTCTCGATCGAAGCTTCCGGTTTGATCAGCGTTGATTTTCTGGAGAGGGGGGTTGAAGCGGAAGACAAGATGAACAAATCGAAGGTGTTCAAGCTGGCGAAAGGGTTCAGAGGGAGGGCGAAGAACTGCATCCGGATCGCGAGGGAGAGGGTGGAGAAGGCGCTGCAGTACTCCTACCGGGACCGCCGCAACAAGAAGCGCGACATGCGCTCCCTCTGGATTCAGCGCATCAATGCCGGCACTCGCATCCACTCCGTACGTTCTAAGAACCCTTCCCCCACACACCCTCTCTCTCTCTCTCCTCTTGTTCACTTGGTTGTGGAGGTCATTTGATGAAAAGCTTTGTTTACCGGTGACTGTGGGGTTGGCTTATTTGCTGCGGTCGGTTTGCCTGCGTGGATTCTCGGGTTGTCTTGTCGTGGAAATGGGTTTGCAGCATGGGGAGTTGTTGTGATGGTTGGAGGCTTGCCTTGGGAGTCGCTGTTGTTTGTTTGTCCACCAAGTGCTCGATAAAATGACGCTAAAGCTCGAATTCCTTCGAACTCGCAAATTTTATGAAGTTTCTAAAGCCCATCGTCCCCCAAAGTCTTGAAAGCTTGGCCAGTCTGTTCTTGTTTTTGGGTTTCTGTTTATTGATGTTTCCGATGATAGTTTTCCTCAAGTTCTTCACACCTGACCCAAGATTGCAGCTATCTTTTGTTTGCAAGAATTAAGTGATCTCGAATTCATAGAATGTTTATACGACGATCTGACTCCATCCTCCTACCTGTTCTATGAAGGATTAAGAGTGCATTCAGTTGTGCTTCTCCAAATTAGAACTACCAATAGGTTGTAGTATGAATACATGGTGTTTTTCATAAATGTTGCTGCGTAATTTTTGAAAACCCATTTGATCTGACCTTTATCTTGGATGTGTTGTTTCACTTGTTGCCTGTTCGCTTTTAAGTCTGATTTTCCAGTATTCACTTTTTTATTTCTTCGTAGCCTGCAGGATGTCAGCACTCTGCGGTCCTTTTTTCACTTTAGCGGTAGTCAAGATAATTCATCTTAAACCCTCCATCCATTTACTAATGTACAGAATGGCTAGTAGTTTGAATTTCTTGCCAAAGCAATGCCCCTGTCCCTTTCTTTAAACCCAAAAGCCCCTCGAGAATATGGTTTCCTTCTAAAAGTAGGATGGATAGTTACTCATATCTCTGTCCCAAACTTCTGATAGATGTTCCAGGCAGAGAACTGAGCCAGTTCTTGTCTCAAATGAAATTCACAATATGTGTCTTACCAAATAAATAATAAACACAACGCGGGAGCTAACTGCAATAGCTGGAGCAAAACTCCTGGTTCATCATAGTTCTTCAACATGTCTTGCTTGTGGGCATGCAGTTGTATTCATCCTTATGATTGTACCCGTTGCTATTACTTCTAAAACAAAATCGTGGTGCTTTTTTTACACCTAGAAATGGCAATGAGTCCTACTCAGGAACTTGGGAATGCGATGATAGAATTCTGGTCATACTATTATTCAATGTTAACCTAAGTTCTTTAAGTCTCCAATCTCGTCACTTTTCTTATTGACATGGAACTGGAGCATTTCATATGCTTGTGAATTTTATGCTCTGGCACTATAGCTTGTGTCTTCTATTAGTGTCATTTTATCTATTGCTGAAATACTCCTTTTGATTTGTTTCAGGTCAACTACGGCAACTTCATGCATGGACTAATGAAGGAGAACATTCAACTGAACAGAAAGGTCCTGTCGGAGATCTCAATGCACGAACCGCATAGTTTTAAGGCCCTCGTGGACATTTCTCGTAATGCCTTCCCTGGAAACAAGAATGTGGTTCATGCACCTAGGAAAGTGGCTGTGCCACTTAGTGTCTAATAGTTGACTTGTCATTCCTGTCTTACTCTTAGTCTCATGGAAACAAAAGGTGCTTGTTGTTCCTGATGTACCCTTTTGGGGGCAGCGGCAATGGGAATGGAAGTTATCAATTTTATTTTCGTATCTTCTTGCCGGTGCTCCTTCTCTCTCTTGCTTGTATCTCATAGAAAAAGATTCTTTGGTGATCCTTTCCATATATATGAAACATTTCCCTCTGCATTAGTGCCGCATTACTCTGTTGCTGAATGTGCCTGTGAGATATGCATACCAAGATTATGCCCATATCTATAAAGGTGAAACCAAGTTGGTGATATAACTGTTCTCTCTTTTGTTTTTTTCTTTTGGGGTCTTTCTCTAGCGTGACAGTTCAATGAGAGAAAATAAGAGGTTTTGTCTATCTCCTTTTCTCATGGCATGATGTCTGGCATGGGGTGAGGCTTTGGTTTATGTTCTTATGGCAGACGGAGAGTTCACTTCCTGGTGTCTGTTATTTCGCGAGTTCAATCTGCCGTTAGCCTCTCCGCTTTGTTGTTAAAGCCGGTGACTTGATCACCTGTTGCAACTTTTGCAGGCATTATTCCTCTTTAGTGTGTCTTAATTCAGACTGGAAAAAATCCCCAGGTGAATTTGGAAATTTCATAATAGAACTAGGCATTTCAATGTCTGAAACTCCGCTAGATCAGAGGGAAATCCAGGATTATTGCAGGCGGATTCATTTCTAGTTCATTTGCATCGATTCTGGCTTCATATCACGAGTACGCATTTTAGAAGTTCAATTTTCATACTTTCTGTAACATAGAAGAGGGGCTTCATTTGTTATATCAATATGGAATTAGTAGATATCTCGACCATGCTTATGGGGCTACAAGATAAAGATACGTGGAAGTAGATGCTAGTTCTGGCGGCGGCTGAGCAAGGAGTTTGGAGGTACGTTTTGATGTTTAGGATTTGGATGTGGTGGATTTGAGAAGATAGGGAGTGCGTTTTTGGAAAGTGAAATGACGGTCTTGTAGATAAATGCACAAAATTTCCTAAGTTGAGGTAACAAACTTAGGTATGTCTTTATAATAGAGTGAAATTTGAGTGCGTTTTTCGTTTTTTTTTCATTAAGTTCAATTGTGGAACCATAGAGTTTGTGGCATCGCTAGTTAGTAGTCACTTCTTGAGGCTAGTTGGTACATTTACGATTCGATTAGGGACCATTTAACTTCCCATGACAATAATAGTGGTGGCCCTATTACGAGTGATGTATTGTATTTATATTAAATGATGTGGTAGATTTTTATGGAACGTTATATATGGAGCACATGTTTAAATGTCTCTCCACATTAATATCGATATATCTCTTATCACTATAGAAAGTTTTTAACTCGGAGTGACGAATGCTATCTAGGATTTTTTAGCACAAAGAAGAAATTAGAAGGTCATTTACTTATGGGTAAGAATACATAAAAAAAAATGAAAGGAACAACAGCACATTTTCTTCATTTCTGGTATGATTTTCTTTTTTCCTCTCTTTCATCTAGAAAATTAAATATTTAAAATCAAGTCATGGTATACTGAATATGTAGGGGTAATAATATCGGTAATCCTTTTATACTGAAGATGTTCCTCGTGTTAACATGACATGTTTATTTACATTCAGAAATGGTTACAAATATAAATACAAGTAAAAAAATTTCATATATAATAATTTCATGTCTTCAGGGTTCTGTACTATATTATTCCTTTAATTAACATATCATATTTGGATCTTAATATTGCCACATAATCCATAAGCATTTTATGTCGGGATTAAATCTAAATTCGACACAGTGCAATTGTGAGAGAAAAATAAAAATACAGTTTGGAGACTAATAAATCAAACAAATAAACAAAAAATAGGATGAAATTGTACAAATATAACGAAAGGTCACACGTTCGTTATAAACAGAACGTTCCGGAAATAGGATGGTGCGTAGCGTGCTGTGATCTTCGGCTGCCCTCGCACTTCCTTCCCCGTCGTGTCCCGTCTTCAACGTTTCATCATCTCTCTCCTCCGGCGCTTCGCTTCTCGCTCCTTCGCGTTTCGCGCGAGAGAGACGACGGCGATGGCGGTGGCGGAAGGAGCAGCTCTGAAGCTCGCTCCTCTCAGACCGTTTTGCCCTAATTCCACCCTCCTCACCCTCACCACCTCCTCTTCTTCTAGGGCTTCCTTCCGCAGGCTCTCTTCTTCCTCCTCGGCCGTGCTCGCCGACAGCCACCCCTCCGCTTCCGGCTCCCTCTCCTTGGGCCACCTCACCCGCCCCGATTTCCCCATCCTCCACCAGGTTCTCTCTCTCTCTCTCTCTCCA